GTGGGGCTTGAGCGTCGCGTCGCAGTCGACCGCGGGCACACCCGCGTCGTCGCAGACGGCGGCGACGTCCCGCGACGCGTCGCGCGCGGACCAGAGCGTGCCCCCGCCGGGCACGGCGACGGTGAACGACCGCTGGGCCCCGCGCCATGTGAACTGGAACGTCGCGCGGATCTCGCCGTCGGGCCGGACCTCGGCGTCATCGCGCGGCGGCGCGGCCAGGAGCGAGTCGCAGACTCGGCGCTGGACGCGCGTGTCCGTGCGCAGGTGGCCTTGCAGCAGGCCGTGCAGATGGGCGCTCCCCATCGCGCTCCAGCCCCAGATGCCGCCCCAGACCGAGTGGGGCCTGGCGCCAAAGTCGCGGTTCGCGAATTCGAGAAGCGACTCGCCGGCCGCGGACATCGCAACGTCGCCGCCCGCGAGCCAGTCGTAGGCGCTCGCATGGTCGCCCGACGCCAGCGTCGTGTGGACCCGGAACGTGCAGGGCTGCCAGACCTGGGCGAAGAGGGGCCAGTTCTGGTCGATGGCCAGCAACCCGAGGAAGCGCCGCGCGGACGCCGGAAGCTCCAGGGCGCCCGCATACCTCGACTTCAGCGTCGCGTTGCACGACGCGCAGAGGACGCGCGCGTTCGCGTAGACCAGGAGCGCGGCCAGCGAGGCTTGGACGCGGCCGCCGCGGCGTCCATTTTCTCCTCGCGGCGGCGGCGGCGGTGCGAGCAGGAGCGGCGCGCTCGCGCCCAGGGCGACGAGGGGGAACTCGAAGATCGCGAGCGTCCACAGGTTGACGCCGTGGAAGAGAACCAGCGCCGCCCCGACCGCGCGGCGCCGCACCAGGAGCAGCGGTCCCAAACCGAGCTCGAACAGGACGGCGCCGCGCGTCAAAAACCCCCCAAGCCTCGGGGGCATCGCGCGCGCGGCGCGGGCGCCGAGCGGCGCCGCATAGACGGGCATCGACAGCGCTGCGCGCAGCGCGCCGCCCGTCCGCACCCACGCCTCGCGCCCGAGACCGGCCTTCTCGGCGCCCGAGAAGGCGTGCGTGGCCCAGATCTGAAAGAGGACGCCGACGGCGCCCGCGCTCGGCCCCGGGTCGTCGGGCGTGAGGGCGACCCAGAGCTGGACGAGCGCCGCGTACGCCCACTGCTTGCCCAGGCCGTGCGACTCGGAGCACGCGCGCTCCGACGAATGCAGCAACACCCAGAGCAGGGTCTCCCGGAGCGGGCTCGCCGGCGCATCCATCGACGCCGCGAAGAGCTGCGCCGCGCCGAGCGCCGCCTCGAGCGCGTAGAGGGCGTAGGACGCGCCCTCGACCTTGAGGTCGTGGAGCGACGCGTGGCCCACGGCGCCGACGCGGCAGAGCCCCCCGGGGCCGTGGAGCGCGTCGTGCAGGTTCGGCAGCAGGTTCCCGCGCGCGTCCAGCAACGCCGCAAAACCGCCCGTCGCGAGGAGCCAGCGCCGCGCGCCGCGCGGCAGCGAGAAGGCCCGCCGGAAGCGCGGGCACCGGTCTTCGACGCGGAGGTCGAGCGCGCGATCGAGCGCCGCGACCACCGCGGCGACGGCGAAGCACGCGGACCACGCGACCATCCACAGGGTCACGTAGTCCTCGAGCGTCGACGGGAGGAGCGCCGCCGCTCCGGCCGGCGCGGCCTCGGCCGAGGCCTCGCGCTCACCGGCGTCCGCCGCGGCGTCGGGCTCGGACCGCGCGGCATCGTCGTCGTCCAGAGCCGCGGCGTCGGGCTCGGACCGCGCGGCATCGTCGTCGTCCAGAGCCGCGGCGCCGGGCTCGGACCGCGCGGCGTTGTCGTCGTCCAGACGCGCAGCGTCGGGCTCGGACCGCGCGGCATCGTCGTCGTCCAGAGCCGCGGCGCCGGGCTCGGACCGCGCGGCGTTGTCGTCGTCCAGAGGCGCAGCGTCGTCAGGAGACGCGGCGTCCACGTCGGACGCCGCGGCGTCGCCGTAGGGCGCGGCGTCGCAGGCGGCGTTCAGGCGCGCGTGCGCCTTGATGTACTCGACGGCGCAACCGTCGTCGGCGCAGCCCATTTGGTCGAGGGGCAGCGCGAAGCGGGCCACGAACCCGCGCACGGCGGCGTCGAGCTCCGCATCGTCCGCGAAGGCGAGGCCTACGCCCGCGCCGTCGACCTGGATCGTCACCTCGCAGAATTGCGCCCGAGCGCCGACCGCGGCGCAGGCCAGCGCAGCGCGCGCGACGCGGCGCGTCATCCAGATGCAGCCTTCTCCGAGCTGCGGTACCCGCCCATCGAGGACATAGCCTCCATCAAGTGTTCCTGCGTCCTCCATCGAAAGTTTTCAATAATCTTCAAGGTGCACCATTTATCTAAAAAAACGCCTTCAGAGGTGTGATAAAAAGGCGATCCAACCATACTCGTCCATCCGCGAACCACCTCGCGCGTGTTTTAGTAAACCTCACTCAGCTTCTTAAAGACCACCACATCGTCATCGCAAACCGCGTCCCGCGCGTCACGGCCAAAACACGATGCAGGTTCTCGCAGCCCGACGAAAACACGAGCAAGCGCCCCGCTCGCGGCTCCACGACCGTGTCTCCATCTCCATCCACGAAAGCAAAGCCGCCGCCGTCGAAGCCGCTCCCGATCGTGTTGAAGTAGAGCACCGCGGAGACGTCGTAGGCGGGCACCTGGGCCTTGTCGACGTGCGCGTCCGAGTAGCTGTACGACGCCTTGGAGCCTCGTTCCTTCGAACCAAAGCTCGCGACGTCGGAGGCCAGTGGATGCTTCGTGTCGTGCGGCGAATAGCTCAGTAAAAAGCACGCCGCGGGCCGAAGGTCGGACACGGTCAATTTGCACGCCTTCGCGGCCAAAAAAGCGCAACGCTGGTGTACCAAAACAAAAAACCTCGCCGAGTCCAAAGAACCAGCACTGGTCCAGCCCAAGAAGGGCACAAAGCCCATGACCTTGTCCGACGGCGCGGCTCCGAGGCCCAAAGAGCACTTGCCGCCCTGGCGCCTCGACCGTCGGCCCGCAATAATGATCGTTTTCGCCGCCCGCGCACAGTCAGAAGCACAAAAAACGTCATCGAAGAGCTTGCGCACGTTGACGACGTCGTGCGTGGCGCCGTACAACCGCGGCGCGTCCAAACAGCAAGCGGGCACGTCGATCGTCTTCTCGTCGAAGACGTCGCTCGCGGGAACCAGCCGCACCTCCCGTCCTGGCTGGCGCCGGGACTCGACCAGTGAAGCCTGCAACCCGATGGCCGCGGAGCGCTCCACTTCACAAGGTCGCTCCGAGTTTTCACGAAACTGCTCCCTCGGTCCGTCCGCTCGGCTGCGCTCCTCGCGGACGCGGACCAGCGCGTCGACGTCGGCCGGCTTCGGCGCGCGCCGCAGGGACCGCCCGCTCGCCGCGTGCGCCTCCAGCGCCTCGAGGCCCTCGCGGACCCAGGTGTCGGCGTAGGCCTCTGCTGCATCGGCTCGAACCTCGTCGCCGAACTCGAGCAGCGCGTCGCCGCCGTCGAGCGCGAAGCGGTCGAGCGCCGCGAGCTTGAGCTTCTCGATGAACAACTCGTCGACGTGCAGCGCGTCGCCGTGCGTCGCCACCCAGGCGCGCGCAGAAAAGGGGGCTGCCGCAGCAATCGCAGCCATGCTGTGCCCACAACTTTAGCTCAACGTCATGTCGTCGCTCTCCAACTTTAGCTCGTTGCAGCCGGCACGAAGTATGGAAGAACTGTGGAAGCCAGTAGCCCGTTGATTCAGAGCAGCACTCACCCGGTGCCGGCGAGCAGCCCCGTGGATTCAGAGCAGCACTCGCGAAAGCTTGTCTGCAGCCCCTCGGCCAGCCGTCTCGCAAAAGCTTGTCATCCTTTGATGGCTTCATCACTCACCCTCCTGGGGCTCACGCTCGCGACGCTCGCAAACAGTGTGTCACTCGAGCTGCTCATCTCGAGCGAGGTGCGCGGCGCCGTCTATCTCGTCGACGCCTTCAGCACGGAGTGCGACGCCGAGACGTACTGGCTCTCCTCCTGCTCCTGCTACGGCGGCGCCGCGCGGCGCGTCGAGGCCTTCGAGGGCCGCGGCGACGCCGTCGCCGTCGACACCGGCGCGCACTTCTTCGGCAGCGGGCTCTTCTTCAACTCGTTCCAGGGCGCCGCCGGCGCCGAGTTCTTCGCCGCGTCCAAGTACGACGCGTGGACGCTCCACTTTTACGACTTCTCCGCGGCCGACGCGGCGGATCTGCCCGACGACCCGACGGGCGGCAAGTGGCTCGCGGCGCTGATCGATTCCGTGCGCGCCGCGGACCCGGACCTCGGGAATCCCGTGGCGACGAACCTGAACGTGACCGGAGATCCGCGCCGCTCCAGCGCGCCGCGAAAGGGCGGCGGTCCGGCGCACTTTCTCTTTCCTAGATCCGCGAGCGCACGCGTGACTCAAGGAGCGCCCAGCGAGGACGAGGAGCAGCCAAAGCCGGCGGCCGCAGAAGCCAAAAGCGACGAGGAGCAGCCCATGGTTGAAGAGCCTCCGCGAGCAGCCGGCCCGACCTCGGACCTCGCCCCCACTTCGGCTCTCAACTCCGCTCCAGCCGCGACGAATGAGCCTCTCCGCGCGCCGAGGACGCTGCCCCCGCTTCGACTTTAATAATCTGTTGTTCTATCACGCGCCGAGGAATCGCACGGGGAGCACGTTCGCGCCGTAGGTCGCGTGCTTCACGTTGGGCGCGCAGCCCTCGATGTTGCACGCGAAGTTGGCCGAGAAGGTCAGGACCGCGTCAAAGTCGCCGTCGTTTAGCGTGTCCGCCATCCAGGCCGACGGCGCGGAGACAAAGTAGGCCTGCATGCCGAACTTGGGCATGTACGTCACGAGCGAGAAGGGGCCCGTGAGGCGCGGCGCCTCGAGCACGAACGTGTCGTAGGGGCCCTCGTTGGCCCAGGCGTGCGTCGTCGGCGCGGTCACGCAGAAGAGGTAGCGCTGCAGCGCCGGAGCCCAGGTCGCCGTGACGGCGCCGACGCGTCCCTCCCACTCGAAGACGGGCTTCGCGTCGTCGACGTCGCCGACCCAGCCGTCGACGCCCATGAACTCCCAGTTGCTCGCGTCGTTGAGCGAGTCCGGGTCCGCGGCGTCGAAGGAGGCCCGCGCGAGGAAGATGCCGTCGCCCGAGATCCACGTGCAGTTCTCGTTCGCGCGCGGCGCGAGGCAGCCGCCGGCGACGACGTACACCTTGCCGTCGGGGCTCCGCACGTTCTCGGGCCCGTGGTCGACGACGTGCGGCGAGCCCATCTTGACGCCCGCGGGCGAGCCGAGCGGTTCGCCGTCGATCGGCGGGCCGCGGGGCGGCGCGTCGGCCGCGCGCTCGCCCCAGAGGTTCCGCGACACGTTCAACTCCGCGCCGCCGCTCATCGGCTTCTTCCACGTCGCGCCGCCGTCGACGCTGTGGCGGAAGCCGACGAACGGGCCGATCTCGATGGACAGCGAGTTCGTCTTCGAGCTCAGGCCGAGGCCGTAGCTGCCCGTCCACCAGGTCCCGTTGACGAACAAGTTCGCCGACGTGTAGCGGCCGAGCCTACCGGGGATGAGAGGATGAGGGGCTTTTCCCCGCTGAAAATTTGGGACGCTGGACCTTGCATGGGAAAGCCGTCCTCGACGATGGGCCCGCCGACGGCCGCGACGGAGAGGTTGCGCCAGTCGCGGCCGCCGGACACGACCGCGGATCCCGTCGTGGACCCGAAGCCCGTGGGCGACGACGAGCTGACGGACACGGACGAGGTCCCGCCGCCGCCGAGCCCGCCGTCGTCGAAGCCCGAGTAGAAGTTGCCGTCGCGGTCCTCCGCGGGGTAGAACGTGTCCGCGCCGTAGAGCGGGATCGGCGTCGCGTCCTCGAGGAGCGCGACGCCGCGGAGCGCGTCGGAGCGCGGCGGCGCGGTGCTCGGCGGCTTGTTCGGCCAGGCGCAGGGCGTCGCCACGTAGGGGTTCATCGCCGTGCGATTGAGCGTGACGCACTTGCCCGGGTTCTTCGGGCTGCGGATGGTGCCGTCCGCCTCGTAGGTCCACTGCTGGTTCGGCGCGTCCGCGTCGCCGGCCGGGTGGCAGGTCCAGAGCTCGACCGTGGGGCCGCCGCCGCCGCGCAGGTCGAGGCAGGCGCCGACGCCTTTGCCGACGAGCGTGCCGGCGGCGGCCGCGGTGACGGCGAGCGTCTGGTTGGCGCGCAGAGACCAGCGCGTCGCGTCGCAGGGGCTCACGACGCGCGCGGGCTCGTCGCTGATCGTCGAGAGACACGCGGCGCCGTTTGTGATCTCGCTCGCCGCGGCACCATCGCTGAGCGTCGCGCCCGCCCACTGGCTGTGCGGATCCGTCGCATCGCACGGCAGCAGCGCGAGAAACGCCTTCGGGCCGTCCCACGAGACGCGACCGTCGTAGGAGCAGGCGTCAAAGGCAGTGGAGAGCGTGAGGAGGAGGAGTAGGGGGTGAATGCGAGGAGTGCGAGTGAGGAGCAGCAGCACGTGATGAGGAGCGCTCGCCATCGTCTCTGAATTCTGAGGATGGCAGCCCAACCTTGAACCTTCAACCATCGAGTTTTACGCGCGCTCGCTCAGTCGATGGTCGGAGTAGCAGCAGCCCAATTCTGACATGAGTCTGTTCGCCATCATGCTGTTGAGCACCGCCGCAGCGGCCACGGTCATCGAGCTCGGCGCGCAACAAATGAACATGAGCGTCGTCTTTCCGCCGTCGCTGCTGCCGCACTTCGTGGACACGACGCCGAAGCCCATCGCGGACGACCGGCTCGGCGATTCGTGCCCCGACGACATCTGGGAGAATTTGATCAACCAGTCGTACCCGTCGCTGCCGTACCGCGTCGTCGACGACTACACGCGCGACGGCGCGGAGACGACGCGGACGGGCTCGATGCCGATCGTCACGGCTTCCTCGGCCTCGCTCGTCGCGACGTTCTTCCCCGCGACCGGCGGCAAGCTCGCGTCTATAACGGCAAACAACGAAGAACTCCTCTTCCGGAACCCGGTGTACCAGCCGGCGAATCTCGGGCGGCTCAACGCGTGGACCTCGGGCGGCGTGGAGTGGAACTGGCCGCGGCTCGGCCACAGCGTCTTCACGTCGCAGCCCGTCTTCGTCGCCGAAGTCGCCACGGCGCGGGGACCGCTCGTGCGCGTCTACGAGTTCGACCGCGAGATGAACACGACCTGGCAGGTCGACGCGTTCCTCCCGCCGAACGGGACGACGCTCTGGACGCGCGTCACCGTGAACAACCCGAACCCGACGCCCGTCGCGGGCTACTGGTGGACGAACGTCGGCGCGAAGATCGGCGAGCGCTCCCGCGTCGTGCTGCCCGCGGACCTCGCGATCGTCTCGACGGGCGACGACCCCGCGCGGCCCCTCGAGGCCGCGCCGTTCCCCTTCTTCGCCGACGCGGGCGCGAACGCGAGCTTCGCTCCCACCGACCACTCGTACCCGGCCAACTACGGCAAGGCCCGCGAAAACTTCATCCGCGGGGGCGGCGGCGACCACGCCTTCATGTCCATCCACGACGGCCGGGGAAGAGGTCTCCTGCACGCGCAATCCGCGACGCAGGCCGAGGGCCGCAAGTACTGGGTCTGGGGCACCGACGACGACGACGCCGCGCGCATGCGCTTCCTGTCGTCGCCCGGCGACGGCGACTACGTCGAGCTCCAGGCGGGGCCCGCGCCGACGCAGAGCCAGACGTTCCCGCTCGGCGCCGGCGCGCGGCGCGCGTGGACCGAGAGCTTCTCGCCGCTGGCCATGGAGGCGGACGCAACGAAGCTGAACGGCCCCTACGCGGCGGCGGTCGCGGCGGTCGCCGAACGGCTCGAAACGGTCGGCCCCGCGCGGGCCGAGTTCGACGACGTCGACGCGTTCCTGGCGTCGGTCGCCGACGCGCCGCCGTCGCGCGTGCTCCACCGCGGAGGCGCCTGGGGCGCGCTCCACGCGGCGCTCGTCGACGACGCGGGAGATGTCGCAGCCCCCTTCTCCACGAGCGAGGCGCGCCCCTTCCCCGGCGCGCCGGGCCTCGCGTTCGGATCCGTCGACGAGGCCGTCGCCGCGGACCCGGCGGCGCGGCCCTGGGCGTCGCTGCTCGTCAACGGCACGTTCGGCGCCGAGGCGAACACTGCGGACGTCGTCACGTCGTTCATGGTCGACGACGCGTGGGTTTCGCTCATGGAGCGCGCGCTCGCGTCCGCGGCGCACCCGGACGACGCGTGGCTCCTCCACCTCCACCTCGGCGTCGCCGCGCACCACCGGGCGGACTACGCCGGCGCGATGGCGCACTACGAGGCGTCGGCCGCGCGGAAACGGACGGCGCTCGCGGCGCGCAACGTCGCGGCGCTGCGCGCGGGGCCCGGGGCGCCGCCCGTCGCCGACGGCGTGCTCGAGGCGTGGGCCCTGGCCGCGGCCGCGGCGAGCGCCCATGGCGACGCCGTCGCGTCGGGCCGCGAGCCCGCGCGCTGCCCCGCGGCCGTCGCCGGGCCGCCGCCGCGCGACGACGCGTGCCCGACGGCGACGTTCGCGCGGAACCTCGCGCGGGAGGTCGCCGCCGCCCTCGTGTCCGCGTCGCGATGGACCGAGTTGCGGGACTGGTTCGCTTCCCTGCGGGACGAGGACGAGCGCGTGCGAGCCGCGCTGAGCGGCGCCATGGACGTCGACCTCGCGCGCGCCTACGCCGCGTTTCACGGCCGAGAAAGAAGCTCCACGACTTCCCTCGAAGCGTCCGCGACCGCCGCGCGGGGCGTCCTGCGCTTCCTCTCCAACGCCAAGATCGCGACGACGTCCGGTCTCACCGGAGGGCTCCCCGAGCTCTGGACCCAGTGCCAGTACGCCGTCCGAGCCGCGACGCTCGGCCGCGAGCTCGCGGTGCTCGAGAAGCACCACGTCCGCCTGGACTTCCCCGTGCCTCGCAACATCAACTTCGCCGGCGCCACTTAACTAACCCGCGAGGGGCGCGAGGTGGTTCGCGGGCGGCATCGCGCGCGGGGAGTCGCCGGCGGCGGGCCTCTCGGCGTCGTCGACGCGCCTCACCTTCTCCTCCGGGGCGACCTTCCCCGGTGCTGTCGCCGCGGAAGCGTAGACGTGGTAGTGGGCCGCGCAGTGCGCCTCCGCCGCCTTGCGCAGCTGCGCCTCCTCCTGGGCCGCTTGGGCCTTGGGCGTCCAGACCGTCGCGTACCACTCGCCAAAGTCCTCGGAGACGGGCGCGTCGCGCGGGCTCGCGAACACATGCTCGGCGGCGATGCCCGCGTCCGCGGCGACCGCCGCCACGCCCGCCGCGGCGCCCTGGGCGATGTCGTGCAGGCTCCCCAGCCGCGCGACGCGGCGGCTCTTCGCGTCGGCCTCGCGCCGCGCGTCGTTGACGAGCTTGTGGTGCAGGTCGCCGAGGTCGATGTCGTGGTGGTCGCCGTCGGCGCCGAGGGCCGTCCAGTGGTAGAAGCGGCGGATGGCGCGGCACGTGTCGGCGTCGACGATGCCCGACTCGACGAGCGCGGCGACGACGTAGTCGCTCTCGTAGACGGCGACGGTCCGCGGGTCCGCGCCCTGGTCCCGGATCTTCGCGAGCAGCAGCCCCTCGAGGTCCGGCTGGCAGGACTTGCCCTCGCGGATCCGCTTCTTCAGGCGGATGTCGAAGAGCTGCGAGATCGTGTCCGAGAGCACGACGACGGCGAGCACGAGGAAGAACGAGCACACGAGCTTGTCCCGCGGCGTCCGCGGCGCGAAGTCGCCGTAGCCGACGGTCGTGCAGGTGACGACGGCGAAGTAAAAGGCCTCGAAGTGGCTGAGGTCGAGGAGGTGCCGCCACTTCTCCGTGAAGACGAAGAAGACGACGACGAGCGGCGCCACGGCGACGGCGTAGACCCGCGGGTAGAAGATGAGCGAGTTCACGGTCGCCGGCGAGAAGCCCTCGATGGGCAGGTCGCCGACGTTGACCATCTCGTGGCCGGCCAGGCGCATGATCGACTTCGTGAGCGTCCTGACGAGCGTCGCGAGCGCGCTCGCGTACTTCGACAGCGTCGTGAGCACGAACACGATGCCCGCGAGGATGAGCGCGCAGGACGCGAGCTGCCCGGCGTTCGTCGTCGGCGAGATGTCGCCGTAGCCGATGGTCGTGACCGTCACGGAGAGGAAATAGATGGAGTCGACCGTCGACCAGCCCTCGAACCGATGCAACACCAGGATGCCGACGACGTAATAGCTCGCGATGATGAACAGGTCCTTCAGCACCGCGCCGAGCGACCGGTGGTCCGAGCCCCAGCGGCGCAACCGCACGAACAACAACGAGCACAGCATCCTCAGTGGTCCTCAAACGAAGGCAGCGTCCATGCTCGCAGCGCCGTTACGCTTGGTTGAACCTTCAACAACGAGTAAAATTTTAAATTCAGAGCATGGTCTCCCGGTCGTCGCCGCGGTGCGCCATGGCGCCGCCGGCGGCCGGCCGCGGCCGCGGCGGCGGCTGGTTCGGGTGGTCGAACTTGGCGAGGTACGCCATGAACGACGTCTTGGCGCGGCCGTAGTACGAGTGGGGGTCGGTCCAGGTGTTGTAGGCCTCCGTCTTCTGCTTGCGGCAGCAGTGGACGATGCACTTCGTGCGAAACAGCGTGACGCCGCCCATGATGAACGTCGCGATGAGCATCGCGATCGTCAGCGTCGCGAGCAGCGTCACGATGCGGCGGTATTTGTGCCGGAGGTTTTTGTTGTCGCACTTTGTGTCGTAGCGCAGGTAGACGTCGACCGTCGGCGCGACGGAGACGCTGGGCTGGGACGTCGTCGGCGATCGGGACGGCGCGAAGCTCGCCGTCGGGCTCTTCGTCGGCGGTCTCGAAAGCGTCGGAGCGCTCGTCGGCAGCGCGCTCGGCGCGGGCGACGGCAGCGGAGAAGGAGCGGACACGCTCGGACGCGGCGTCGGCGCAAAGGTCGACGTCGGAGATGACGATGGCAGGAGCGACGGCGCGCCCGTGGCGGGCATGGCCGTCGGCGTCGGCGTCGGCAGCTCGGACGGCGCCGGCGTCGGCGGGAGCTCGACGTCTTCTTCGAGGACTCTGCGGGCGTACGTGCTTCCGTACGTGCTTCCGATGAGCAACGCCGCGACGACGACGGCGCCGCGGCGGAACATGGGGCTGCCTCTCGCAGCCACCAGCCTGTTGTGCCAAAAGTTCGAGGTTCACCGCTTTACATTGTACTTTGTGTATCTCTCGTTTGCCCTCTTCGTGCTCTCCGGCGCCAAGGGCTGCGTGCTCGCCGCGGTCCTCGCCTTCTTGAGATTCGTCAACGATGTCCGCGTCGCAACAGACGTTTCTCCCGCAAAAGAGCCTGTGCCCGCTGTGGAAGGACGGCTTCGAGACCTGGCACATCTGGGTCTTCCTCTCCGGCCTCGTCTTCGGGAACCTCTGGCTCATCACGTCGGGGACCATCGAGCGACCGACGCCCGGCAAGCTGCCGCTCGATGCGATTGTCACGCCGTCGAACGAGGTCTTCCGCCTCATGCTGCTCACGACGTGCGTGCTCTTCGCGAAGACGCACGCGATGGCGTGGGCGCAGGTGCTGACCGCGTGCAAGAACAACTCCTTCTCCAAGAACCCCTGGGACTACGCGACGGGCTCGGCCAAGGTCGCGCCCCGCAAAACGGAGCAGGACCTGGTCAAGACGACGCTGCACAACATCCACGGCAACGACGTCGAGAACGTCCCGCTGACGCTGACGCTCCACGCGCTGCTCGTGCTCGTGCAGCCGACGCTCGCGACGGCCAGGCTCATCTTCGTCACCTACGCCGCCTCGCGCGTCGCCCACACCTTCTGGTACGCCTGGTACGGGAGCCACGAGATCCGCGCCATCTTCTGGTCCCTCAACTGCTGGGCGAACTACGCGACGGTCTGCCAGCTCCTCGCCGCCTGCGACGTTCTCTAAGGGACGTGTTGCTGCGAAGCCGGGTGTGCCCCGCCGCGAGGCCGCGGCGAAGATCGATACTTACGGGTGGGGAGCGGGGGGCGCGCGCGTCTTCCGCGCGTCTTCTACGCGAGGCCCTGGAGCACGTTGAAGTAGTAGTTGCACTCCAAAAACCCGTCTTCGTCGAGGTCCGTGCAGTGGACGGCGTTCTTGACGACGGACTTGCCGAAGGTGGCCCGGAGGCTCTTCGGTCGGAGCGCCTGCGCGAGCTTGATGTCCGCGGGCCCGCAGAACTCGCGGAAGGACGCGACGTCGGAGCGGATCTGGACGGCGAGGGCCGCGCCCTCGAGGCAGTGGGCGACGATGTCCTCGTGGCGCGGCATGACGCCCTTGTAGGGCGCGAAGAACTCGTGGGCCATCTTCGCGTCGAGCGTCACGAGCTGGAAGCCCGCGACCTCGAAGCCGCTCTCGACGATGGCGGTCAGGACGTCGCCGAGCTTCCGCTCCTCGACGACGTGGGGCTTGACGAGGCAGAGCGTGCAGGGCGCGCCCGCCTCGAGCTCGACCGTCGCGCCGTTGCGGCCGAGGAGCGACGCGTCGACGCCGACCAGGGCCGCCTCGACCCCGGCGCAGGCGCTCAGCACGCGCTCGAGGTCCGCGGCGGCGGAGGTGGACCCGTGCGTGTAGACGTCGACGTAGACCGCGACGCCGCCGCGCGAGCCGCGCGTGAGCGCGTCTCGCAGCCCCGGCTCGAGCTCGTCGAGGGCGAGCGTCTTGAGGGCCCGGAGGCTCGTGAAGTTCGCCTGGAGCGCGCCGACGACGCCCGGCAGGTCCGCGGGGCTCCCGACGCGCACGCAGCCCGTCGCGGAGCTCGTCATCGCCTCCGCGTAGAGGCCCGTGCCGAGATCCGCGGGCGCCAGGACCTGGAGCGCGCGGCCGAAGACGTTGACGACGGAGCCCACGTAGAGCCGGTCCCGCGTCACCTCGGGGCAGTAGATGCGCTTCAGGTACATCTTGTTGCACTTCGTGTCCAGCAGCTCGAGCGTGCAGTCCTTGTAGCTGTTGAGGCGGTACTCGCGCACGAGCTGGGCGCGCTCGTCAAAGTACTGCACATTGTACGCGAGGATGTCGTCCGTCGGCATCTTGAGAAAGCTGCTGGCGCGGACCGTCGCGCGGCGCGAACCGTCGTCGCGGCGCCCACCAGTGTCCGCGTCGTTGCGCGGCGCCCAATGCTGCCCCGTTCAGATACTTGCGTGTTGAAGCGAAGCGCGCCGGTAGACGCCGGGCCGGTGCTCCTTTCGAGGCGTCTTTCGGCTGCGAGAGCTCGGCGTCGCGAGAGGTTCCAAGTCGTCGTCCATACGCGAGCGAAAGCTGCGACTGGTGCCGCGTTTCTCCGGCCGGCATCTCTCCGGCGACGTCGGCGACCCGGTGTGCCGCGGAGAAACAGCGTCGCATCTTACGCCGGAGCGCCCAACGCGCGCGCGCGCGTCCCGAGAACACGAGACGACGACCGCCGATGATGTCGAACCGTCTCTCTTCCACCGCGCATCACCACCACGCAGCAAAACATCGTTCAGTCGGGCTGGTCGATGGGCGCGTCCGCGGCCGCCGCGCCGCGGCCGCGCTCGCGGTCGCGTTTTCGTCGCGCCTCGACCTCCGTCGCGACGCGCTTGGCCTCGAGCCGCTGCGCGCGCTTGTAGCTCGTCCGCTGCTCCAGCGGGAGGTCCTCCTCGCCAAAGTCCGAGTCGTCGGAGCTCAGGCACTCGACGACGTCCTGGACGTAAAAGTCGTTGCCGTGCCGCTGCAGCACGGCCTGCCGCTTCGCGACCTCGAGCTCCTGCGGCGTCGGCATGACGGAGAGCACGACACCGGAAGCGCCGAGCACCTCGTCGATCGATACGAATCGGAGAGCAGCCCGCCGGGGGGAGCGACTCTCTCTCTCTCTCTCTCACCACGATGAAAATGCGGCATCTTGAACCGGGTTGCAGACGCGATTTCTCTCCGACGCTCTCACACCACAGTCTGGCTGCCCATCATGGCGGACTTCGAGTACTTCGAGTCGGTGGCGAGCTGCTGCGCGCCCGCCGAGGACGGCGTCGAGGAGGAGCCGCCCCAGTGGCACGTGTCGAACTCGCCGAGCTGCGCGCAGAGCGCGCTGGTCAACAGCCAGGGGCTCCACCTCGCCTGCTTCGAGTGGCCGCCGCTCGTCGCGCCCGTGCGCGGCGTCGTGCTGCTCTACCACGGCATCGACAGCAACACGCGCTACGAGTTCCTGAGGCATCGGTCCATCCTGAGCGGCGGCGAGGCCCTGGGCCTCCAGTACGAGCGGTCGATGGTCCAGGCGCTGAACGAGGCGGGCTTCGTCTGCGTCGGCGCGGACATGCAGAGCTACGGCACGTCGGAGCGCGTCGAGGCCGACGCCATGGGCTACTTCGAGCGCTTCAGCGACATCGAGCGCGACGCGCGCCTCGTCTTCGAGGACGCGCGCGCGCGATACCCGAACGTGCCGGCGTTCGCGCTCGGCGTGAGCTACGGCGGGCTCGTGACGGCGTCGCTCGCCGCGGCCCTCGGCGGCACGGGGGACCTCGCGGGCGCCGTGCTCCTGGCGCCGGCGCTGAGCCTCGAGAAGCTCAAGGCCCAGCCGCTGAACGCGATCCTCTACCCGATCTCGACGCAGCTGAGCGCGTACTTCCCCCAGACGCCCCTCGCGGACAAGAGCCTCAACGTCAAGTTCCCGCTCCTCAAGGCCGACGACGCCATAGACGACTGCACGGGCGTCTACACGGGCAAGCTGCGCGCGCGCGTGGGCCACGAGACGCTCCTGGCGACGGACCGCGTCCGCGGCGCCGCGCCGACCGTGACGGCGCCGCTCCTCGTGGTCCACGCGCGCGGCGACACCATGTGCGACCCGGCGGGCTCCCTCGAATTCCACGCGCGCGCCGGCTCGAGCGACAAGACCTTCGTCTACGCGGACGCGATCGACGGCGTCGACGAGATGTGGCACGGCCTCACGCAGGAGCCGGGCTCCGACGCCGTCGCCGAGTACGTCTGCTCCTGGCTCCTCGCGCGCGCCTCCCGCGAGGCGCCGGGGTGACGGACGTCGACTTTCTAACGTGCGCTTGTGGCGAGTACGGGTCGAGCCCGAGCCGCGCTGGCTTACGACCCCGGAGCTCCGGCGCTTCGACGACGACGTAGGACGACGAACTCGGCTCGTCGCGAGGCGCGAGGCGTCGCATCCGCATCTTGGGGCGCGTCTCCGGGGCGGTCGAGACGCGCGCGGATTAACGCGCGGAGAGACTCGCTCTTGGCGCGTCCCGGGGCGCGCCGCGCCCGACTCGTCCTTCACCCAAGCTTCACAGTAAACATGGAGTCATGGTGCAGCACCTGATTCTCGTCGGGGATCGCCGCCTCGAAGGACTTGAGGCACTCGACCTTGTCGACGCCGCACGTGCAAAAAACCATGGCGCGCACGCTGCTCCTCCTCGCGGTCGTCCCCGCCCTCGCGCTCCAGCCCCTGCGCGTCGCGCCGCGCCGCGCCGCGGCGCTGCGCGTGGGCAACATCGATCCCACGTCGCCGGAGATGATGGCCGAGTTCGAGAAGCTCAAGGACGTGAGCATGGCCGACATCAACGCCGAGCTGGAGATGATGGGCATCCCGACGACGCCCGACATGGACGACATGTCCGTGAAGCTCCGCCTCATGGAGGCGCGCATCATCATGGGCGCGCCCGACGCCGCGGGCCCGCCGGCCGGCGCGTCGGCGTACGAGTTCCTCATCTACGAGAAGCCGGAGATCAAGACCTACGTCGACGGCCTCTACAACAAGGGCGACATCAACGGCGCCAACGCCTTCATGGAGTACGTCAACGACCGCCCGGGCGCGGAGATGCGCTACGGCAAGGAGGACGTCTACAAGGCGGTCTTCGCCGTCGCCGAGGAGATGATGGCCGCGCCGTCCTTCACGTCCGCCAAGCTGTCCTTCGCGGGCTTCCCCATGATGGGCGAGGACGCGCTGCGGGGCCAGATGGAGTCCGTCGGCGCCGTCGTCACGTTCTCCATCGACGAGGAGGACCCGGTCCTCGGGTGCAAGGGCAAGGTCGAGTTCGAGGAGGAGGCGTCCGCCGTCACGGCCGTCGACAAGTGGGACGGCGCCGACATGGGCAACGAGGTCACGCTCACGCTGAAATACCTCGCGTAGGCGCGCCGCCCTAAAGAAAGCGACGGGCAAACTTAGGTCCGCCGCGTCAGGCCGCGAAGAGCTGGCCGTAGAACTCCCACGCGCAGACGGGCATCTCCATCGTGCCCTTGGAGTTGGCCCCGGCGAGGTGCAGGCGCAGGTAGCGCCAGGCCTTGTTCTTCGAGTCCACGGGGTAGGTCTTGACGCCCCAGGGCGACGGGAGCGGCTCCACGGGCCCCGCGTGGAGGTTCAGCCACGCGTCCTTCGTCGCGTCGTAGCCCTCGAGGGCCCAGGCCGTCAGGTCCATGCCCGGGTCCGGCGAGCCGTTGCAGAGCGTGTAGTGCGTCGGCTTGAGCGCCCGGTTGCGGCCCAGGTCGAGGCAGATCCACGCGTCGGGCGTTGCCGCCGTCCAGCACGGCTGCCGCTTCCGCGCGACGAGCAGCGCCTCGGAGCCCTGGGCCATGCCCGAGGACGTCACGCGCACGCGGCCCTTCTCCATGGGGTTCGTGAAGCGGTCGCGGCGGCCCGACGTGCCGAGCCAGTAGATGAAGCCGCCGTTGTCGCCGTTGCTCGAGAACGTGAACGTCTCCAGGGGCGGCTTCTCGTCCCCCGACAGCACCACGACCTCCGCCTTCGGCACCTGCTCGTCCGACCGCGTGAGGCTCACGGTCTCCAGCGTCGGCGCCGTGACGACCTCCTTCTTCGACGCGGTCCCCTCGCGCGGCTTGGCGACGCAATTCGGCGCGAACTTGGACAGCGAGTTCAAAGCCCCGGCGACGCGCGTCTTCTTCTTGCGCGTCTCCTCGCGGCGCCGCTCGATCTCCGCGTCCTGGGCCAGCAGCTCGTCGGCGACGCCGCCGTCGTCCTTCTGGGCGTGGTGCAGCAGCTTCTTCTCGACGTCCTCGCCGAGCTTGGCCAGCAGATGCGTCTCGAAGAGCATGCAGATGTTCTCCGTGATGCGCTTCGCGGCGACGCCCCAGTAGGCGATGAGCACGGTGCGCATGTCCTCGACCATGGACAGGGACGTGACGCCGTGGTTCGCCATGTACCACCGGCCGAGGCTCGTCATGACCATCTCCTTGAGCGGGTGCTCCTTGAGCGCGTCCTTCGTCGAGCGGCGCTTGTCGTCGGCGGCGCTCACGAGAGCCTCCTCCTTCGCCTCCGCGGGCGCCCCCGCCGCGTCCGCGTGGCTCTCGGCGAGCTTCGCGTCGCCCGCGGCGCCCTTGGCGTTCGCGACGTTGCGCTCCTTCTCCGCGGACTTGGCCGCGTCGGCCTCGCCGGAGCCGCAGGCGTCCATGACGGCGGCGAGCGCCTTCTCGAACCGTTCGAAGCGCACCTTGAGGATGGCCTCGGACAGCTCGTTCTTCGAGATGAACGGGTCGCTCTCGTGCTTGAAGACGTCCTCGACCTTGGCCGTCATCGTCTCCGAGTTCTCCGCGAGGAAGTCGCCGAGCACGCAGCGCACGGCGTGGGAGCAGCCGGGGTAGGCCGGGAAGATCTCCTCGGCGATGTCGCCGCCGGCGTCGAGCGCCGCGTCGTAGAGCCGCGCCTTCGCGCCGTCGATGAGCGGCCGCCACATCTCGACCTGGGGGGGGGGCGAGAGACGTCGGGACGTGCCGCGCGCGCGCGTTCCAGACGAACGCATCCGCCTCCAAACATCACGCGTGGAACACAGGTGAAGTTGAAACAGCCACGCCGATGTCGACGTGGCGCGCCATGAAGCCGTAGAAGAAGTAGGAGTTCAACAAACCGGGCAGCTCGCGGCCCCGCAGCGCCTTCAGTTCCTGGTGCAGCTTCATCGTGAAGTCGTGGGCCTCGAAGTCGGGCTTCTGCTCGGAGATCTCCTGCTCGAGCTGGCGGAAGACGCGGTCCGCGACGGCGCGCAGCCGCAGCCGGGGGTTCTGGCTCAGGATCTGCTCGCGATAGTCGCCGCGGGCGCTGTGGCGCAGCACGGACGAGTAGTCCGCGAAGAGCCGCAGCACGAGCTTCGCGCGCTCCATGCCGCCCGCCGGCGGCGGGTCGCCGAGCTTCTCCGTCTCCTTCTCCGTCTCCTCGAAGTGCTCCTGGAGCTCCCACTTGAGCTCCGGCAGCACGGACGCGATGCGCTTCGTGAGCAGCTTCGTGAGCTTGGCCGTGAGGTTCGCGACGCCCAGGAGGTTCCGGTCGACGGTCTTCCAGACCGGGTGCTGCACGAAGAACTCGCGCTCCGCGCGCTCGTTCGCGGCGGGGCTGTTGATGGCGCCCTGCTTGAGCTGCATGGCGCTCCGGTTCTTGACCATGATGTAGCCGAGCTTGAGCGGCTTGCGCTCGTTCTTCAGCACCGCGACGACCTCGTCCTCGGCGCCCTCGCCGATGAGGTCCGGCTTCGTGAGCACGCCGATGGTGCGCTCGCCCGTCGGGTCCACCGTGAGCGCGCGCTCGAGGATGTCGACGGTGGCCACGTCCTGGTTCGACGGCACGATGGCGAGCACGATGGTCCGCTCCTGCTTGAGGTAGAACTCGACCATCGAGTTCACGTCCGCGATGACGCGCGGGTCCTGGCCCTGCGTCGCCGTGCGCACGATGCCCGGCAGGTCGATGATCGTCAGGTCGGGCACGGACGGCGCGTTGACCGTCACGACGATGCTGTCCGTCGAGAAGCCGCTCGCCGAGCCCTTGGTCAGCGCCGACGTCACGCGCTCGATCGCCGCCGTGAGCTCCGAGGGGCTCCCGACGTCGGCGCGCAGCTCGTCGGACTCGTTCGTCACGCCGCGCCGCTGCACGCTGATCGTGCCCTTCCACCTACGCGCGCGACGGTCGTTCGTTTCCGGGTCGTCGCGGGACGCGGCCGCCGCGCGGCGCGCCGTCGGCCGTCCGCTTCATCGTGAGCTGGCAGGGGCAGCGCGTCACGAGGCCCGTGCCGCGCGGGAAGGGCACGCCGCTCAGGGCCTCGAGCACGCTCGACTTGCCCGACGACTGGTCGCCCATGACGGCGATCTGCGGCAGCGGCAGGTCCTGCTCGATGCCGAGGCTCCGCAGCTCGTCGACGAGGTCCAGGAGGGGCCGCACCTCCTTGTCGTTCTGCTTCGAGAGCGCGCTCTCGGCCATGACGCTCGACGCCATGGTCGGCGGCAGCGGCGGCGCGCGCTCGAACGTCTGCGGCGGCGTCCGCGAGACCGCGTCTGTGGCTCGAGGAGACGCGGCAAGGAAACATGCAAGCGCGCGGATCGTTGAGGAAAACCAAATTCACCTACGCTCACGGCGCGGTGTGGGCAGCCCTCGCGGCGTCCCGGCCTCGCTGTGGAAGTGGTTCTCGGCCTTCGGGGCGGCCTGCTTGGGCGCCTTTAGGTCGTTGTCGGGCTTCGTCGTCGACCCGCAGCGCAGGACTCCCGATCTTGTGCGTCGCGCGCGAGAGGAGCGACCGGCGCTTCCCCCCGGGCGGGTCATGGCCGGCGACGAGGAGGAGGGCTCCTACGACGACGAGGAGGGCAGCGGCTCCGGCAGCGGCAGCGGCTCCGGCGAGGAGGGCTCCTACGAGGAGGGCAGCGACGAGGAGGCCGCCGACGGCGACGACGCGCCGAGCGCCGACGATGCGGCGCCGGAGCCCGAGCCCGAGCCCGAGCCCGAGCCGGAGCCCGAGCCGGAGCCCGAGGAGGAGGAGGAGGCGAGCGATGCCGGCGACTACGAGGAGGAGACCAAGGAGGAGCCGGCGGACTACGACGAGGAGGCGCCGCCCGCGAGCGACACGCCGCTCCTCGCGCGGTCGTCCGGCGCGGTCGACGACGAGAACGTCGCGCGGGCCTTCAAGTTCCTGACGCACCCGCGCGTCGCGTCGGCGTCCCTGGAGAAGCGCATCGCCTTCCTCAAGGCCAAGGACTGCAACGACGCGGAGATCAAGGCGGCGCTGAAGAAGGCCGACATGGCCGCGCGGCGGCCCGCCGCGCCGCCGGCGAGACGAAAGAAGAAGAAGAAGGGCAAGAAGGCGGCGCCCGCGAAGAAATCGAAGAAGGGCAAGCAGGCGCCGCCGGCGCCCAAGGCCGCCGCGCGGAAGAAGCCGGCCGGCGCGCCGACGAGCAACGCGGGGCTGTACTGCGCCATGCTCGCCGTCTGCCTGGCGCTCGTCGTCGCCGTCTATTTCCTGCTCTACGAGCTCGACGTCATCCCGTCGATCACGACCTGGTTCTCGTCGTCGTCGGACGACGACGACGGCTCGTCGACCGCGGCCGCCGCGGGCGCCGCGGACGACGGCGGGGACGACGCGGCGGCCGCCGACGACGGCGCCGACGACGGCGCCGCCATCGCCTACAGCTATAGCTACGGCTACGACCTCATCCGGTAGTCCCGCCGACGCCGCGCGCGCCCCGCGGGGCGCGGCGGCTTCGCACGTAACCAGCCCGTGGATCTTAGCCGGGCACACTGTTACTCCAGGCTCCGCGCGCCAGGCGCACACTGTTACTCCAGGCTCCGCGCCTGGCGCGCGTCGAAGTAGAGCTTCAGCGCGGCGCGCGACCGCGCGGCCGTCATGCGCCCGGCCTCGCGCTCGCGCTCCGCGTCGCCCGCCTCGCGGCGCCGCCGCGTCGACGTGTCCTCGAGCAAATTCTCCAGCGAGTCGCGGCGGACGAGGGGCGCCAGGCCGCTCGCCCCCCGGTGGTCCTTGAGGATCTTCTGGACCGCGGCGCGCGTCACCGTCGCGGCCTCGGGCGACTTGGGGCTCTCGGACGACGGCGCGCCCGCGTCCTCCTCGGCGGCGGCGCGGTCCTCCTCGCCCGCGGACCGCGCGAGCGCGGCGGCCTCGTCGGACGTCGCGAGCTTGGCGACGACGTCCGGCGGCAGGAACTGCTCCGACGCGGCGACGACGGCCCAGCGGACGGCGCGGATCCGCGCGCGCCGCGCCTCGTTCGACTCCTCGTCGCGGATGCCCCGCCGGCTCTCCACGGTGCCCGCCGTCGTCGCGAAGTCCTGCTCGCCCTCGTCCTGCTCCAGGCCCTCGATGAACCAGGCCGCGTCGCGGATCGACTTGTACTCGGCCCGGGAGAACCACGTACTCGCCTTCTCCGAGGCGCGCGCGGGCTCGAAGAACTCGACGCGCGCGACGAGGGGCGTCGCGAAGCGCACGCACCGGGGCCGGCGCGTCGCCCCCAGGCCCTCCTCGTGGGCGATGGACGGCAGCGACGCGCTCACCGGGAAGCGGCGGTGAAACGACGACGACCGCCGCTCCGCGGACACCGCGCGCGACCCGTAGAAGGAGTCGTCCAGCGACGCCTCGGCCATCGCCGCCTCGGCGTCCAGACCCGCGCTCCGCGGCCGCCCGAGCGCGGCGCCGATGCCCGCCGCGTCGTCCAAGACCGCGAGGCACGTGAAGGACGCCGCGCGCGGCCGCCCGAACGTCGGAACCCGGCCGCCGCGCCGCGTGCCGTCCAAGCCCCCGTCGTCGCCGGGCCAGGACGGCGGCGGCGGCGTGCGCCCGTCGCGGAGGTCGTCGTCGTCGTCGTCGCCGCCGACGCCGCGGAGGTCGCACGCGCTCCGCGACGCGGCCACGAGCGCCCGCCCCCCGTAGCGCGAGCAGTCGAGGCTCTCGTCGCTCGACACCCGCGGCCGCGCCTCGCGGACGGGCGCGCGGTCCTCGCGGACCTCGTCGTCGCCCGCCGCGAGGTCGAGGACCTCGCGCGCCGCGTCCGCGAGGTTCTCGACGCGGGGCGGCGACCGCTGCGCGTCCGCGCGGACGATGCGGCCGCCGTAGGCCGTGCTGTCCAGGCTCGAGTCGTCCTCGCTCACGGACCGCGGCGAGTCCGGCCGGTCGTCGAGGTCGCCGTCGCCGCCGTCGCCGTCGCCCGCCGCGCGGTAGGCCTCGCCGGAGCCCCGGACCACGCGCCCGTCGTACGACGTGTCGTCGAGCGAGCTCGACGGGTCGCTCGACGCGCGCCCGCTCGACGCGTCGTCGGCGGCCTCGCCGTCCGCTTCGTCGTCCGAGTGGCTCGTGAGGCTCGAGTCCCAGGACGCCTGGCGCTTCAGGCGCTTCGCGTCCTTCTCCTCCTCGGACTCAACGGAGATGAGCGCCCACTCGTCGCTCTCATCGCTCTGCGGCGACTGCAGCGCGAGCGCGCCGTGGTCGCTAAAGTCGAGCGCCTCCTCCCGGCGCGACCGCCGCCGCGCGGAGCCGAAGACCTCCGACGCCGGCGCGTCGAGGCCGTCCGCCTCGACCCGGCGCGGCGTCTTGCAGAGCCCCGCCGCCGCGGCCTCGCGCGGCGCCGCCAGCCGGGGATGGAACCACCACGCGCAGTTGACCATGGGTCGGCGTCTGCCGCCCGCTAGGGGGCAGCAGCGGGTGCCGTCGACAAGACGCGAAGCTTTGTCTTCGTCTCCTCTACGTAAGCTCAATTTGCGACAATTTTTCAAGTTGAAGTCGTTGAAGCTGTGTCTAAGTGGGCGATTTTAGAGGCATCCGGGACGACGCTCGCTGCCGGACGCTCCGTGGACGACGATGACCAGCCGGAAGTCCGCAGCTCGCGAATAGCAGAACGCGCGGCGGCGCGATCGCCGCCGCGGCGCGCGCGGTCGGCATCGCTCGAACGAGCCGCGCCACATAATCTCGCAGCGCGCTCGACGACGCGCGCCGCACTTCCGGTCGCGCATCGCGCGCGCGGCCGTAGCAGAACCGCGCGCCGAACCACCTTCAACCTACGGATTCCAAGCCGGCATTGATCGACCGGCGACAACGAGGGGGAGGCGCCCGAAGCCGCGCCTCGCGCCGTCGCATTCTCCCCATGGTCAAGCACCAGCGGCGGCGCGCGACGACGACGAAGGTCAAGCGCAAGGCGGACAAGAAGTTTTTCAAGAAGGTGCAGCACGACGACGCCGAGGTCGCGAAGCACTGGGACTTCCGCAAGACGCGGGAGCACAACATGAAGCGCCTGGGCCTCGCCCACGACGTGAACCGCGCCGTCGGCAAGCTGCCCGGCGCGGCGCCGGCCGGCGAGCGCGTGGACCAGGCCGTCGAGCTCGAGTTCGTCGACATCCCGCAGCAGGCCGACCTCACGAAGATCGGCACGAACGACCGCCGGCCGCCCATGTCCGAGGACAAGCAGGCCTACATCGTCAAGCTCATGGCCAAGTACGGCGACGACTGCGCGAAGATGGCCCGCGACGTGAAGCGCAACCCCCAGCAGCTCACGGAGGCCAAGCTCCGGAAGATGGTCGCGAAGTACGACGGCCTCAGCGACAAGCACCGCCTCGTCGCGCGGCGATAGGCCCAGGGTAGCGATGCGACCTGAAATCGCCCCCCCGACCTCGGTGAAATCTTCTGTCCGCGGCTTTGATTAATTCGATGTGCCGGGATTACTTACTCTTTACGTAACGAACGCGCGCGCGCGCGCGCGTGCAAAATGGACGGGACATGGTCCAATTTCCTTAAAATTCAACAAAATTGCGAGCCGAAAGACGAGGATCACCCGGCTTTGATGCTTCTTGAATACCGGGACTGCGAAACCCAAATATAGACGTGTTTGGGGCCCCTGCCAGGTAAGAAATTTTTTCGTTTCTTCAACTTGAAATTCAACAAAAATTTGATTTTCCCCACATTCTTTGATTTATCGCCCTATGGAGCCCGTTCCTCGGTGAATTTCAGAACCGGAACGCGACCCTGGATAGGCCTAAGATTGCTTGTGGTCAGAGGGCTTACTACAACCCGGGGACCTCGAGCCACCCGCGCCGCTGCGCCGCGTCGAGCCCCGCGGACACGGCGCGCTCGAGGTCGAGGTTGAACGCGACGGTGCGGAGCGGCTCGGCCATCTCGCTCGCCGCGGGCCCCCAGACCCCGGACGCGTAGTCGCCGCCCGTCTCGCAGCAGGCGAGGTGCGTCGACGCGGCCACGAGCACGTCCCCGCCGCGGCGCAGCTCCACCGAGAGGCGGCCGTCGTACGTCTCCGTCGCGCCGTCGGCCATGCCGGCGTCCGTCGGCACGCGCACGGGCACGCCCGCGTCGCTCGCCGTCGCCGCGATGTCCACGGTCAGGCCCTCGTAGGCGCCCGACACCCGCCAGTCGCCCCAGGGCGCGACGGTCCACCGGACGTCCGGAAACGGGAGGAACTCGCCGTCGACGTGGAGGCCGATGAGCGCGACGTCCTCGCTCCGGTCGAGGCGCGTGCCCGCGAGCAGCTGCCGCGTCGCGCCCGTCGCCGTCAGCGTCAGCTCGGAGCAGCCCTCGAGCGAGGCCTCGAACGCGTTGCACTGGAGCCACCACCACCGGCTCGGAAACGCCGCGCCCCAGTTCTTCTCCGCGTAGAACGGCGCCCGGGCGAAGCTCAGCCGTTCGCCGTCGACCTCGACAAAGCCCGTCGCCCGCCCGAGGCTCATGAGCACCTGGTAGTGCGGGCTGAAGAGCGGGCCCAGCGACGCGAGCCAGCCCGCCGTCGAGTACTGCCGCGCGCTCGCGTTGGCGAAGGCGCCGCCCCAGCCTACGACGGGCGACGAGGTCGGATTTTAAAACTCTCGCTTCCCGGCCCGAAAAACACGCGCCCGTCGCTCGACGCCGGCGCCGGCCGAGCACGGGCTCGACGGAAAAGTCCCAGGCGACGCCGTCGACGCGGCCCCGCTGCCGCGTCGACGTCAGCGCGAAGGCGTCGCCGCCGGCCAGGGTCGCGCGCACGTCGAGCGCGTGCGGCGCCGCCGCGAAGCGCGACACGTCGCGCGACGCCGCGACGCGCCGCGCGCCGCCCGCGGGCCGCGCGACGAGCACCTGCGCCTCGACGCCGGACCGCGGCGTGCGCGCGCCCGGGTCGAAGACCGCGAAGATGAGCGCGACGGACGTCTCCGCCTCCGGCAGCGTGAGCCGGTTGTACCAGCCCTCGAAGAAGGGCGTCGACGACCCCTGGCCGTGGTAGCCGCTGTGCGGCGTCCGCGACGGCGCGAGCGGCGCCGCCATGCGGAGCAGCGCGAGTGCCGCGAGTGCGTGTCGCATCGCAGACGTTGTGCAAAGCGCGCCGCGTCCGCGGAGCACGCGCTGGCCGAGAGCTTGTGCACACACACGAGAGCTCGAGCTCGGCCAGAGCTTGTGTGCACACACGAGAGCTCGAGCTCGTGTCGAGCCACGGCCACAGCCCAATTCAACATGCCACATTGAGCTTTGGCGAAAGTCGGTGATGACAGCTGGGTCGCTGATGAGTCCAAAAAAGCCGCATCTGGTCGCACGTGCCCCAGACTGCATCGTGTCCGTTTTGTCTGGTTGGCTGACATCGAGGGGCCAGTAGTGACCGTATCTCAGACCTCACAGAAATGGAATTGATTCCATTTAAAATATTAGATCCTTCACAGAGCACGCTCATCAGATTCTGTCTTAGATCCTCAGCTCGTGAAGCGATACCAGCGTCGCAGAACCCCGCATGGTGTCGGCCGCCGCGCGACGCGACGCGCCGGCGCATCGGCGGCCGGTCGGCAGCCCGCGCCGCCCGCCGCCGCACTAGGAGGCAGCCCTTTCAGCCCGCGCCTCTCCGCGCCGCCCGCGGGGCCGCCCATTTTCACGAGATTCCTCCATGGCCGAGGCGGCTGCGCGGCGGTCGACGCCCGACGGCGTCGAGTCGACGGGGCGCGCCGCCGACGACGCCGTCGGCGAGCGCGACATCAACCTCTCCGTGCGGTCCGAGGCCAAGCCGGAGCCCTTCCGGACGCTCTCCGAGGCGCTGACGCCGAAGCAGGACTTCAACGAGGGCAGCGACGACGGCGGCCGCGAGGACCTGCGGGACCCGGACCACTGCCGGCGCCTGCTGGCGCCCAACGCCTTCGACGGCATCGCCTGGGCCGCGGCGCCGCCGCGCGCCGAGGCCAAGGACGCCGCGGCGGCGGCCGCCGCGGACGCGCGCGCCGCGGGCTTCGAGTACATGAGCGAGGTCGTGCGCATCGTGCCCTGGACCAGCATGCGCTGGGTCCAGGAGGCGAAGCGGCGCACGCGGACGCTCTGCAGCCTCGCGGACTACGGCCAGCCGCGCGCGCCGCGCGACGAGCAGGTCGTGCCGTCCGAGGTGCCGACGGCCATCGGCAGCGGCGCCATGGCCGTCGTCGCCATGGCCGCGACGTCGGCGACGCCGGACCCGGGGCACGGCCGCCCGTCCGTCGTCGCCGTGAAGATCCTGAAGAAGGACGTCGCGGTGATCCAGCGCGAGGTGCGGGGCAGGACGAGGGTGATTCAACGTCGCTTCAACGTGAGTGTTCCGCGCGCGCGCGTTCCGGAAACAGCATCCACGCGTCGAGAGCGCTCCGAGGGATGATCGCTCGTCCCAAAGTCAGCCGAAACGAGCGGAAATCGACCGAGAAAGGAGCCTTTGAAGTTGGGCATGTCGCACCCTTTTCCCGCCCAGGCGAGGTGCGGTGCTTCGCGCGCGAGGTCGCGCTCCTGGGCCAGCTCGCGCACCCGAACCTGCTCAAGTGCCACGGCTGCGGCGCGGGCCCCCAGGGGCGGCCCTTCTGCGTCCTCGACCTCATCGAGGAGACGGTCTTCGAGGCCCTGCGCCTCGGCGAGTGCGCGACGTCGCCGCCCGCGCGGCGCGCGGTGTCCAAGGTCTGGCCCTCGGACTCGCGCTACCGCCTCGCGGCGGAGCTCGCCGACGCCCTCGCCTACCTGCACCACCGGGCCCTGCCGGGCTACCGCGTCGTCCACCGCGACCTCAAGCCCGACAACATGGGCGTGACGTCGCGGCGCCAGCTCAAGCTCTTCGACCTCGGCCTCGCGACGCTCGTCGGCGCGGGGCGGGGCGCCGACGAGAAGCGCGGCCAGACCGAGGAGCTCCACCGCCTCACGCCGGAGACGGGCACGCAGCGCTACCTGTCGCCCGAGTCGATGCTCGGCCTGCCCTACAACGCCAAGGTCGACGTCTACGCGTTCGGCCTCGCGGCGCTCGAGCTCCTCTCCCTCGACCGGCCCTTCTCCAACCTCAACGCCAAGGAGCACCGTCTCTGCGTCTGCCCGCCCATCAACCAGCGGCCGAGCGTGCCGAGGAAGTGGGACCCGGCGCTCCGCGCGCTCCTCGCCAAGTGCTGGGCGCCCGACATCGCCGACCGGCCGGCCATGGACGACGTCCACGCGACGCTCCTGCGCCTCCGCGACTCCGAGCACCTCTTCAAGCAGCCGACCATGTTCGCGCGGCGCTTCTCCTTCGGCTCGAACCGGTCGTCGCGGGACCGGACGCCGTCGCCGTCGCCCCGGACGCCGTCCGTCCACCTCGGCGCCGGCGCCCGGCGGCGCGCCGACGCGCCCGACCACAAATGACCGCTCTCCCAGGTCCGCCGCTTCCATCTGGCGCAAACTTTATCCGGCACGTCGTAGCCGTCCCCGCCCGGCGCAGCCCGGCGGGACCCTCTATGTGTGTCATTAACTCAGCTGATTCTCTTACTTCTTCTTCCGGCGGCCCTTGCGCGCCTCGGCCTCGAGCTCGGCGAGGATCTTGGCCGCGGCCATGCTCGCGGCGCGCTTGCTCGGGTGCATGCCCTTGGCCGTCGCGTTCGCGGTCCGGTCGCCGTAGTGGGCCTGGACGGTGATGGTCGGGTCGTGGTCCGGGCCGGTCTTGCGGATGGTCTCGTAGGTCGGGAGGGGCCGCTTGTGCTTCTGGGCGTGCTCCTGGAGCCGCGTCTTCGGGTCGCGGAGCGGCGGCGTCGCGTCGGCCTTCGCGAGGAGCGGCGCCCAGGCCTTGAGGACGACGCGCTTGGACGCCGCGTAGCCGCCGTCCACGAAGACGGCGCCGACGATGGCCTCGAGGGCGTCGGCGACCATGGTGTCGTTGGAGTTCGAGCGCGAGACCCAGAGGCCGTGCGACTTGGCCCGGACGTGGCCGTCGAGCCTCAGGCCGCCCGCGACGGCGACGAGCGCCTCGGTGCGCACGAGGCCCGAGTGGCGGATCTGCGACTCGCCCTCGTCCTCGTCCGGGTAGTGGTCGTGGAGCCACTCGGCGACGACGAGGCCGAGCACGCGGTCGCCCAGGAACTCGAGGCGCTCGAAGCGCCCCGTCGACGCGTGCGCGCCGGTCGACGGGTGCGTCAGCGCCGCCTCGAGGTGGTCGAGGTCGTCGAAGTCGTGGTCCAGGCGCTTCGACAGCGACTCGAGGTCCTCCGCGGGCGGCGGGCCGCCGGCGCGCCGCGGCGCGCCGCGCACGACCGCGAGCTGCGCCTTGCTCGCCGCCTTGCTCGCGAAGCGCCGCGCGGCGATGAGCAGCATGATGCTGGACGCGAGCAGCATGCGCCGCGCGTCGGCGGCGGGAGGAGAAAGAGGTGCAAGAGGTTAGCGGGCAGAGCTCAGCGGGCCTCGCGCGCACCCACTGCGTCGATGCCCATGCTTTTGCCGCCTCAATGTGCATTATTGAATGTTCAATAAAAAGAGGCTGCCCCGGCTCTTCCGACGATCGGGGGCTGCCCTTGCCATGGGTCCCACGCGGCGGTCGAACCCGGCCTTCGTCCTTGAGGACGTCGACGACGGCGACGTGGCGCCGCCGGCGACGGCGTCGGCGTGCGCCCCGGCGGAGATGCCGAACTCGCTCGACGAGGCCCCGCGGACGCCGGCGACGCCGCCGGCGACGCCGCCGGCGTCCCCCGCCTGCTCGCCGCGGCGGCTCCTGAGCGAGGCCATGTACTGCATCCGCATGGACCGCGGCCGGGCGCTGCGCGCGCTCCGCGACCGCCACGGGCCCGAGGCGCTCTGGCGCCTGGTCGACGCGCGGGGCAGCAACCTGCTCCACCTCTGCGTCTTCTTCAACTCCTACGAGTGCGCCGCCGTCGTCCTCGCGCCGCGGCGCGGCGCGGCGCCGGCGCCGGCGGGCGGCGGCGCGCCGGGCCCGCGGCGCCTCGCGCGCCAGCCGGGCGACGACGGGCGGACGCCGCTGCACCTCTGCTACGAGCGCGGCGACCAGGCGCGCCTGGGCGTCGTGACGCCGCCGGACCCGCGGCTCTTCGCCCTCGTCGAGGCCCAGGTCTACGACGCCGACGAGCGCGCGGCCGCGCGCGGCGCCGTCGACGAGTCCGCGGCCGCCGCGCGCGACCCTAACCGCCGCGACGCGCTGGGCCGCAAGCCGGGCGACCGGCCCGCCCGGCGGTCGCCGCGGCGGAGCGCGAAGCGCGCCGTCGCCGGCGGCCGCGACGCGCCGCGCGCGGACGAGGGCGCCGACCGCGCGGAGGCCTCCGGCGCGCGCCGCGGCCGCCGCTTCGCGCCGGGCCGGAAGCCGCGGCGCGAGCTCGCCGCGCCGGCCATGAGCGTCGCGCCGGGCGACGACGCGCCGGCGCGCGACGCGCCCGGCGACGCGCCCGGCGGCGACGTCGCGTCGTCCGACGACAGCGGCTCCGACGGCGGCGGCGGCTCCGAGGCCTTCGCCGACGCGGGCGCGGCGCCGTCCTTCGTGTGCGCGCCCGACGACGACGCGTTCGGCGCGGCCGCGCCGCTGCTCTTCGGCGCGGGCGCGCCCGCGCGGGCCCGCGGCGAGCCCGACTCGGTCCTCGGCCGCCTCGGCCTCGGCTTCTTCTTCTGCGCCTGCAACGGCCTCGACGCGGACCCGCCGGGCCCGCCGCCGCCGCCCGGCGAGTCGGCGACGCCGCCGCTGGACCTCGTCTCCGCGCCGCGCGCGCCCGTGGAGACGTGCGACCTCGACGGCGACGGCGCGCCCCGGCCCGCCGACGACGACGAGCAGGCGCCCCAGGTCGCGAACCTCGTGTTCTAAAGTTGGGTAGGACGGGGGCTGGGTGGGCGCCGGCAGTGCGCCACTTAGTGCGCCGGCTCGGACGGCAACGTCGACTGCACCGTCGACTCATCTCAACGCCAACCAAACGCTGTGCCCAGCTCTTGGCGGCCATCGCGACGCGCCGCGCCGACCGGTCGACGCGCCGACGCGCCGACGCGCCGCGGCCTTGATCCGTCGGCCATGTCGGACGACGCGTCGGAGCGCGCGGCCATGGACGCGGCGGCGGCGGCGGTCAAGGCCTGGGCGACGCGGCCGGCCTTCGAGCCCGACGCCACGGTGAACGCGCACCGCGCGGGCCTCGGCGCCTGCTACGGCGCGGCGGCGCGCCTCGAGTTCGCCGGGTCGCTCAACGTCGACGCGACGACGGCGGCGGAGCTCGCCGCGGAGGCGGCGCTCGAGGCGCGCGTCGCCGCGTGCGCGGCGCGCGAGCGGCGGTGCCACGATTTCCGCGAGGACGTCGAGGCGTGCCTCGGCACGCTCGCGCGCGTCGGGTCCTGCCGCGACGAGGCCGGCGCCAAGGCCGCCGAGGTGACGTCGGCGTGCGACGCGATCCTCGACGCGCAGCGGGCCTTGGTCGTCGAGGCGGAGAAGTACGACGACGCGTTGGGCGACCTGGAACCCGTCGCGCCCGCGCGGCTCGCGCGCGTGTCGGCGGAAGCCGCCGACGACGTCGAGGACTTCGAGGCCGCCGTGCGCGAGCTCGAGGGCAAGCTCGCGCGCGTCGACGCGCGGCGCGCGCGCGGCGAGCGGCTCTTCCGCGACGAGGAGCCGTACGTCGCCGCGCTCGCGCGCGCGCGCGTCGCGGCCTGCGACGCCTGCCGCGACGGCCTCCTCGCGGCGCTGCGGCGCGCGACGCTCGACGGCGCCGACGCCGCGCGCAGCGCGCCGGACGGCGGCGGCGACGGCGACGGCGCGGCGGTCGGCGAGGCCGAGGCCGCGGCGCTCCTCGCGCGCGCGCCGCTCGTCGCGCGGCTCCACGGCCAGCTCCGGCGGCCGCCGGGCGACCGGCCCGACGTCGCGGCCGCGGCGGCGCGCTGCGGCGACGCCGTGCAGCGCGCGTACTGGGCGCGGCGCGGCGCCGTCGCGCGCGCGGCCGTCGAGCGCGCGGTCGACGCGGCGCAGGGCGGCGGCGCGGCGGCCATCGCCCGCGACGCGTCGGCGGCCGCGCGGCGCGCGCTCCGCCGCGAGCGCGAGCTCCACGGCGCCGTCTTCGGGACGTCGCGCGGCGTCGACGCGCGCGACGAGCGGCTCGCGGCCGCGGCGCTCGGCGACGTCGCGGGCGAGCTCCACGCGGCGGCGCGCGCGTCCGTGCTCCGGAGCGACGATCTGGACGGGCTGCGGGACGTCGTCGCGGCCGCGCGCGAGGCGCGCGCCGCGCCGGGCGCCGAGGTCGACCCGGAGGTCCAGCAGTCGCTCGAGCGGCTCCGCGCGGACGCCCAGGAGCGCGCGACCTTCGTCGCGCTCGCCGCCGTCCGCGCCGCCGTCGAGGCCCACGAGGCGGACCCGGCGCAGCTCGCGGCCGCGCTCGAGCCGGGCGCGTGGTACGGGCCGCTCCGGGCGACCCTGAAAACGCTGAGCAAGCTCCACGGCGCCGTCGACGCGCCCGTCTTCGACGACCTGGCGCGCCACGCCGTCGCCGCCTGCGTCGCGGCGCTGCGGCGCGGCGCGGACGCGCTCCAGGAGAAGGCGGCCACGGCGGACGCGCGCTTCGACGCCTTGCTCTTCGCGATCTCGCACCTCCTCGTGCTCCGCGAGCGCATCGCGCCCCTGGGCATCAAGTTCGGCGCCGTGACGCGCGAGCTCGACTGGCGCGGCGCGCGCGCGGCGGCGGCGAAGCTGAGGCCGCCGGCCGCGCCGGCGACCGCGCCGCGCCGCGGCGTCTTCGCGTCCATCGCGGCGGGCCTCTTCGGGTCGTCGACGACGCAGAAGGCCGAGGCCATCGGCGAGCTCGCCCAGCGGGGCATGCCCACGGTCGACGAGCGCGCCGTCGACGCGAAGCGCGACCTCGAGCTCGAGCTCAAGCGCGCGTGCGCGGCGTTCGTCGCCCTCGCGCACCGCGAGATGGCCAAGGCCCTCAACGAGCCTTTGAAGGCCGCGCGCCTCCTGCTCCCGAACCACGCCGACGTCTCCGAGGCGAGCCCCGCGGAGCTCACCAAGTGCAAGCAGCGGCCCTTCGCGCAGCCGGCGGCCGTCGGCAAGGCGCTCCGCGACGCGCGCGGCGACGCCAAGGCGACGCTCGACAAGCTCCAGCGCAAGTGCGCCGACTTCCTCGAGAACGCGAACACGCGCAAGGTGCTCCTCAAGCCCGCCAAGGCCAAGACCATGCAGTCCCTCCGCGAGTTCGCGAAGCTCGCGGAGGCGCTCCTCCCGCGGGACCTCCTCTCGGAGCTCGACGACGACGTCGCCGCCATCACGGCCCTCTGCGCCGCCGAGTGATAACTCCCCATCTAGGAACCGTCGTTTAGCTCCCTACATCCACACGGCGGACGCGGCGTCGCCGTAGATCTTCTTGAGCTGGAAGCCGTACTTCTCGACGACGGCCGCGCGCTTGAGCTTGAGCGTCGGCGTGAGCTCGCCCGTGTTCTGGGAGAAGTCTAAAGGCAGGATGGCGAACTTCTGGACCTTCTGCGCGCTCGACACGGCCGTGTCGTTGTAGGCGTCGATGGCCGTTTGACACGCCTTGCGCCAGACCGCGTCGTTCTCCGCGTCCTTGGCGGACGTGACCGCCGGGTTCACGTCTTTCGCCGCGCCGACGAGGACGTCGTCGAAGGAGCCCGTGGCGTCGTTCTGCTGCTGCTTGAGCGTGAAGAGCACCGAGAGGAACTTGAGCTTGTCGCCGACGACGACGGCCGTCGACACGCCCGGCAGCAGCGACTTGAGCGCGTCCTCGATGGGCACGGGCGGCACGTTCTCGCCGCCGGCGGTGATGAGCAGCTCCTTGATGCGGCCCGTGATCTTGAGCATGGGCGCGGCGCCGGCGCCGAAGGGCACCAAGGCGCCCGTGTCGCCGGAGTGGTTCCAGCCGTCCGCGTCGACGGCCTCCCGCGTCTTGCCGTCGTCGCGGAGGTAGCCCAGCATGACGGACCGGCCGCGGAAGCAGACCTCGCCCTCGCCCGGCTTGTCGCGGCCGGCGACGTGGTCCAGCTTGATCTCGACGCCCGGCACCGCCGGCCCGCAGTAGCCCGGCGCGTAGTACTCGTTGAGCGTCACGGCCGCGGGCCCCGCGACCTCGGACATGCCGAACGCCTCGTTGACGACCAAACCCAGGCTCCCGAAATACTCGAGCGTCGACGACGCGATGGGCGCCGCGCCCGTGAAGAGGAAGTGCGCGCGGTCGAGGCCGATGGCCGCGTGGACCTTTTTCAGGATGACCATGGCGAATGTGCGCTCCGCGGCCGTCAGCGCGCCGCCGAGGAGGCCCGCGTACGCGCCCGCGGCCGCGTCCGCGCGGCCCTCGCGGTATTTCGCGAGCGCGACCTTCTTCGCCCACGTACTCAGCTTCTTCTTGACGCCCGTCGTCGACGCGCCGACGGCCTGGAGCGCCTCGGCGAACTTCTCCCAGACGCGGGGCACGCCGAAGAAGACCGTCGGCCGCACGTGCTGCAGCGTCGCCTTCAGCGTGCCCTTCAACGCGTCGGGCCGCGCGAAGAAGAGCGTCGCGGCGTTGACCACGGGCCCGCAGCCGACGGACCGGCCCACGGTGACCAGGCCCGCGTAGATGTCGATGGCCTGGGCCGCGATGTGCGACAGCGGCAGGTACGACACGAGGCGCTCGCGGCCGCCCGGCGCTTTCCCGAAGCGCACGAACTCCGCGAAGGACGCGACGACCCAGGTCACGTTGTCGTGGCTGATCATGACGGCCTTGGGCCGGCCCGTCGTGCCAGAAGTGTATATCAGCGTGCAGCAGTGGCCGCTCTCCTGCGCGGCGACGCGGGCCGCGAGCGGGCCGCCGTCGGCCGGCGCGGACGCGAGGAAGGCGTCCCAGGCGAGCACGGGCGCCGACGGGCCCAAGGCACTCAAATCCGACCCCGCGTCGCCCCAGACGACCGCGGCCTTGAGCCCCGGCAGCGCGCCGGCGACGCTCCGGACCTTGTCGAGCTGGCCCTTGCCCTCGACGACGACGAGCGCCGCGCGCGAGTGCTCGAGGACGTACTGGACGGCGTCGGGCCCGTTCGTCGAGTAGATGCCGCTCGCGAAGCCGCCGGCGAGCACGGCGCCGAGGTCCGCGATGAGCCACTCCTTGGAGTTGAAGCCGACGATGCCGACGCCCTGCGTCGGCGCGAGGCCGAGCGCGATCATGGCCCGCGCCGCGGCGCGCACCTGGGCCACGTACTCGGCCCAGGTGAAGGACCGCCAGTTGCCGCCGTCCTCCCAGGCGAGCGCCTCGCTCGCGTTGTCCTCGAGCCGGTCGACGAGCGCGCCGACGGTCTCGGGCGCGCGCGACGCGACGCCCGCGGCGCTGAGGCCCCGCTGCAGGGCGACGCCGCCGTCGCTCGTGAAGGCCACCTTCGGCGTCTCCGTGTTGTAGTTGGACGCGTCGAGCGCCTGGGGCTTCGGGCGCGCCGCGGCGGCGCGCGTCTTCTTCTTGTAGAGGATGAAGGCGGCGACGGAGCCGACGACGACCGCCGCCTTGGTTTTTGGTGGGGCGCGGCGCCAGGCATCGAGGACTTTGTCGAGGATCATCTCAGTACCCGCAGGGCCTTGCGCGGGTGACGTCAAGGCTCGGCGAACGAGCGGCTCGAGGTCCTCGGGCAGCACCAGAGCTGTGGCAGTGGATGTTGGCGAGCACCTTCGGCCTGTGGCAGCTCGACGATGACGACGCCTCGACGCCTGCCAGCGCTGCTCCTAGCGCTGCTCATAACCGCAACGCATGCATTCGTCGCGCCTTCGACCACGCGCCGCCCAACAATCGCGCCGCTGCGGTCCAGCCGGGACGAGGAGCTCTTCCTCTGCGAGGAGCACGTGGCCATCGCCCTGGAGGAGCTCAAGGCCGAGTACGACGCCGTCTTCCACCAGGACGCGTCGCTGAAGATGTCCGGCGACGTGCGGCTCGAGGCCATCGAGGGCTGCGACGTGACGCTGCGCCTCTTCGGCCTCTTCTGGCACTCGCGGCCCGTCGTCTTCGGCCTGGCCGCCAACTACCTCGCGGCGCGCATCCCCGAGATCGCCGACGTCGTGCCCTTCTCCGAGGCCAACGTCGGCGACGACGACCGCCTGCGGTCGCCGGACTTCAACGGCGACCGGCGCGAGATCGAGCGCCTCGGCCACGAGCCCGACGAGGTCGTCGTCATCCGCCACCGGCCGGGCCTCACGTTCACGGGCTATAACATCTACTAGACGAGGTCCTGGACGCGCGCGAAGAAGCAGAGGGGCGCCCGCGCCGCGCGGACGTCCGCGCGGTCCCACTCGAAGCCCAGGAGGAGCCGCGCGCGGTCGAGCACGAGCGTGACCTTCGCGGGGCCGTCGAGCGGCCGGAGGTGGTGCACGTGCGCGGCGCCGCCGACGGCGTCGTGGAGCCCGGCGAAGACGCGGAGGAAGCCGCGCGCGGCGCCGATGGGCCCCGCGAGCTTGGACACCGCGAGCGCGCGGTCCGAGAACGAGAAGCCCGCGAGGACGTCGTCGTGGAACGCGTCGCAGGCCCTTCGCGTCGCCGCGGCGTCGGCGCAGGCCGTGCCCTGGCTGGACCGCGCGCCGCCGGTCCCCTCGAGGCGCAGATGGAAGGCGCTCCGCGCGCGCCGCTTCGCGAGGACGTCGCGGACGAAGATCGCGACCTCCTGGGCCTCCTCGATGTCGGCCAGCACGTCCGCGTACGTCGCCGCGCCGTCGCCGCGCGCCGCCGCCAGCGCGAAGGCCTCGCGGGACACGTCCTGGTCGTCGGCGTCGCGCGAGAACCAGCGCGCGCAGCGCTCGGCGACGGCGGCGGTCGGCAACCCGTAGAGCGCCGACGCGGCCCGCCTCGCGTCGTCGACGTGGCGCTGGCGCGACGCGCTCGGCCGCCGCGCGAGGGCGTCGACGATCTCGCGGTGCCGCCGCGCCGACACGCGTTTCGCCGCCGCGCGCCAGGACCGGTCCGCGCAGCGCGCCGCGCCGAGGAGCAGGGCCTCCCAGTGCAGGTGCATGAAGACGAGCTCCAGGGCGTCGTCGTCGAGCGTTTTCGTGGTTTCGGTGGCGGTGGCGTCGTCGAGCGACGCGCGCGCGATGGATGCGCACGTCGAGGCCAGAGAGGCGCAAGCCATCGGAAGGCGGGCGCACGGCAACAACTCGTCAACGAGCGTTGTTGCATTCCAACGGCTCGCTCGAAGTTCCCCCACGAGCTCGCCAACCACCGCCGACACAGACCACACACGTTACGCCGCGAGTTCGAAGTGGTTGTTGAGGCAGCGGGGGCACCACTGCTGGGGCTCCGCGAGGCGGCGCGTCATGCGGCGCAAGAGCAGCTCGAGGCTCTTGATCTCCGCGGTGCACTGGAGGATGGCGTCGAAGTTGTTCTGGTCCGTCTTCTTCAGGTGCTCCTTGCGCGCGCGCGTCTCCTCGAGGAGCGCGACGTTGCGCTTCTTCTCCGCGGCGAGCTGCGGGATCGCCGACTTGCGGACGTCGTCCGTGAGGTCGCCGTTGCAGATATAAAAGACGTGGCCGCAGTTCGGGCAGAGCGCGAAGGACTTGAACTTGTCCGCGCGGTCGTCGTCGTCGTCGAGGATGTCGTAGTCGTCGAGGTCCTCGACCTTGACCGTCGCGGGCTCCGGGTTCTGGCTCGTCGGCGGCAGGAGCCAGCTCGCCTCGTCGCGGAACGCGACGACGTGCACGACCTTCTTCACGCGCTCGATGGACGTCACGATGGCCACGTGGAGCGCGCCGTGCATGATCTCCTTGGCGAGGAAGTCGAGCGTCGCCGTCGCCTTCGCCGCGGGCACGAGGACGCAGCCCGGGTGGAGGAGCTTGCCCTTGTGGCGCTGCCAGGGCGCGACGCGCGGCTTCTTGCAGGTCACGCAGGACGGGAGCCGCGCGTCGTTGCGGTGCGCGCAGACGCCGCACTTGAAGACCTTGGGCAGCCGGCGGCCGTCGAAGCGGAGCGGGCCCACCAAACGCAGCCCGACGAAGCGCTCGCCCGCGGCGTCGCTCCGCGCCTTGATGGCCGCCATCATGTGGACGCGGCCCCGCGCCGTCAGGGGCGGCGCCTCGCCCTCGTCGACGCCGCGCTTGGCCTCCGCGACGCCCGCCGCCGCGGCCGGCGCCTCGCCGGGCTCGCGCTTCATCTCGGGCACGCCCATGGGCTTCGCGCCGCGCATGAAGACCATCTGCTTCGGCGCGGCCGGCGGCGGCTGCGCCCCGGCGTCCGCCGTCTGGGGCCGGCTCGACTGGCGGCTCGTGCCCTCGGACGTCACGGGCCGCGAGTCGTCGGACGTGTCGCCCTGGTAGCGCTCCACGTAGGACCCCGCGCCGTCCTCGACGTTCCTCGGGCCCTGGCCCGGCCCCAGCTTCGCCGCCTGCTCCCGCGCGCGCTTCGTCTCGAGCTCGAGGCGGTTCGACGTCAGCGTCCACCGGTCGTCGTCCAAGCTCCGGTCGTCCTCGAAGCTCGCGAGGTCGTAGCCCTGGCTCCGCTCGCGGAACTGCTCCTCGAGGGACCGCTCGTCGGCGTCGCCGCCGAGCCGCTCGGGCATGTCCTCGAGCTCGAGCTCGCTCCGCGCCGTCGACGGCGTCGCCGGCTTCGACGCCAGGAACTCCTTCACCGGCGGCGGCGCCGTCGACGGCCGCGAATCCCCGCGCGAGCTCCGCGGCGACGCGACGCCCGACGACGCGGGCCGCGACGGCTCGCTCGACCGCGGCGTGTTGTACGCCGACATGATGGTCGCGTTCGAACTGCGTCGTCCAGCGCTACGGGGCTGCCCCTGCAACGTCGCTGCAATCCTCCTGCACCATCGACTTCCGCGGCGCGCAATGGCTTGCTCGTGAGAGAGCTTTTGGGAAATGGCTAGCTGGCTCGCCGACGAAGCGCAGAAGTTCGTCGATCAGACGCAAGCGTACGTGACCTGCCTCATCAATGGACCCGCGACGACAGAGTCGGAGTCGCAGACGGAGACCGACGCCGCGCCGGCCTACGCGACGGACAAGAGCTGGTGGCTGGCGAACCCGGCCCTCGGCGTCGTCGGGTCGGAGCTCTGGGTGCCCATGCAGACGGTCCCGCCCACGACCGTGGAGTGCGCGCCCGTCGCCGGCAGCCCGGCCGCCGACGTCTTCTTCGTGCACGGCACGCTCGCGTCGCCGCAGGACGGCCCGAGGGGCGACGGCAACTACGACTGCCGCGCGAGCCTGCCGGACGCGACGAAGGGCTACGTGCTGAGCCAGGCGGCGTGCTTCAACGCCGTCGCGCGCATCTTCGCGCCCCACTACCGCTACGCGGCCTTCGTGGCCGAGGACGCGAGGCGGGGCCTCGACCTCGACGGCCGCCGCGACTTCGCGTTCGCGGACGTGGACCGGGCCTTCGACGCCTTCCTCGCGGCGAGCGGGTCGCGGCCCTTCTTCCTCGCGGGCCACTCCCAGGGCGCCGTCATGGTCAAGAAGCTCCTCGAGGCGCGCTTCGGCGACGAGTCGCTCCGGCGGCGGCTCGTCGGCTGCTACGCGCCGGGCCTCGCGCTCTTCGCCAACGTCGCGCCGCCCCTGCCCCTGGCGACGGAGCCGGGCGCCGTCGGGACCCTCGCCTGTGTGGAGCGGCGCGGAAATTTTGTCGTTTCGAACGGTCATTCGATGCCCCGCGCAGGTTGGAACTGCGCCGCGGAGCACGCGGCCTTCGAGCACACGGTCGTCGGGTCGCTCTGCGGCGGATACCGGCCCCTGACGGCGCTGCCGGGCCTCGACGCCGCCGGCGAGGGGTCCCACCTCGGCTGCTTCGGCTGGGGCGCGTTCTTCGTCCAGGTCTTCTACACCGAGGCGTGCGCCAAGGTCGCGGTCAAGGACGGGCTCCTGCGCATCGTCGGCGACAAGAACGCCCTCGCCTACTACGCGACGGGCACGGGCTGCATGCACAAGTGGGACTTCCACCTCCTCTGGCTCGACGTCCGCAAGAACGCCGTCGCCCAGCTCGCGAACTACGAGAAGGAGACCGCCGCGGCCTAAGCTTTTTTCCGTTTTTATTTTCAAGCCCTGTCGGCTATGGGCTCACTGCGAGAAACGGACCTGGATGCACATTCTAAATTGCTCGTTCGTCGACTTGCCGCCCGCTGTATGCGCTGGGCAAGCCTTGGGCAGTAAAGGCTTAGTAAGGTTTTGAGCGATTTTGCTTAGCCGCGGCGCAGGGAAGAACCGAAGGGGGAGAGAACAGCGAAGGGAGCCGAAGGGAAGCGTCACGGGAGGACACGACTAGGGCGGAGGCGTACGCGAGCACGGCGACGATTTTGCCTGTTGCGCCCTCGGTCGGGAGTGACGAAGGGTGATGTGGGTGATAGGGAGCGTCGGCGACGAGCGTGGGAAGAGATCATGGACCCTGAACTTATCAAGAAGAAGCGAGAGTACGAGGCGCGAAAAACTCGTACAAAGCTGGCGCTCAACATATGCACGATTTGCGGGAAGAAGGATGCCCGGCCCTGTAAAGGGTGCGGCACGACGGCCTACTGTTCGACGGACTGCCAACGCATCGACTGGCGCGACCGGGGCCACCGGAAGGTCTGCAAGAAGGTCCAGGCCGCGGAGGCGGCGCGGGCGGAAGCACCTACGCCCCCGCCGTCGCCGCCGCGGGACGTGTTCTACGGCCCCGCGCCGCGGTCGCACGCCGACGAGGTCCGCGCGCGCATCGCGGCGGAACACGAGGCGGCGCGGGCGCGGCGCGAGGCGAACCCGGAGCGGAAGCCGACGTCTGCGCGGTACGGGTCGCGGTGCCCGATCTGTCTCGAGGACTGGGACGTGAATGCTCCGGACGTGCTTCGCATCTGTTGCTGCCGGAGGGTCTGCAAATCGTGCCAGGTCAGGATCGGCTCCGGCGCGTGTCCCCTCTGTCGTGCACCGCGCGTGAAAAAAAATGCGGAGCAGCTCGCGCGTCTTCGCCGCCACGTGGAGAACGAAGTGCCGGAAGCGATTATGTTTTTGGGAACTGCGTACAACTTCGGTTACTTCGGCCTCGTGAAATCCGATAAGAAAGCTGCGAAGATTTGGAAGCGCGCTGTGGAGCTCGGGAACCTGGACGCGATGATACTTCTTGGGAATGCGTACAACAAGGGGCTGGGCGTCAAGCTGGACAAGAAGAAGGCGGAGCGGCTGTATCGCATGGCCGCAAATCGGGGCGACGCGCTCGCACAAAACAGACTAGCGGCTTTGCTTCATTCTGAGGAGAAATTTGAAGAGGCGATCCGGTACTTTGTGCTCGCGGCGGATCAAGGCTTTACCGATGGAGAGCACAACCTTGCCTGCTTCTATTACGAGGGAAAAGGCACGGAAGTCGACCTCGGCAAAGCCAGATACTGGTTCGAGCGCGCCGCTGCCAAGGGCCACGAAAGAGCTAAAGCGGCCCTCGCGCACCTCGACGCGCGAGTGTAGCCTAAGTATTTACGCCGCGTCGTCGCCCGAGCCCGAGATGCTGCGCTTGTGCGGCGTGCGATTCGTGCTTGGCCTCAGGCTTGGCGTCGTCGTCGCCGCGGCGCCGACCTTCGCGGTCTGCCACCGTCTGGATAAACGGCGACACCGCACATTCTTAAGAAAGACCCCTGGAGGAGCGCGCGCCCGAGCGCGTCGCCGCCGCGCGCGCTCCGTCGGACTACCGCGGGCTCGCGGCGAGGCGCTTCGCCTCGACGGCGACGCCCCGCTCGTCCGCGGCGGCGCAGCGGAAGGCCGCGGCCTCGATGAGCGCCTGGACGTGCTCCGCGTCGCGCGCGGCGCGGACGGCCGCGCGCGAGCACGCGCGGACGCGCCGCTCCGCGGCGAGGCAGCGGTCGAGGGCCGCGCGCGACCGGCGCGCGAGGCGCGCGGCCGCCGCGGCGTCGTCGGCGCGCGTCGCCGCGGCCGCGTCGTCCGCGGCCCGGCGCCGCTCGTCGGAGTCCGCGCGGCGCCGGATGCGGTCGTCCTGCGCGAGGCGCTCGGCCTCGAGCGCGCGGTCCCGCGCGTCGGCCTCGCGCGCGGCGTCCGCCGCGGCGCGGTCCCGGTCGCGGCGCGCCGCGCGCGCGCGGTCCGCCTCGAGCTTGCGGAAGCGGTCCGCGCGGTCGCGGTCGCGCCTCCGCGCGGCGCGCGCGGCGTCGGCGCGTGCGAGGCGCCGGTGGCACTCGGCGATCTGGGCCGCGTCGACGCCCCGGCCCGGGAAGAGCGCCGCCGCGGCGCCGGCCCAGTCGACGGCGTCGCGGCCGTCGGCGCCGACGATCGCGCGCGCCGCGGCCCACTCGCGGATCGCGGCCTCGTCCGCCGCGGAGAAGGGCAGCGGCGCCGCCGCGCGCCGCGCCGCGGCCTCGCGCCTCTTCTTCTGGTAGGCCCGGCGCACGGCGTCGGGCGCGTCGGCGCCGCCGACGAGGGCCGCGAGCTTCGCCGCGAGGCGCGCCGCGTCGCACGCCGCGCCGGGAAACAACGCCGCGGCCGCGCCCGTCCAGTCGACGCGCGCGCCGGGCGCCGCGCCGGGCCGCGCGTGGTCCGACGCCCAGGCCAGGAGCGCCAATTCCAGGTCCTCGGTCCAGGGCAGCGGCGGCGGCGGCGGCGGCCTCCGCGGCGCCGCGGCGAGCGCGGCCTTGGCGCGCGCGGCGACGCAGTGCGCGTCCGTCGCTTCGGCCTCCTCGAGGACAAAGTCCGGGTCGCGCGCGGCCGCGTAGCCGAGGCGCGCGTCGACGACGCGCGTCCGCGCCCGCTTCGCCGCGGCGCGCGTCGCCTTGGCCGCGGCCGCGGCCGCCTTCGCGGCGAACGCGACCTCGTCGGCCGCGTCCGCCGCGTCCGCGGCGCGCGCCATGTCCTCGCAGTCGCGCAGCGCGTCGTCCGCCGCGGTCCGCAGCGCCGCGCCCGCGGCGGCCGTCGCCGCGCGCGCGCGCGCCTTGTCCTCCGCCGCGAGCTCGCGCCGCTTCAGGCATTCCGCGAACGCGGCGTCGCGGCCCGCGCCCTCGACGAACCCCAAGGTCACGGGCCGCGGCGCGTCGCGGATCTGGGCCTTGATGCGCCCGAAGGCCGCGTAGCGCTGCGCGTCGTCGTAGCCGTCGTCGTCGCGGATCGCGACGGCCTGGCCCGCGAGCGTCACGACCTCGTCGCGCGGCCTCAGCCGCGACTCGAAGAGTCGCTCGTCGGACATGTCCTCGACGCTGAGCGTGCACCAGCTCCGCGCGCGCGGGCTCCGCGGCGACGCCGACGCCGCGTGGTGCCGCGCGAGCGCCACCGTGAACCCGAGGCGCGGCTCGGCGAACTCGAGCTCGTAGTACGCGCCGTCGGCCTTGGCGCGCTCGACGTGTTTCGACACGGCGGCGTAGCAGCGCGCGGACTCCTCGAGGCTGCTCAGGCGCCGCCGGTGGACCCGCGCCGCGTCGGCGTCGAGACCCCGGGCCGCGCCGAGGACGCGCGTCGAGCCCCGGCGCATGGCCGGCACGAGGTTGCCGGCGTCGTCGTGGACCTGGAGGTGCTTGGCCTCGGCCATGTCCAAGACGCGGCCCGCGCTGATCTTGTCCCAGGACGACGACATGGCTGCGTGTTGTGTTGTGCGCGCACTCGCGCCGCAATGGGTCCTCCTCCGTCGGCTGCGGCAGCGCGCTCTCAGAGGGCCATACCCGCCACAAAGAAGTGGACCATAGTGGACCTGGCGCTCGAGCCGTTCAAGTGCACTGCATCATGGGTCCGGACGCGGTCGCGTAGTCACGCAGCGCATACGGAGCTCGGAGCGAGAAAATCCCGTGTTTTAAATGGGCAGATTCACCTGGTCCTATCGATATCGGCGTGAGCCCACTTTGCCTACAAAATTCCTTAAATGGCCGCATCGGCATCGACGCCGAAGCAGAGCGGCAGCTCGGCCGCGTTGGTCGGGGCGTCGAGGCAGCGGCTTTGGACGTCCGCGGGCGCGCGCGTCTCCGATCTCTCCAGCTTCAGAGACGCTTCGGCATTTTCCACGAGCGAGATCACCGACGGCCCCACCGGGTCGTCGTCCGCGGGCACCTCGGGAGGTTCCTCGGCGGCGCCCTCGCCTTTGGACATGCGCAGCCGGATGGCCTGCGTGACGCAGCACAGGGCGGCGAAGGCCAGGCCGATGAGCGAGATGAGGTCGATCTCGAGCTCGAGGCAGAACTCGATGAGCGCCTGCGCGGGCACCGAGGCGACCGCGAGGCCCACCATCATCTCGCCGAATTTTTTCGTGCTCCAGCCCGCGCGGATGTGGTCGTCCTCAATGTAGGTCTCCGCGTAGAGCATGATCGTCAAGAAGAGCTGCAGGAACACCATGCCTGACATGACGGTCGAGAAGCGGTCCGTGCTGTCGTCTACATATGGCTGATAGTACACGTAGATGCAGGTGAAAAAGAGACTCATGAGCGCGGCCGTGTACAATTTGCCGATGGAGTCGTCGTCGTAGAGAACCATGAATCCCGTCAGGCAGATGCGGCGGAAGCACTCGGCGCACTCGAACCACCAGCACCGGGGTTCGTATTCGTCGAAGAGGAAAGTGAGGTGCGAACACGCGGGATCGATGGACCGATGCTCGATGACCATGTTCTGCCCGACGGTCGTCAGGACGCCGAGCGCGGCGTCCTTCGATTCCTCGGGGAAATTTGCGAGCGCCTCCTGGACATGGAGGAACTCGACGGCCTTGTGGTGCACGGCGAGAACCTTGGCGAAGCGCTCCGACGACACGAGGTGGTCCGCGCCGTCGCCGGCCTCGGCGGCGGCCCGCTTCGCGTTGAGGACGCGCTCTGCCGAGGCTTTCACGCTCTTCTTCGCGGGCGACGCCGGGACGAGCGAGTACTTGCGCTTCACGGCCTTCTCCTCGGCCGTGTCCGTCTCCGCGACCTCGACGGGCTCTTCCAGAGCGAGCGTCCGGTCCTCGCCGGACAGGATCTTCGACACGAACGCGTCGTAGTCCGTCGGCGCGATGCTGTCCCGCACCGAGTACAGCAGCGCGAAGAAGCCCAGCGGGATGCCGACGGGGTAGATGACGATGCAGATGTAGGCGTAGATCGCGTGCGATTTGTACCGGTCCGACCGACAGGAAACGGTGTAGTCCGCCGCGAGCCAGGAGCCGTTTTTGAACGGGGACCCGTCGGGCTCGTCGTCGTAGTCGTCGTCGCAAAACAGAGACGCGAAGATGACGTTAGAAACCTGTGTGGAAATCAACCGGTGAGCTGGGACGTCGGGGCCGAACTTCAACATTCTCCAGCTCGGCCAAATCGAAGTCGATTCGGGTGATTTTTGGACGAATCGATCGCTCTCTGATTTCCACACAGTTGGAGACCGTCGTGTAGAGCATATGCGTGCCGAGAAGCCCGAATAGCATGAATATCTCGCGCGACTTGGGGTGCCGGCGCCTGAGGAGCTCGTACGCGCCGAAGAGCAGCGCCAGGCCGACGATCGGCAGCACCGTGTACCTGTGTGGAATCATTTGAAGTTCTCTAGCTCGGCCAAATCGAAGTCGTTTTGGCTGACTTTTGGACGGATCGATTGCTCTCGTCGAGTTCTCGAAGCAGAGCCGAAGAGTCTGGTCCAAACCGTTCGATTACGCGCACATTGAAGTCGGATTGAAGATTTCCACACAGGTCTGTACATCACGAGCTTCGAGAGGAAGTCCCACTGCGGCCGGTCGCATTCCGTCGACGCGGCGAAGAACGCGCTCGGGTCGAAGCCGAAGATGGACAGCGACTCCGTGAGCTTCGCGAAGATGTCGGGGAAATCGACGGCGGAGAACGTCTCGCCGAAGGCGCCGACGATCTGGACCGTGACCAGCAGGATCTTGAGCTTGGGCACGAGGAAGGGGAGCCACTTGTCGTTGAGGCTCGCGAAGACGTCCGTCTTCTGCATCGCGTCGACGTACGCGCCGAGCCAGTGCTTCACAGCGTAGTAGCCGACGGCGACGACGACGACGAGGCCCGCGAAGAAGGCGAAGATGAAGAGGAGGAGTTTCTGCGTGTCCTCGCCGCCGCCCTCGCAAGCGACGCAGCGGAACGTCTCCGCCTCGAGGTAGTAGTCGCGCTTGCACAAAGCGCACCGCGGGCCCGCGTGGTTGTAGGCGCACGACGCCGTCGGCGCGCGCCACGACGTCGGGTTGAGCTTGTTCCAGAGATCGACGGAGGAGTCCGGGCAGTAGTCGTCCGACGCGCATTTCAAGACGTTCAAGCTCAAGCTCGTCGACCGCCAGTAGCCGTCGTCGGGCACGAGCGCGTGGCCGCCGCTGCACGTCGCGTCGTCGGGGCACGTGTGGCACGAGTCCGTCGGCTCGAACGACACTTTCCCGCGGGGACACAGCGTGCAGACGCCCGAGTTGTAGTACTCGCCCGCGACGCAGTCCGTGAGGTTTACGGACGCGTCCGCCACCAGCCCCGCGGCGCTGATCGTCGCCTCGAGCGCGACGATCGACCCCGGGACTTTCGTGATGGTCACTCCACCAAACGTCGCGAGGCCCGCGAAGACCTCCGTCGAGATGTCGCCCGTGAGCGTCGCGCCGGCGTCGTCCGTCGACAGGATCACCGCGTCGCCCTCCGACGTCCGCACGCGGTGGCCGTAGAGGTCCAGGAGCTCGACCTCGATGGAGCCGTTGACCTCGACGCCGCTCTCGACCGCGGCCAGGCGCCCCGAGCTTTGGGAGTCGACGAAGGCGAGGCTCTGGACCGGCGTCGCGAGGATTTCGCCGAAGAGCGCCTCGTTCGCTCGCGCGCGGCCGACGCGCGGCTCCGGCGACGCGCCGGGCGAGTAGTACGCCGCGCCGCCGCCGCCGAGCGGGGCCCGGTTCCCCGCGACGAGGTCGCCGGCGGCGTCGAGGACGACGACGCCCGCGATCGCGTCGTCGTCGCCGGAGATCTTGACCGCGCCGCCGTCGCCCGTCGCCGCGACGTTGCCGGCGAGCGTCGTGTTCCCGAGGCTCACGAATTCCGCGGGCGGCGCGACGAGGACGGCGCCCGCGTCGACCGCGGCGTCGTTGCGGAGGAAGCTCGTGCGCGACGTCGCGAGCGAGCTGGAGGTCGCGACGCTCGCCGCGCCGCCGCTCCCGAAGACGGCCGCGTTGCCGGCGAAGACGCAGTCCGTCGCGTTGACGACCGAGAAATCCGTCGCGGCGAGCGCGGCCGCGTCCTCGGCGGTATTGTTCAAAAACGCCGTGTTCCGGAAAACGACTCTGGCGCCCTCGGACGTCTGGACGACGCCCGCGCCGTAGGTGCATTCGTTCGAGGAGAACGTCGCGTCGGTAATCGTCGCGACGCCGGACTTGAGAAGCAACGCGGGGCCGCCGACGCCGCCCGACACGGTCGTGCGGTTCGCGGCGAGCGCGGCGACCTGAAGCTCGATCGCGCCCGCGTCCCACTGCGTGTACGTGCCGAGGATGTCGACGTCCACGAGGCTCACGGCCCCGCCGCTGGAATAGAGGACCGCGGCGTAGTCGTACGCGAAGCACCGGTCGAAGGTCGCGTTCGCGAGGAACACGGAGTGCGGCTTGGACGCGCTGATGCCCTCCGCGTCGACCATCGAGTCGGAGACGCGCAGGTCGACGGCGTCGAGCACCGCGTCCGCGCCGACGCTCACGATGCCCACGGACGCGCCGTCCTTGGCGCTCGACACGTTCCGGAGCGTCAGGAGCGCCGTTCTCTCCACGTACGCGAGCGCGCCCTCGGACGTGACCTGGTTCCCGACGGAGGCGACGTCGCGGACGCGGCAGTCCGAGCCGACGGTGCAGTAGAGCGCTCCGCCGTACGTCGTCGCGCCGTCCGCGAGCGTCAAACCCTGGATCGTGGCCTCGCCGTAGTCCGAGACGTACACGTGAGCGCCGGCGGCCGACGTCGACCCGACGACGGCCGTCGTGCCGGACCCGTCGACGACGCCGTCCCTGATGAACGCGAAGCCTCCTTCGAACGCGCCGTCGTTGCCCGTCGCGGAGCTCTCGGCCAGCTTGACGGCGCTGGCGGCGTCGAGGTAGAGCGCGCCGCCCTGGTCCGCGACGTTCGCGTCCAAAACGACGCGAGTCAGGTTCGCGGACGCGGACGCGAGCGCCATCGCGCCGCCGGAGCTCGCCGCGCAGCCCGTCACGGAGGCGCCGCTCACGAAGAGCGACGTACCGGTCAGCGCCGCGCCGCCGCCGAAGCCCTCGACCGCGGTCGCGTTCTCGACGACGAGGTCCGTCGCCGTCGCCGCGCAGCTCGTCAAGCTCAGGCACCCGCCGCCTTCCGTCGCCGCGGAGTTGACCGCCGTGACGGCGTGGAGCGAAACGTTCGCGTTCTGCGCGAAGAGGAACCCGCCGGTGGCGCCCGAGGACGCGTCGCTGACGGCGGAGCTCATCGACACATCCATCGTCTCGTCGATCTCGTCGCTCATGTACGCGTACACGACGCCGCCGTCGCCGAAGGCGTTGTTGTTGGCGAAGGTCGCGTCGGCGAGGTACGTCCCGACGGCGTCCCCCGTCAAGTAAGGAAAGTCCGAGGGGCAGAGCGTCGGGTTCGGGCTGTGGTACAGGAATCCCCCCGAGCCCGACGCGCCGTTCGTCGTCGCCACGAAATTCGATAGCTCCACGCGGCAGGCCGTCGCGAAGATGGCGCCGCCGTCCCCCTCCATCGCCACGTTGTTGGAAAACGTCACGGCGGCCGCGCGCGCGGCCTCGCGGACGCCGTCTCCGGCGTAGACGAGCCCGTAGTTCGAAGCGTAGATCGCGCCGCCCGCGCCCGCGGCCTTGTTGCCGTCGAACGACGTGCCCGGCCGCAGCGTCAACGTGTCGGGCTGCTCGACGAAGAGGCCGCCGCCGTCGCCCGGCGCGACGTTCGACCGCACGGTCGTGTCCCCCAAGACGACCTCCTCCGAGTTGGGGCAGACGAAGAGGCCGCCGCCCTCGCCGCCCTCGGCGTTGTACTGGTAGTAGGCCCAGAAGGCCGAGACGCCCGCGGCGTTGCCGACGATGTCGCAGCCCCAGACGCGGAGTTTCTCGCCGCAGAAGTAGACGCCGCCGCCGTCGATCGAGTAGTCCCCGTCGTCAAAGTAGTCGTAGTAGGACCCGCCTCCCGCCGCCGCGCCCTCCGTGATGACGAGGTCGCGCAGCGTCAGCGAGCCCGCGGAGCTGAGGACCCGCGTCGTGCCGTTGTTCCCGCTGAGTTCGACGCCTGCCGCGCCGCGGAGCACCACGTCCGATTTGTTGTTCGAGAGCTCGATCTCGGAATCGAGCACGAGGCTCGCCGTGATCGTCACGTCCGCGCAGACGTCCGCGGCGACGACGGCCGCGAGTTCGTCGTAGGTCGCGGCTTCGTAGGACGTCCGGCCGCTCGGGCACGCGGAGGAGCAGCTCCCGCACGCGCGCGGGCACGCGTCCGCGATATCCGCGGCCTCGGATTCGTCGTAGAGGGCCGCGTACTTGCTCGCGTAGGCCTCGCAGTCCCAGCGCTCGTGGTCGGCGCACGTCAGCCCCTGGGCGTCGACGAACGTCGCGTCGTCCACGCAGGTGTCGTCGGTGTCTTCGAACGGGTCCCCCTTCGTGGGCGCGGCCGCGTCCGTCGCCGTCGGAGCGCTCATCGCGCTCGTCGCCGTTGGAGCGGCCGTCGCGGTTGTCGCGGTCGGCGCCGCGGTCGCGCTCGTCACGGTCGGCGCCGCGGTCGCGGTTGTCGCGGTTGGCGCAGCCGCGATCGCCTCGGTGGTTGGCGCCATCGTCTCGTTGCTGTCGTAGTAGTACTCCTCCGAGAGGACGGCCCTGGCCAGCGCGGCCAGCAACAAGCGGCTGAACATACTCGCGTCGCCGACAGCGTCGGGGGAGCTAGAGCGCGGCTGCCATTGCTCCAGGGAGCTCCTCCCTGCAGAACACTCGGCCTCACTCTTCACCATTAGCCCGGCTCGCCCATCCCCAGCTCCGCGGCGGCCGCGCGCAGCTCGTCGGTCGTCGGGTGGCCCACGGTGCCCGCGAGCTGCGCCGTCGCGCGCGCGAGGTCGTCCTCCGACGCGTCGTCGGCGCCGGCGAGGAGCGCGGACGCGAGCTCGATGCGCGCGCGGCGCTCCTTGGCCGAGTTCGGCCGGTCGCCGGTCGTGTCGTTCGTGAGGCTCGACCAGTCCTCGCCCGTCTGCCAGTCGTCGCCGGGCGTCGGCTCCATGGACGCTAGCGGCCGCCGCCGCCGCGAGCCCGCGAGCTCGAGCGCCTCGCGCACTCGCGCGAGCGTCTTCTCGTCCAGGTGCACGTCGACGTCGCGCGCGGGCCGCGCCGCGAGCTCGCGCGCCGAGTCGCCGTAGCGCCAGCGGCCGCCGACGTGCGCGAGCTGCGGCAGGTCCGGGTCCGCGCCGGCCTCGACGAGGGCCGTCGCGCAGCGCGGCCGGCCCTCGTAGACGCACGTGTGCAGCGGCCGCTGGCCCGCGTGGTCGACGAGGTTCGGGTCCGCCCCGAGGCGCAGCAGGAGGCGCACGATCTCGTCGCTCTGGGCCTACCGAGAGCGACAGGGTTTCGAGGCCTCGGGCGCGAAACACGCGTGGACGCTGCTCCGCGCCGAGATGATCGCGCAGCCCAGCGGCGACATGCCGAAGGTGTCCGCGGGGAGGTACAGCGCGTTGACGCACGCGGTGCCCCTCCGCCGCCGGAGCTCGATGACCATGGCCTGCTCGCATTTGCTGACGTCGTCCTGGTAGTTCGTCGCGCGCTTGATCGCCGTGAAAAACGCGCGGCCGTAGTCGTCGGCCTCGCTGTAGACGGCGCCCGGCCGGCAGCTCGCATCCGCGACGCGGGGCCCGCGCGGCTCCGCGAGCGCGGGCAGCAGCTGGCAGTGCGGCACGAGCAGCCAGCGCGGCGCCTCGGCGGCGGTGAAGGGCAGCCGCGGCGCGGGCGCCTCGGGAGCTCCGGCCGGCGCCGGCGCCTCGGCCGGCGCCTCAGCGGCGGCAGCCTCGTCCGGCGGCATCTCGACCGGCAGCTGCCGGCGGATGTAGTTTTTCATCATTGGGCATGGCCAAGGCGCATTGATGCCCATTCTATCGCAATGAGGCAGCCCAGATCAAGCCCATAAGCGCCGGTTGAGGCACACGTTGAACCGATGGAGCCGAGGTGTTGAGTTTTCAGAGAAGTGTGATGCGGGCCGCATCGCGGTGCTGCAGCAGTGAGGTCTGAGCCGCAGATAGCCTCCGCGGCTTCTAGCAGCAGCGCGGCAAGAGCTGCAGATAGCCGCCGCGGCGCGACACGAGCTGCAGATAGCCACCGCAGTTTTGTAACACGAAACGCGGCAGCGCGATGAAGGCGCCGCGCTACGAGGCCGCGGCGCAGCGCAACATCGAGGAGCAGGCGTCGTGGCTGTCCTACGCGCTCATGTGGTACGCGAACCCGGTGCTGCGCCTCGGCGCGTCGCGGCGGCTCGAGGAGCGCGACCGCGTCGCGCTCGCGGCGGTCGACGACCCCGCGCGCGTCCGCGCGGCGTTCGAGGCGCACTGGCGGCGCCTCGGCGCGTCCGCGAGCCTGCGGGCGACGCTCTGGGCCCAGTTCCGGCGGCGCCTCATCGCGGGCTTCGTCGGGTCCATCTTCTTCGTCCTTTTGACCATCGCGGCGCCGCTGACGATCCGCGCGCTCGTCGCGCACGTCGCGCGCGGCCGCGCGGCGACGTCGCGGCGCGCGTACGTCGGCCGGGGCCTCGGCCTCGTCGCGGCGCTCACGGCGATCCAGCTCGTCGACGCCGTCGTGCGCGCGCACACCATGTACCACGTGAAGCGCGTCGGCATCGCCTGGCAGTCGGCGATGATGGGCGCGATCTTCCGCCGGTGCCTCGCGCTCCGGGGCGGCGCGGCGACGGGCCGGCTCGTCGCGCTCGCGTCGACGGACAGCAGCCGCTGGCCCGACTCCATGCCCGCGCTGCTCAACGCCGTGCTCCTGCCCTTCTGGCTCGCGTTCATCCTGTGCGCGGTCGCGGTCTGGGTCGGCGTCGCCGAGGCGCTCGCGGGCGTCGTCGCCGCGTGCGCGCTCGTGCTCCCCGTGAAGCGCTGCGGCGACGCCATGCGCCGCGCCCAGAAGGCCAAGTCCGAGGCGGCGGACGCGCGCCTCAAGCGGTCGCGCGAGCTCGTGAGCGGCATTCGGGCCGCGAAGCTCATGGGCTGGGAGGCGAGCTTCGTCGACGAGATCCGCGGCACGCGGGCCGTGGAGGAGCGGCGGCTCCGCGACTTTTGGATGAACTTCTCGGCGGCGACGGCCATCTCGAGCCTCGCGGCCGTCGCGAGCCTGCTCGCGTCGACGGCCGCGAGCGTCCTCGTCCGCGGGCGGCCGCTCGGCCTCGCGGACACGTTCCTCGCCGTGTCGCTCTACAAGATCCTCGCCGGCCACGTCATGGAGGCGGCGAACTCGGCCGCGACCATCGCGCAGCTCCGCGTCGCCTTCAAGCGCTTCGACGACTTCGCGGCGCTCGCGGCGGAGGACGTCGTCGCGCCGCCGACGCCGCCGCCGCCGGGCGCGGACGCGGACGTGCTCGCGGCCGTCTCCGGCGACTTCGGCTGGGACGACCACGCCGTGCTCCGCGGCTGCGACGTCGCGCTCCGGCGCGGGTCGCTGACCGTCGTCTGCGGCGCCGTCGGCGCCGGCAAGTCGACGCTCCTCGCGGCGTGTTTGGGCGAGTGCCGCGGCGGGTCGGCCTGGCGGCGGCCGGCGTGCACGACGGCGCTCGTCGCCCAGGCGCCCCTCGTCTGGGGCGCGACGGTGCGGGCGAACATCGCGTTCTTCGCCGCGGGCGCCGTCGACGACGCGCGGCTCGCCGCGGCCGTCGCCGCGGCGGCGCTCGGCCCGGACCTCGACATCTGGCCCGCGGGCCTCGAGACCGAGGTCGGCGCGCGGGGCATCACGATCTCCGGCGGCCAGAAGGCGCGCATCGCCGTCGCCCGGGCGCACTACGCGGCCGCGGACCTCTCCGTCTACGACGACCCGCTGAGCGCCGTCGACGTCCACGTCGCGCGCAAGCTCTGGGAGGCCATCGTCGGCGCGCCCGGCGCGCGGCTCGTCGCGACGCAGCAGGTCCACCTCCTCGACGACCGCGTCGACGAGATTTTGTTCCTCGTCGGCGGCCGCGTCGCGGAGCGCGGACCGCTCGCCGATCTCCTCGCCAAAAACGGCGGCTTCGCGAAGCTCTACCGGTCGTCGCGCGACGCGCCTCGATCGCCGCACGCGGAGGAGCGCAAGGAGGCCGACGCGCCACCGCCGCCGCCGGAGAAGAAGAAGGACCCGGGCGCGCCCGCGCCGTCGGGCGTGCTCGTCCGGGAGGAGCGGAGGCACCGGGGCGCCGTCCGCGCGTCGACGCTCGCCGCCTACGTCACCAACGGCCGCCCGCCGGCCGTGGGCCCCGCCGCCGTCGCGCTCTTCTTCCTCCTCGTCGCGCTGGACCGGTTCCAGGAGTGGTACCTCGGCCGCTGGGCGAGCCGGCGGTCCGCGACGCGCGGCGCCGCGCTCTTCGGCAGCGCGTTCGCGACCTACGGCGTCGTCGCGGCGTCGCTCGCCCTGGCCATCGCCGCGCGCGGCGTCGCCTGGACGCTCTTCGCCTGCACGGCGTCGTCGAGCCTCCACGAGCGGGCCGTGCGCCGCGTGTCGCGCGCGCCGCTCTCGTGGTTCGACGCGACGCCCGTCGGCCGCGTGCTCTCGCGGCTCGCGCAGGACGTCGACGACTGCGACTTCCAGCGTCCTGTGGCCGTGACGATTTTCGAGAGATTTCGGCTGGGAAAACGATGAAAAATTGTTACCGTCATGCTTGGTAGGCGACTTCCAGCTGCCGAAGGCCCTCGACAAGGCCCTACTGCTGACGCTCCAGTGCGCGAGCGGCGTGCTGCTCGCCATCTTCGCGAGCCCCTGGTTCGCGCTCGCCGTGCCGCCGATCTTCTACTGCTTCTACGCGACGAACCAGGCGTTCCGGCAAGTGTCCCGCGAGACCCAGCGGCTCAAGACGACGGCCCTCGCGCCCTGCCTCTCGGCCCTCGAGCAGTCCCTCGGCGGCCTCGGCACGATCCGCGCGTTCGCCGCGGCGGACCGCCTCGACGACGCGTTCCTCGACTCGCTCGGCGCGCTGACGTCGTGGTGCTGGCTCAAGCTCCTGCTGGACCAGTGGCTCCTCATCCGCTTGACATCTCTCTCCTCTCTCATCGTCTCTGCCTTCGCGCTCGCGGTCGTTTTGGGAGACGTCGACCCCGTGCTCGCGGGCTTGGCGCTGTCGCAAACCGTGCTCCTCACGCAGGACTCGCGCTTCGCCGTGCGCTTCGCGACGCTCGCCGAGGCGAAGCTCAACGCCGTGGACCGCCTCCTCGACTACGGCGACGACCTGCCCCAGGAGCGCGGCGCCGTCGGCGCGCGCGACGGCGACCTGCCCGCACGCGGCGACGGCGGCTGGCCCGCGGCCGCGCTCGAGTGCGTCGCGCTCCGCGTGCGCTACCGCGTCGACCTCAACCCGGCGCTCGACGGCGTGAGCTTCGCCGTGCCCGCGGGCGCGTTCCTCGGCGTCTGCGGGCGCACGGGGTCGGGCAAGTCGACGCTCGGCCTCGCGCTCTTCCGACTCGCGGAGGCCGAGGGCGGCCGCGTGCTCCTCGGGGGCGTCGACGTCGCCACGGTGGGCCTCGACGCGCTCCGGGCGCGCCTGGCCGCCGTGCCCCAGGACCCGCAGCTCTTCGAGGGCACGCTCCGGTCCAACGTCGACCCCTTTGGGCGCTTCGACGACGACGCGGTCGCCGCGGCGCTGCGGAAGGCCAGGTGCGCGTTCTTCGACGGCGACTTAGACGCGCGCGTCAGCGAGGGCGGCGCGAACCTCTCCTGCGGCGAGCGCCAGCTCCTCTGCTTCGCGCGCGTCCTGTTGCGGTCCGCGTGCGTCGTACTCCTGGACGAGGCGACGAGCTCCATCGACGCGGACGCGGACGCGCAGGTCCAGGCGGTCATCCGCGCCGAGATCCGCGGCCGGTCGACCATGGTCGTCATCGCCCACCGCATCAAGACCATCCGCCACGCGGACCTCGTCCTCGTCCTCGGCGACGGCCGCGTCGCCGAGTTCGGCGCGCCCGCGGACCTCGAGGCCGCGGGCGGCCACTTCGCCTCGCTCTGCGCGTCGTCGGCGCTGGGGTAGCCTGTTTTTATATAGTCGCTTTTTAACTTCGTCGTACCATTACTATCCCGTTGTCTAAGGATACAGACCGCGAACTTGAAGGTCGGCGCGGAGAGGAACCCGGCGAGGCCAAGCACGACTCGACCGCCGCGCAAGCGCTGCATCTCGGGCTCGGGCGACGACGCGGCGTGAAGACTTAGGCTATACTTGCGCGTCGAGGTGCGCGAGAAACTCGATGGCTTTCTCGTCGCCCTTGGCAGCGGCGCGCTCGAACCAGTATCTGGCTTTGCCGAGGTCGACTTCCGTGCCGTCTCCGTCCCTGTAACAAACGCCAAGGCAAATCTCTCCGGGGGTATATCCTTGATTCGCCGCGAGCGCGTAGTACCGGGACATCTCTTCAAATCTCTTCTCGGAGTAAAGTAAAATGCCTAAATTGCATTGCGCGACCGCGTCGCCCCGATCTGCGGCCATGCGACACAGCTGCATCGCCTTCTTCTTGTCCAACTTGACGCCACTTCCACGCTCGTACGATAGCGCAAGGTGTCTCATTGCTTGCACATCTCCGAGCTCCACGGCGCGCCGGTAGATCTTCGCGGCTTTCTTATCGGATTTCACGAAGCTGTAGTGACCGCAGCGGTACGCGTCTCCCAAAAACGTAATCGCTTCCGGCACCTCGTTCTCCACATGGCGGCGAAGCTGCGCGAGTTCTTCCGCATTGGTCGTTGGGCACGGTATACGACAGAGGGGACACGCGTCGGTGCCGATCTTGTCCTGGCACGAGCAGCAGACCCTCCGGCAGCAACAGACGAGAAACACGTTGTCCGCATTCACGTCCCACTCCTCGAGACAGATCGGGCACCGCCCTCCAAACCGCGCCGACGCCGGCACCGGCTCCGGGTTCGCCTCGCGTCGCACGCGGGCCGCCTCGTGTTCCGCCGCGATGCGCGCGCGGACCTCGTCGGCGTGCGACCGCGGCGCGGGGCCGTAGAACACGTCCCGCGGCGGCGACGGCGGGGGCGTAGGTGCTTCCGCCCGCGCCGCCTCCGCGGCCTGGGCCTTCTTGCAGACCTTTCGGTGGCCCCGGTCGCGCCAGTCGATGCGTTGACAATCCGTCGAACAGTAGGCCGTCGTGCCGCACCCTTGGCACGCCTTGGCTTTGTCGGCGCCGCAGATCGTGCATATGTTGAGCGCCAGCTTTGTACGAGTTTTTCGCGCCTCGTACTCTCGCTTCTTCTTGATCAGTTCCGGGTCCATGATCTCGACGCTCCTATTCAACCACCTCGTCTATCGTCACTGGGCTCGCAAAGGCAAAATCGGAGACGACGGCGACGAGATGCGCTTTCTCGGTGACGTGGGTGGCGATGTGGCGTCGGCGACGGCCTCTTCGGAGGAGCTGCGCTGGGTCACATGGCCGCTGGCTTAGGCGTGGTATGGGGCACTAGGCCGATCCTCCCGATCGTGCTCCCGCTCCCCGCTCCACTACCCTAGCCCTTCCCTTTGATCCTCCCTCCCTTCGATTCCTCCCTGCGCCGCGGCTAAGCAAAATCGCTCAAAACCTGACGCCAGGGCTAAGCCCACCCCGAGAGCATCGCGCTCATGTCGGTCTCCATGCCCCCCTCGGCGGCGGCGGTGTCCTTGCGCCAGGCGGGCTTGGCGTACAGGAACGCCAGGCACCAGACCGCGAAGGTCGGCGCGGAGAGAACGCGGCGACGACGAGGCCGAGGCCAAGCGCGACTCGCCCGCGCGCAAGCGCAGCATCTCGGGCTCGGGCGACGACGCGGCGTGAATACTTAGGCTATACTTGCGCGTCGAGGCGCGCGAGATTCTCTATAGCTCTCTCGAGGCCCTTGGCAGCGGCGCGCTCGAACCAGCATCTGGCTTTGCCGAGGTCGACTTCCGTGCCGTCTCCGTCCCTGTAACAGATGCCAAGGTTGGTCTCTCCATCGGTATATCCTTGATCCGCCGAGAGCGCGAAGTACCGGAACGCTTCTTCAATTTTCTCTTCAGACGCAAGTAAAATCCCTGAATTGCATTGCGCGACCGCGTGGCCCCGGTCTGCGGCCGCGCGATACAGCTTCATCGCCTTCATCTTGTCCAGCTTGACGCCACTTCCATTCTCGTACAATAACCCAAGATTAATCATCGCCTCCACGTCGCCGAGCTCCACGGCGCGCTTCCAAATTTTTGCTGCTTTCTTATCGGATTTCACGAGGCCCAACCGACCTTCGCTGTACGCGTCTCCCAAACACGTAATTGCTTCAGGCACTTCGTTCTCCACATGGCGGCGAAGACGCGCGAGCTGCTCCGCATGGCTTCCTAGCGGTAAACGACAGAGAGCACACGCGTCTCCGATCTTGTCCTCACACGATCGGCAGAGCAGCCGGCAGCAACAGACGCGAAACACGCCCGGAGCATTCACGTCCCACTCCTCGAGGCAGATCGGGCACCGCGACCCGTGCCGCGCAGACAGCGGCTCGGGCTCCGGGTTCGCCTCGCGCCGCGCGCGGGCCGCCTCGTGTTCCGCCGCGATGCGCGCGCGGACCTCGTCGGCGTGCGACCGCGGCGCGGGGCCGTAGAACACGTCCCGCGGCGGCGACGGCGGGGGCGTAGGCGCCTCGGCCCGCGCCGCCTCCGCGGCCTGGATCTTCTTGCAGACCTTCCGGTGGCCCCGGTCGCGCCAGTCGATGCGTTGGCAGTCCGTCGAACAGTAGGCCGTCGTGCCGCACCCTTTGCACGCCTTCGCTTTGTCGGCGCCGCAGATCGTGCATATGTTGAGCGCCAGCTTTGTACGAGTTTTTCGCGCCTCGTACTCTCGCTTCTTCTTGATCAGTTCCGGGTCCATGATCTCTGACCGCGCGCTCCTTGCGTCGCCTCAGGCTCCTCGGCCGATCGCAAGGCAAAATCGCTCAAAACCCGACCCCAGGGTTAGCCCCACCCCTAGAGCACCACGTTCATGTCGTTCTCCATGCCCCCCTCGGCGTCGTCGTCCTCGCGCCAGGCAGGCGTCGCGTTGAAGAACGCCAGGCACCAGACCGCGAAGGTCGGCGCGGAGAGGAACGCGGCGACGCCAAGCACGACTCGCCCGCGCGCAAGCGCAGCATCTCGGGCTCGGGCGACGACGCGGCGTAAAGACTTAGGCTATACTTGCGCGTCGAGGGCCGCGAGGTTCCTTGTAGCGAGCTCACTGCCCTTGGCAGCGGCGCGCTCGAACCAGTATCTGGCTTTGCCGAGGTCGACGTCCGTGCCTTCTCCGTGCTTGTAACAACAGCCAAGGTTATTCTCTGCAACGGTATGGCCTTGATCCGCCGCGAGCACAAGGTACCGGATCGCCTCTTCAAATTTCGCCTCAGCATGAAGGAGAGCCCCGAAATTGGATTGCGCGCCCGCGTCGCCCCGGTCTGCGGCCATGCGATACAGCCGCTCCGCCTTCTTCTTGTCCAGTTTGACGCCACTTCCAGTCTGGTACGCGTACGCAAGAAATATCATCGCCCGCGCATCTCCGAGCTCCACGGCGCGCTTCCAAATTTTCGCGGCTTTCTTGTCGGATTTCACGAGGCCCAATGCACCGAAATGGTACGCACTTCCCAAACTCGTAATCGCTTCCGGCACCTCGTTCTCCACATGGCGGCGCAGACGCGCGAGCTGTTCCGCATTGGTCTTTGGGAACGGTAAACGACAGAGGGGACACGCGTCGGTGCCGAGCTTGTCCTCGCACGATTGGCAGACTAGTCGGCAGCAACAGTCGCGAAACACGCTCTTCGCATTCACGTCCCAGTCCCCGAAACAGATCGGGCACCGCGACCCGTACCGCGCAGACAGCGGCTCCCGCTCCGGGTTCGCCTCGCGCCGCACGCGGGCCGCCTCGTGCTCCGCCGCGATGCGCGCGCGGACCTCGTCGGCGTGCGACCGAGGCGCGGGTCCGTAGAACACGTCCCGCGGCGGCGACGGCGGGGGCGTCGGCGCTTCCGCCCGCGCCGACTCCGCGGCCTGTATCTTCTTGCAGACCTTGCGGTGGCCCCGGTCGCGCCAGTCGATGCGTTGACAGTCCGTCGAACAGTAGGCCGTCGTGCCGCACCCTTTGCAGGGCCGGGCATCCTTCTTCCCGCAAATCGTGCATATGTTGAGCGCCAGCTTCGTACGGGTTTTTCGCGCCTCGTACTCTCGCTTCTTCTTGATCAGTTCCGGGTCCATGATCTCTTCCCACGCTCGTCGCCGACGCTCCCTATTCACTACCTCACTCGTCAATCGTCACTCGGGCCCGCAAAGGCAAAATCGCTCAAAACCTGACGCCAGGGCTAAGCCCACCCCGAGGGCACCGCGTTCATGTCGTTCTCCATGCCCCCCTCGGCGGCGACGTCGTCCTTGCGCCAGGCGGGCTTCGCGTTGAAGAACGCCAGGCACCAGACCGCGAAGGTCGGCGCGGAGAGGAACGCGGCGACGCCAAGCACGGCTCGCCCGCGCACAAGCGCAGCATCTCGGGCTCGGGCGACGACGCGGCGTAAAGATTGTTAGGCTATACTCAGGCGTCGAGGTCCGCGAGACACTCTATAGCTGGCTCGTGGCCCTTGGCAGCGGCGCGCTCGAACCAGTATCTGGCTTTGCCGAGGTCGACTTCCGTGCCTTCTCCGTCCATGTAACAAATGCCAAGGTTGTTCTCTGCAGAGGTATAGCCTTGATCCGCCGCGAGCGCGAGGTACCGGAACGCTTCTACAAATTTGTTCTCAGAATGAAGGAAAGCCCCTATATTGTTTTGCGCGACCGCGTCGCCGCGATCTGCGGCCGTGCGATACAGCTGCTCCGCCTTCTTCTTGTCCAGCTTGACGCCACTTCCATGCTCGTACAATGTCCCAAGGTTAACCGTCGCTTCCAGGTCCCCGAGCTCCACGGCGCGCCGGTAAATCTTCGCGGCTTTCTTATCAGATTTCACGAGACCGTAGTAACCTTCGCGGTACGCGATTCCCAAATACGAAATCGCTTCCGGCACCTCGTTCTCCACATGGCGGCGAAGCTGCGCGAGCTGCTCCGCATTGTCCTTTGGGCATGGCAATCGACAGAGGGGACACGCGCCGAGGCCGATCTTATTCTCGCACGACTTGCAGACCTTTCGGCAGCAGCAGGTGCGAAACACGCCAAAAGAATTCACGTCCCAGTCCTCGAGACAGATCGGGCACCGCGACCCCCACCGCGCCGACGCCGGCGCCGGTTCCGGGTTCGCCTCGCGCCGCACGCGGGCCGCCTCGTGCTCCGCCGCGATGCGCGCGCGGACCTCGTCGGCGTGCGACCGCGGCGCGGGGCCGTAGAACACGTCCCGCGGCGGCGACGCCGGGGGCGTCGGCGCTTCGGCCCGCGCCGCCTCCGCGGCCTGGATCTTCTTGCACACCGCACGGTGGCCCCGGTCGCGCCAGTCGATGCGTTGGCAGGCCGTCGAACAGTAGGCCGTCGTGCCGCAACCTTTGCAGGGCCGGGCATCCTTCTTCCCGCAAATCGTGCATATGTTGAGCGCAAGCTTCGTACGGTTTTTTCGCGCCTCGTACTCTCGCTTCTTCTTGATCAATTCCGGGTCCATGATCTCTGACCGCGCGCCCTTGCGTCGCTCCTCAGGCTCCTCGGCCTATCGCAAAGGCAAAATCGCTCAATCTTACCCCAGGCCTAAGCCCACGCCTAGAGCGTCGTGTCGTTCTCCATGCCCCCCTCGGCGGCGGCGTCGTCCTTGCGCCAGGCGGGCTTGGCGTTCAAGAACGCCAGGCACGAGACCGCGAAGGTCGGCGCGGAGAGGAACGCGGCGACGACGACGCCAAGGCCAAGCACGACTCGCCCGCGCGCAAGCGCAACGTCTCGGGCTCGGGCGACGACGCGGCGTGAAGACTTAGGCTATACTTGCACCATCGAGGGCCGCGAGGTCCAGGTTCTCTATAGCTTTCTCGTGGCCCTTGGCAGCGGCGCGCTCGAACCAGTATCTGGCTTTGCCGAGGTCGACTTCCGTGCCTCTTCCATCGCGGTAACAGCAGCCAAGGTTATACTCTCCAGAGGTAAAACCTTGATCCGCCGCGAGCGCGAAGTACCGGACCGCTTCTTCACATTTCTCGTGAGAATGAAGGAAAGCCCCTAAACAGGTTTGCGCGAGCGCGTCGCCCCGATCTGCGGCCATGCGAAACAGCCGCTCCGCCTTCTTCTTGTCCAGCTTGACGCCCAACCCCTTCTCGTACATCTCCGCAAGATATACCATCGCGTCCACATCTCCGAGCTCCATGGCGCGCTTCCAAATTTTTGCGGCTTTCTTATCGGACTTCACGAGGCCGAAGTGACCGCGGCGGTACGCGATTCCCAAAAACGTAATCGCTTCCGGCACGTCGTTCTCCACATGGCGGCGCAGACGCGCGAGCAGCTCCGCATCGTCTTTTGGGCACGGTATGCGACAGAGGGGACACGCGCTGAAGCCGATTTTGTCCGAGCACGATCGGCAGACCGTCCGGCAGCAACAGGCGCGAAGCACGCCCGAATCATTCACGTCCCACTGCTCGAAACAGATCGGGCACCGCGACCCGAACCGCGCCGACTTCGGCTCCGGCTCCGGGTTCGCCTCGCGCAGGGCGCGTGCGGCCTCGTGCTCCGCCGCGATGCGCGCGCGGACCTCATCGGCGTGCGACCGCGGCGCGGGGCCGTAGAACACGTCCCGCGGCGGCGACGGCGGGGGCGTAGGCGCCTCGGCCCGCGCCGCCTCCGCGGCCTGGAAATTCTTGCAGACCTTCCGGTGGCCCCGGTCGCGCCAGTCGATGCGTTGACAGTCCGTCGAACAGTAGGCCGTCGTGCCGCACCCTTGGCACGCCTTGGCTTTGTCGGCGCCGCAGATCGTGCAGGTCTTGAGAGTGTCGAGTTTTTTGCCCCTCGCTCGGGCCATGCGATTCTCATACTCCAACTTCTTCTCCTGCCACGACATGACCTCGGCGGCGTGTTTGACCGGGGGGGTGTCGCCGCACGACTTTTGCGACTCGATGATCGCAAAGGCAAAACTTGAGCCGCCTCGACTCGACGAGGGGCCCCTAGGCAACGCGCGGTCTGGGCGTCTTTCGCTAAGTCCCCGGGCAGTCTCCGCCAGGTCCTCCGGCGTCTCCGGCGCGTCTCGGAAGTCGCGTCTTGGCCGCGTCTGGGGCGTCTCGGCCGCGTCTGGCGGCGTCTGGCCGGCGTCTGGGCCGGCGTCCCGCGTCTGGGCTGCGTCTCTCGCGCGTCTCTCGCGTCCCGCGGGTCTGGCTTCGGTCCCGGGGTCGTCTTTCGTGGTCGTGGGTTCGGTCCTGGGGTGGTCTCTGGCGTCTTTTTTTTCGCGTCCCGGCCGCGTCCCGCGTCTCCGGCGCGTCTCGGCCGCGTCCCGGGGCGTCTTGGCCGCGTCCTGCCGCGTCCCGGAACTCGCGTCTCCTGCGTCTCGGCCGCGTCTGCAAGACGCAACGTTGCCTAGGGGCCCCTTCGACGAGCCTCGAGCGCCCCGAAACAGCTCCTCCGCCTTCTTCTTGGCAAGTTAAAATTTAGGCTAGATAGGCGCTCCGTTTCAGCCGCGGGTCGTCCGGCGACGCGATGGACTCGTGGGCGCGCCTCCACCGCTCGAGGTCCTCGGACGTGAAGCGGAAGTCGTCGACGAAGACCTGCGTGCGCGTGGCTCTCGCGCGCGCGGCCATCGGCAAGCTCCGCGCGGCGCGGCGGAAACAGAAGCAGAAATTCACGGGCGCGGCCGAACACGACTGGCAACCCCGCTGCCGCGAACTCGCGCTCGAGCGGGCACCGCTGGGCGACGACGATCGCGCCGAAGAAGAGGCCCTCCCAGGTGCGGTAGCAGTCGAACCCCGCGCCGACGGGGGACAGGACCTGCGAAATTCGATTGTGTCCTCACGAGCCGTCCAAAAACTCTCGATGCTCGCGCGTTCGGACGCTGGCGTCGCACGAACTCGTGGCTCGCCATCGCGCGCCAGACGTCCCCGCGGTCGCCGAGGACGACGGACGCGCCGGAGGCGACGGCCTGGTCGAAGAGGTCCTCGCGCGACGCGTAGCCGTGCCGAACGAAGCGTTCGCTCGTCGTGCTCTCGCGCCGCCACGTGACGAGGCACCGCGGGATTCGGTCCGGCGCGCGGGGCACGTCTCGCGCCGCGTCGAGCTCCGCGGCGGCGAGGAGGACGTGGCGCTGCCGCCGGTGGTAGATGTCGAACGTCGCCCGGAAGTCGAGGCCGATGGGGATCCAGCGCGTCCTCGCTCTCCGTTCTTCCGAGAGCGCGGCCCGGTCGAGGTTCTGCGCGAGGACCTCCCGACCGTTCGCGTAGGCCTCGTCGACGGTGGCCGCGTCGTAGTCCGTAGGAAACGTGGCATCGCTACCGTTGACGACGACGCGCCGCGTCGTCGGCAAAGGCGCCGGCGCGGATTCCGCCGCTCTCACCGCGGCCGTGCCGCGATAGCTCGTCACGGTGTCGCTCAGGCGGCTCCCGTCGACGCGGAAGCCGTGCGAACAGCAGACGTCGAGGGCCGCGGGCGCGGCGCGCTCGAGGTTGTCGCGGAGGAGGACGTCCGCGTCATCGACGTCGACGTGGAGGCCGCGCGCGGCCGGCGGCGGAGAAGCGAGCGGATTGCGGTACAGGCCGAGGATGCGTAGACTCGGGCCGAAGGCCGGCGCTGCGGCGAGCATGTTGTCCCCGAGGAGGCACGTGTGGACGCGCGCGCCGAGGGGCGGGCAGGTCTGCAGGTAGTTGCCGCCCAGGCCGAGCATGCGGAGGTCGCGCGGCAAGGGGCCGTCGACGCGCGCCAATCTATTCCGCGTCGCGTCGAGGACGCGCAGCGTGTCCGGCAGCGGCGGCAGCGCCCCGAGGCGGTTGCCGTCGACGAGCAGCATGGCCAGCGCAGATAGCCCGTCCAACGGCGGCAACGCGACGAGGCAATTGTCGTGGAGCAGGAGCTCTGTTACGCTCGCGAGCGGGCCCAGGTCCGGGAGCTTTGCGAGCTTCGCGCCGCTCAGCTCGAGCGTCACCGCGTTCGCCCAGGAGGAGACCGGCGGCAGAACCGCGATGCGCGTGTGTCGCGCGTAGAGCGTGCGCAGCCTGGGCCAATCGCACGCGGCCGGGAGCGCCACAAGACGTGCGTTGTCGAATATGAGCATCTCCTCGACGCGGGACCAGCGGCCCGCGCTCTCCGGGAGCGCCGCGAGCGCGTTTCCGTCGAGGTGGACGACGCGCAGGTTCGTCAGGCGCCCGACGTCGTCCGGCAGCGTTTCGAGGCGGTTGCCCGACGCGACGAGGCGCTCGAGGGCCGCGAGGCCGCCGAGCGCGGCCGGGAGCGCCGCGAGCCGGTTCCGTTCGCAGTGCAGCGTCTCGAGATTCGGCGGCAGCTCGTCGGGGAGCGCCGCGAGGTCGTTGTCGCCCGCGCAGAGCACGCGGAGCGCCGCGAGCCGCGCGAGGCTCGGCAACTCCGCGAGGCCGACGCCGTTGACGTAGAGGATCCCCAGGTGCACCAGCTTGTCGAGCTCCGGCAGCCGCGGCACGGCGTTGGACCCGCGGCGGCGCCCGGGCTTCTCGGGGCCGTTCTCCAGGTCGAGCGCCCGCAGCGACGGCGGGAGTCCATCGAGGCCGCGGAGGTCGTTGTCGGCAAGGAAGAGCTTCTCGAGGGGCAGGGCGCCGAGCGACGCGGGAAGGGTCGAAAGGAGGTTGCCGCCGATTTTGAGCTCCGTCGTCGCGGCCAGGTCGGGCAGGCAGGTTAACCGGTTGTTCTCCGCGTCCAGAACCCGCAGCCGCGTGAGCGCGCCCATGCCCGCGGGAAGCCGCTCGAGGAGGTTGTCGCGGACAGACAAGACCTCGAGGCGCGTCGCCGCGCACAGCGCGTCGGGCAGCGAGACGAGGGCGTTTTTGTCCAAGAATAGTTCTTCCAACTGCGTGAGCGAACAGAGCTCCGCGGGGACGGCCGCGAGGCCGAACCCGATGAGGCGCAGCGTCGTCTGCATCGAGTCGCGCTTCCACACTTGCTTCCACGGCTCGGCGTCGCCAGACAGCGTCGAAACGTCGCCCATGGCCGCCATCGACGGCGTCGAGCGGCTATGGCATCAGCTCTCGATTGCCATGCGCTCTCAATCACTACCATGACATTGTTGGGGCAGCGTCCTTTGCTTGCTGTTCAACTTGCATGCCGCTTCACAGACACGTCGCTTTTACGCCCTTCCTCAGAGCCCGCACCAGTCGTCCTCGTCGGAGTGGGCCGTGCAGGAGGTTTTGCCGTAGTCGTCGAGGTTGTTCGTCGCGACGCAGGCGCACTCCTCGGGCGCGTCGGGCCGGCCCGCGTCGCAGTGGGGGAACTGGTACTGCCAGGTCATGGGCCCGGCGTAGCCCGTGTAGACCTCGTGGGCGTCGGGCTCGCCGCGCTCGCCGACGCCGAGGTCCGCCTTCTCGAGGAGGGAGCGCATCGCCGTCGCGCGGTCGAGGCAGTCCTGCTCGGCGCCGCCGTACCAGAGGCCGACGTGCTGGTCGAGGCCGTGGTCCCAGGCGTACCAGCCGCCGGAGGCGTTCGTCGCGAAGGTGTGGTGGCTCTCGGCGAAGAAGTTGTCGTAGGTCTCGAGCGTCCGGTTGCCGCTATAAATCTGCGGCGACGAGTTGTCGACGTAGCGGAACCTGTGCCGAAACCAACCACTGGTTTGGGTGGTCCTGACCAAACTTGAGAATTCTCTAGCTCGGTCAAATCGAAGTCGATTCGGCTGATTTTTGGACGAATCGATTGCTCTCGTCGAGTTCTCGAAGCCCAGCTGAAGAGCTCGCGTCGAAACGGTCGCATACGCTCACATTGAAGTCGGGTTGAAGATTTGGTTTCGGCACAGAGCGGAACGCGAGGCCCGGCATGGCGTCGAAGGCGATCTCCGAGTAGACGCAGGTGCTCGACGCGGCGACGCGGCTCACGGACGCGCCCGCGAGCGTCTCGAGGTGCGTGTAGAGCGTCGAGATCATGTCGCGCGGCGCGGCCTTGGCGCCCTTGGCGAGCGGGTCGTGGAACGACGCGCCGATGTTGACCACGAGAAGCTCGCCAAAACCAAACCCCCGCTCCCGCCAGAACGCCGTCTTCGCCGCGCCGTCGTAGAACGCCACCGTGTCCGGGAGGCCGTGCGCCGGCGCGCACTCCGCGGACGACCACGCGGGCCACGCGGTCTCCGCGCCCGTCGCCGCGCCGACGATTTCGTAGACGCGCCCCGCGACGGCGACGGAGACGTGGGCGACGGCGACGCCCGCGGCGTCGTAGCTCAGCCGTTTGAGGGTTGGCACGCCGCCGGCGGCGAAGCGCTCCGCGTAGGCCGTGACGTTCCGCGCGAAGAGCTGGACCTTGTTGTGCGAAAACGCGGAGAAGCGCATGTCGTCGCCGTTCAGCTCCTCGAGGTAGCCGATCCACGCGTCCGTGGCCCGCGTCTTACTCTCGCCGACCGTAAGATCCTGGAGCGTCGGAGCCGACACCCAGTGGAGCTCGAACGTGTTGTTCATGAACTCGAGCGCCGAGTAGGGCGAGCCGATCGTGCACCAGACGCGCATGTTGCCGCAGCCGAGGTCGCTGGGGCACGTCGTCTTCGGCGTGCAGAGGTACTGGGCGATCCACTCGTGCGTGCTCATGGCCGTCCCCTGCGTCGACAGGATGTTGATCGTGTACTTCTCGATGCGCCATTCGTCGCTCGAATACGACGGCATGGACGGGCCCGACGTCTCGTCGAGGCGCAGGGCGCCGCCGGCGCTCGCGGCCTGGTGGCGCGTCAGGGCGACGACGGCGGCGAGGGCCAGGGACAGGCCGAGGGACGCCATGATCCGCCGGGGATGGGCAGCCATCGCGCGCGTCGCACGCCAAAACTCCAATCAGGTCAGCAACATCGGCGGCAACGACGGCCCGGCCATCGTGCCGCGGCATGGCTCTTGGATCTGCAGCTGACTGTAGCGCTCTAAAGCCGATGCTCGAGGACGAGATCCTCGCCGCCGCGGAGGATGATTATTTCGCCATCCTCGGCCTGCCGCGCGCGACGACGACGCCGGCGGCCGTGCGCCGAGCCTACCGCTCGCGCGCCGTGCGGTGCCACCCCGACAAGTCGGCGCACGCGTCGAGCACCGCCGCGTTCCAGCGGCTCTCGGCCGCGTTCGAGGCGCTCTACGACGAGGCCTCGCAGCGCGCGTGCCTCGAGCGACCGACGACGACAGCGCCGGCGGCGCGAGCAGAAGACGAGGAGCTGGGCCGACACGCGACGCGAAAGCGGCGGCGCGAGCCGAAGACGAGGAGCTGGGCCGACGTCGAGGCGGACCTGCGGCGGCGCGAGGCCGCCGAGGCCGCGCTCCGCAGCGCCTTCGTCTCCGCGCAGCGCCGCGCCGCCGCGTCGCGCGACGCGGCGCGGCGCCTCGGCCGGCTCCGGAGCATCGCGCGGAATCTCGACGCGCGCGCCGGCGTCGCGTTCAACGCGCGCTGGGGCGTGAGCCGGACCGAGGCGGCGACGGGCTTCCCCGCGGCCGCGGCCGCGGACCGCGCGGACCGCGCGCGCCGCGACGGGTGCCCGACCTACGGCGAGCTCCGGCGCATCGCCGACGACCAGCTCGCGGCCGAGGCCGACGACGCGGGCGTCGCCTTCGCGGCGCGCGCGCCGGAGCACCAGGTCGCCGAGCTCGTCGCGTATCTCGCGGAGGCGCACGGCTGGCGCGACGACGACGACGACGACGACGACGACGACGACGACGGCGGCGACGACTTCGCGGACTTTCGGGACGACTGGTGATGTAAAAAGAATTAGGTCCCCTTGTGGATCGCGCGGTTCCCCGCGACGACGACGAAGGGCGGCGGGCTCGCGGCGGCGGCGCGGCGGTCGTCGTCGCGCGGCTCCGGCGGCGGGCTCCGCGGCGGGCTCGGCGCGGGCTTCGGCGACGGCGGCGGCGCGGCGACGCGCATGGGAGGCATGCTGGCGCCTCGCGCAAGGGCAAAACGCTTGCCGAGGCTCGTCCGCCGGGGCGGGTCCGGCAGGTCCGAGACCACATCGTCGTCGCCGCCGGTGCCCCGGGGCAGCGGCAGCGGCGGCGGCCGCCGCGGCGGCGGCTTCGTCGGTCGCAGCGACGCGTCCGCGAGAAGCCGCGACCGGTCGTCGCCGTCGACCTTCGCGAAATCGAGCAGCGCGCGCGCGGCCCGCGGCGCGTCGCCGTTCCGAAAGCAGGCCGCGAACCAGGTCGCGTGGTCGTCCGGGTCGCAGGCGAGCGTGCCCCGGAGCAGGTCCACGGCCGCGCGGTGCATCGCGAGCGCGTCGCGCCGGTCCGCCGCGTCGAGGCCCGGCGCCGCGGCGCCGAGGGCCGCGGCGTCGCGCCGGAGCGCCGCCGCCGCCGCCGCGCGGTCCGGGTCGAGGCCCGTCGTCGGGTCGAACTCGTCGCCGCGCGCGGCGACGTCGAAGGCCGTGCCGCCGTCGGCCGGCCGCGGCGCCGCGGCGGGCGCGCCGCCGGCGACGCGGCGCGCGAAGGCCCGCGCGCCGCAGACCCGGAGCACCTCGGCCGCCAGAACCCGCGCGTCGGCGTCGTCGTTGAGCCACTCGCGGGTCCGGGGCAGGAGCCGCGCGAGCGCGTCCGCGAGGCCGCGCGGGTCGCCCGCCGGCGCCGACAGCGACAGCGCCTTGAGCGCGACGTCCGCCGCGGCCGCGAGCGCCGCCGCGGCGTCGCCCGGCGAGGCGACGCCCCAGCTCGCGGCGAGCGCGTCGAGGCGCCGGAGCCCGTCGACGCGGACGCAGGCCTCCTCTGGCGACGCCGGCGCGCGGTCGAGCGCCGCGCCGAGCACCGCCGCGCACGCGGCCGCGGCCGCGGCGCGCGCGGCCGGCGGCGTGTCGTTGACCGCCGCGTCCGCCGCGCGCTCGACCCGGTCGACGCCGCCGCCGGCCTCGATGGCCCCCGCGAGCTGCCGCGCGGCCGCGGCCGCGCGGCGCTCCCGGAGGTCGTCGAGCGCGGCCGCCGCGCGCTCGCCCGCGTCCGCGACGTCGTCGTCGAGGGCCCCGCGCCGGAGCGCGTCGCCCAGGAGCGCCGCCCAGTCCACGAGCGGGTCGAGCACCGCGGGGCCGGGCGCGTCGGCGAGGCTCGCGTCGAGCGCGAGCGCGCGCAGCCGCGGCGTCGCCTCGAGCGCGACGGCGTCGCGCGCCGCGGCGTCGCCGTGGTCCAGCGCGCGGCGGCACGCCTCGCGGCAGGCGCGCGCGTCGGCGCCGGCGAAGGCCCGCGACAGCGCGACGCGCCAGGCCTCGCGCAGCGCCTCGCCTCGATCTTGCGCGCCGCGCCGCCGCGGGGCATGCGCGCGGCGGAGTCGCCGAGCGCCGCCGCGGCGCCGGCGGCGGCCGCCGCGCGGTCCGCGGCGACGGCGAGGGCCTCGGCGTCGTCGACGCAGTCCGGCTCCGCCGGCGCCGCGGCCGCGGTGTCGTCCGGCGCGGCGGCGGCGGCGGTCCCTTTTTTCGCGTCGTCGACGAGCCGGCGCCACGCGCGCGCGGCGGCCGCGTCCGGCGCGCGGAAGACGTGGCGCGCGCCGCCGCGGCGCACGAGCACGACGTGGCACGCCGACTCGCCGACGACGGCCCGCGTGAGCTCGCGCAGCGGCACGACGCCGCGCGCGTCGTCGCCCGCCCACCGCACGCCGTCGGTGCCCACGTAGCAGGACACGGGCAGGTGCCGCGCCGTGCTCCGCGTGAGCGCGAAGCGCCGCACGTCCGCGTCCTTGGCCAGCGGGTTCTGGACGAGCTCGAGCCGCGTCGCCTCGCTGTAGTGCGACGACGCGTCGCCGCGGTCCGGCGGCGGCGCCGCCGCGGGCCGCCGGCAGCCGAAGACGAGCGCCTTGTCGACGTCGCCGGCGAGGCGCCAGCGGCTGAGCACGTCCGCGGCGCGCTCCACGGGCGCCACGGCCTCGAGGACGTCGAGCGCGCCGCGCCGCGCCTCGAAGAGCGGGAACGGCACCGCCGCCGGGAGCCGGAGCTCCGCGGCGGCGGCCGCCGCGAGGTCCGCGGCGGACGTCGCCGCGGCGACGTCGACGGCGACGAAGGACCCGTCGAGGAAGAAGACGCGGCACAGATCCTCGCGCCCCGCGACGACGGACCCGGCCGCGGCCTCGGCGTCGCCGCCGCGGTCGCCGTCGCCCTCGGCCGCGAGCGACCGGAGGAAGAGCCGCTCCTGGTGCGACGACCAGCAGTCGTCGCAGACGCGCTCCTCGCGCCCCGCGGGCCCGCCGTCCATGGCCAGCGCGCTCAGCGACATGGAGTTGCGCGAGCAGCCGCCGCAGTAGAGGCCGCCGCAGCGCCGGCAGTGGTGCCGCCGCCGCGCGAAGCTGAACTCGCGCTCGCAGCCGAAGCAGTGGCTCGACGTGTCGTCGCGCACCCAGAGCTCGTCGCGCGACGTCTGGACGCTCGCATCGTCGTCGGTCGTCATTTATGGTAGAGAATGAGGGCCTGTTCCAGTGTCGAGAGCGGCCGACGCGTCAAGTGCTCACTGCAGCTTCGCCCCGGCAAACAAGACTTGGGCTCTCAGAGAGCAAAACCCGCCTTGGACGGCGTCGTGCGCCGCGCATTCGTGGTCTACGGGGCGGCCGCTGTTGTCGCCACCGGCGGACAACCTTAGACGTCCTCTGACAGCTTTTGGGCGCTCGTGGAGCCGGTGAACGCGACGCGCGCGGTCGACTTTTCGGCTCCAAAGCGTCGATCGGTGATCGCATCGGTTCTTGCGGCCCGCGATCGCGTTCCCGTTCGACCACGAGCTGCGGGGGCCCGCGTAGTATATGCACGCGGCGGTCCAGGGCCTTTGCGCGCGTCGAATTGCTCGGCGCACGATGTTTTGGTCGCGAGCGGCTCGTCGGCCGTAAACGCGGAAGTGCTCGGCGCGGTGCGCTGGAGTGCGTTCGACGAAATCGCGTGGCTTTCGGTGGCGGCGTCCGTCGAGCGCATATGGGAGCGGCGTCCATGCACTTGGTTTGCTCTCTCGGGCCCGACAGCGGTCGCATTCACGCCTCCCGCGTCTTGCAGCTGGACCCGTCTTCGACGGACTCCTACGAGCGACTCGCCATCACCCGACGCGCGCGCGAGCCACCACGCGCAGCGTTCGGGTATAGGCTACAATTAGACGTACCGGCGGCCCCGGGGGGCGCCAGTATCGCTGAGAACGACTGGCGGCCGGATGAGGCCGAATCAGCCGATTTGGTGCTCTCGCAGCACTAGAGAGCCTCAGAGCCGCCTTTTTGGAGCTCTCACAGCCTCTATGGCATGGATTCCAGCCGTTCTTCTTCCGACACGCTCCGGATATGTTGCGGCAATAAGCGCGAGCAAAGTTCCGCCGTCGAAAGCGGTCGCACGGGTCCAGAAATCGGTGCAAAGGGGTCGATTTGCACCAAATAGCCCTTTGATCACGTATTTTGCGCAACTTCGGGCAGCGTGGGTGCCGTAGAGGCAACGAGCGCGGCCCATGGGAGTCCCATCGTCGCGCCGAACACGTGACCGCGCGTCTCGAGGGTCAGTCGACGTTTTTTCAGCGTTCGAGCGCGTGTCGGCGTTTCGGCGCAGACCCTCGGCGTCGCATTCGCGGGCGAGATCGAAAAAATTGAGTGGCTTTGGCGGTTCGCCGGGTTCGTGGGGTGCCTCGGCGCGATCCCTGAGCTCGGCGCTTTTGGTGGCAGCGCCGCAGCGGTCCTCGACCACCTTTCGGGGCCCTGCGCGCCGCCGACCGAAAACACCAACGAACGGGACGCCGCCGACGTTCCGGACGTCGCGAGCTATTTCGCTGCGTAGCCACACATATGCACGAGGGCCGTGCGCAGCAGCGCCGCCGGAGACGCCTCTGCGCGCGAGAACGCGACGCGCCGGCGCCGAGAGCGCCTCGGCTCTGAGACGGCCGGCCGAGGTCTTAGATGCCGCTCCCCACCCGGGCGAAGCTGCAGTGTGCTGTGCATCTTGAAGCTCGACGCGATGGGGCGCGCGTTTTCAGCACGCTGAGCACAGCTTCCAACCGTCTCGCAGCGTTCATTCGTCTTGCATCTAGCAGCGTTCGATCGCCTTAGCGCGACGGCGAGCGCTGCGCTCGTTTAGCAGCGCTCAGCACAGCTAACGATCGTCTTCACCGCTGCGCTCGCGTCTCAGCGGCGATTCGCGCTCGTGTCTCGCCGCATGCGGCGGCGGGCCTTCCGGTTGCTCATGCGCTGCGCCGCGCTGCACGCGCTGCGCCCGCTGCGCCGGAGCGCGCCGCGCCGCGCCTACGCGCGGTCCGCGGTGCGCATGATGCCCGAGGGCCCGGAGTGCCACACGCTGAGCCGCGCGATGGACGCGCGGCTCGGCGGCGGCCGCTACGCCGTCGCGGCCGTCGACGTCGTCTCGGGCCGCTACGCGGAGCGGCCGCCCGAGGGCCTCGCCGAGCTCCGCGACCGCCTGCCGCTCGCGCTGGAGCGCGTCCGATGCAAGGGCAAGTTCATCTACTTCGAGCTCGCCGGCGGCGCGTCGCTCTGGTCGACGCTCGGCATGTCCGGCGGCTGGACGCTGCGCGCGGGCCACCCGCACGCGCGCCTCGCGCTGCGGCTCGCGTCGGACGACGACGAGGTGCGGCTGTGGTACCACGACCTGCGCAACTTCGGCACGTTCAAAGCCTGCTTCGACGCGGGCCTCTTACGGGACAAGCTCGAGTCGCTCGGCCTGTCGTGGCTCGAGGACGGCGACGAGGCCGGCTTCGAGCAGGGCAGGACAAGAGAGCGAAATTCCAAACTTCAAAGCCTCATATCTCGGCCGTTTTCCACTCGTTTTAGCTGATTTTTGGACGAGCGATCATCTCTTGGAACGGTCTCGAAGCGTGGATGCTTTTTCCGGGACGCGCGCGCGCGGAACACTCACGTTGAAGCGACGTTGAATCTCTCTTGTCCTGCCCAGGCTTCGAGGACCGGTTCCGCGGCGTCTTCGCGGCCGCGGCCGCGCGGAGCCCCGAGAAGAAGCTGGCGGTCTTCCTCATGGATCAAAAGCAGACGGCGGGCATCGGCAACTACCTGCTCTCCGAGATCCTCTACGCGACGCGCACGTGGCCCTTCGCGGCCCTGGGAGACGTCGGCGAGGACCGCGTCCGCGCCATCTGCGGCGAAGCGCTGCGGCTCATCCGCGCGTCGCGCGACGCGCAGCTCGTCGCCTACGGCACGCCCGACCCGCGGCCGAAGCTGCGGGACCTCGCGCCGCTGGGCTTCTCGCTCGAGGTCTACGGCGCGTCCGTCGCCGGCGACGGCCGCGCGGTGCGGCGCGACGCGGGCCCGCACGGGAGGACGCTGCACTGGGTCGAGGAGGCGCAGACGGGCGCCATGCCCGACAGCGACGAGGCCGCGGCCGCCGCGGCCGCGCGCGCGAGCCGCGACGCGGCCCCGTCGATGGCGTGGACCGCGAAGCGGCTCCAGGCCGCCTGCCGCGAGCGCGGGCTCCGCGTCTCCGGCGCGAAGGCCGAGCTGCTGCGCCGGCTGACGAGCGGGTCTTAACGGAGTACGTCTGCTTGCACCGGTCCGCCAAATTGACGCCAAGGTGACGCCAAGCTTGCCTCAGCCTGAAATCGGCGACCGGCTGGGCTCGCTTGCTCAACGCATCGCGCGCGCGCACTGCTGCGGCCGCGCCGCAGCGCCACCGCTCTCGCGCGTCCGCGGCGTCCGCGCGCGTCGCCACTTCGAGCCCCCAAGCACCTATTAATCAGTCGCTACGCGAGAGCGCGCGCGGGATGCGTTCTGCAGCCCGCGCATGCTCGCCCTCCATGGCGCGGTGACTTTCATACGGAATGCGAGAGTAAAGGCCGGCTCGCCCGGCCTGGGGCGGAATTAGCGCGTCGTGCGCCACTTCGGCGGGCGCCGGGAGGCGACTCCCGCGCGGCCGCCGAGCGAGGCACGGCTCTCCGGAACGCTGTGCGCGACGTGTTGACACCGCATTTCACATCCCCATCCTCACGTAGGCGCGCACCGCCGAAGGTCGCCACGCACCGCGGCGGGCCGACGACGCGCGGCGGCGCGAACGCCGCCCGCGGAACCTCCCCGAGGGTCGCTTCGCGCCGCGGATCGTCCGACGGGGTGAGTTACGTAAAGCCTCACACCTCCGCGTCCTCGACGCCGTCGTCCTTGAAGAGGGACGTGGACATCGCCTCTTCGTGCTCCTTGTCCGCGGATTCGCCGGCGTTGTCCTGGAGACCCTGGCGCCTCTTGAGCGAGTTGGAGATGACGAGGGGCTTGTTCTTCGCGTGGTGGAAGTCGTGCTGGTCCTGAAAGAGGTCGAGGGACTTGTCGCCGAGGAAGTTGTGGGCGACCATCTCGCCGAAGAGGGCCGCGACGCCCATGTAGACGATGAACTGGGAGATGATGGCGAGCAGATAGTAGATGTCGAAGGAGCCGATCTCGCCCGCGGCCTTGACTTGGATCTTGACGCCGTAGGAGTACTCCTCGACGGTGCGGAAGCTGTAGGCCGTGTTGTCCGCGTTGGGCTCGAAGTTCGTGTAGTCCGTGGACGCGCCGAGGCCGCTCCAGCCCAGCGGGATCTTCTGGACGGACGCCTTGCACTTGATCTCCTTGCCGTTGTTCTTGTACTTGTTGCTGTAGGAGATGAGGAGCTCGATGGTCAGGCCCGTCATGCGGTAGGTGGGCGAGCCGACGCTCTCGGCGACGGCGCCGGCCGAATTCAGGGCGTCCAGGCTGTCGATGCCCGCGGCGTTGAGCAGCTCCGTGAGCGTGAACCGGAGCGACTCGCCCTCGTCGAAGCTCTTGATCTTGTCGTTCTTGTGGTTCTGCAGGACGCCCTCCGGGTTGTTGCCCTGGACGTCGCGGCCCACGGCGTCGTAGCCGTGGTCGACGTAGATGACGATGTCGTCCACGAACGGCACGAAGAAGTTGCCGTACTCCATGGTCGCGTTGCGGCAGCCCAGGACGTCGTCCTTGCAGTCCTCGTAGATGCCCCGCGTGTCCTGCGTGTAGGTCTGGATGTAGAAGCCGCCATCCTCGAGCTTGCGCATGACCTCGCCGTAGGTGAACTCGCGGCACCGGTTGTTGTTGTAGACCCACGTCGAGTCGTAGACGAAGTCGTACTGGGGCAGCCCGTCGCACATGCCGTCGGGCACGGCGTTGGACGACGAGTAGCCCGTCGCGTAGATGTTCGTGTACCCGAAGGGCACCTCGAACTTGAAGTAGACGAACTGCCAGAAGAGGGAGTAGATGAGGTAGCCGACGACGAAGAGCTTGATGACCCAGGCCGTGGTCACGACGTAGGGATCGTCGACGATCTGGTACTTGAGCGACTTGTGCGTCAGCACCGACGTCCGCAGCTTCTTCCATATCCACGACGCCATCTTGTTCGGGCCTGGCGGCGCTTGGCTTCCTCCCGATCGGGCTGCCCAGCGTGGGATCGACGATTGCGTGGATCAACCAAAATTTGCTGCACGGGCGACCTCATCGACGACTTCAACAATTGGGAGGGCGGTTTTTAGAAAGATCAGGCCCCGGAGACGTCGTGTCGGCAAGGAGGGGTGGCTCCAGCGTCGAACGGTGCGCCCGACGAGTGGGCCTTGGTGAGAAACCGCCTCTGGCAAGCCTGGAACGGCGTTTTGGCTAGGGGCGGACAGTGAAGCCGGGCGCTTCGGGGCCGCTTCGGCTGGGTCCGGTTCCCTGGATGGGTCGGGAGCAGTGCGCCGAGATGTTGGGTTAGTGCAAGGACGTAATTTGGGTATGTTGCGTGAGGCCCGGCCTCACGCGTCTCCGCCGAGTTTCGTGGCTGCACTAACTCAGGAACCCCCCGCACCGCGAATGCATGGTGCCGACAGCACTGGTGGCGGCCCTCGACAAAGCGCTTCGGGACGTCGCGGGCCGACGCCAGGCGCCTCCCGGCGGCGCGGAATCACGTCGCCGCGCGTTCGGAACCGTTCCTGCGTGCCCTGCGGCGCTGCTCTGAGCCGCAGAGCCTTCGGCGCTGCTCGTGCGCGCCTGGAGCGCCCGCTCTGGTGAGGCTTCGGTGAGGCACCGGAACTAGATCGCTTCGCTGGGCGCTGCTGGGCGTCGCGCCGACGTGTCGAGTGTTCAGTGCACTCCCAGGTCGACCTACGAGGCGCGGGAACACGCGCTACGCCTACCGCTCGTGGCGTCTGCGCTGGCACAGGCGCGAGACGGGATTGGCGTTTCTCGCCTGGAAACGAGGCGATGGGCCACAACGCGTCCTCGCGGGCTACAGGCGTCGGACGGCTGCGCGATGGGTTCCGACGACATGTATATCGACTCGAGTGCGCCCACGCCAGCCCAAAGTCGCCGGAGCGCCTCGTACACGCGACCGCGTTTTGCCCGCGCGGGAGGAAAATCGAGACTTTGCGAGGTCGTAGCTCCGCGAGATCGACGTCGATTTACGCGAACCCAGGCTCTCTAAGTATCAGTTAGAAGTCGGCTATCCATCGCAAGTGACCGCAAGGTCGAACTCGACGGTCCACCGCCGGTCGACTTTCACTGTCCGCCCCTATTTTGGCCTTGGGTTCGCCCTTTGGTTCGCCTCAAATCGGGAGCAAAGTGCGTCTCGAATTTCCTCCTCCGGCTCGAGGCGGAGCGCTCGTCCGAGCCCCTCGCCCGAGTCGCCCGAGTCCTCGGTCCACAGCCTCGCGACGTCGACGCCCGACGCCGCCTTCGCCTCCGGACGGCGACTCGCCCCGCGACCCCTGAGCCCCCCACGTCGGTTGGAAAAGGTTACTTCAAAACGACCACCACAGAGCAACGATGCCTCGCTTCCCCGCCCAGGGGCGGGCGCGCGCGGACCTCGCCATCGCCCTGTCGGACTCGAGCGACGACGAGTACGCCATCGAGTCGCCCGGCGCGTCGGTCGCGAGCCAGTCGCCGACGACGTTCAAGACGGTCGAGTCGCGCGCGCCGCCGTCGACGGCGTCGTCGCCCGCGACGGCCAAGTCCACGGGCCGGCGGCTCAAGCAGCGGACGCCGCGGTCCGTGTCCTTCCGCGAGGACATGCGCTACGTCGCGGACCACAGCGGCTCCGGCGGCCCGGACCTGCGCGAGGCGACGTGCAAGGTCCGCGCGCTTGGCCACGGCTCCTTCGGGTCCGTCTGGCTCGCCTTCCACGGGCCGACGCAGCGCGTCGTCGCCGTCAAGGAGGTCTCCGTCGACGCGCGCGCGAAGCGCAAGCGCGCGGTCAGCGAGGTCGCGCGGAACGCGAGCCAGGCCGCGGGCCTCCGGTGCCGCGCGGGCGCGTCGGACCACGTGCTCCGCTTCTACGGCTCCTACGTCGACGACGCCGCCGACGTCGTCGGCCTCGTGCTCGAGTACATGGACGGCGGGTCCCTGGACCAGTTCGCGGGCGCGCCGGAGCTCGCGCTCTTGTGCGACGACGCGTTCCGTCTGATCGCGTCGGGCGCCGCGCGGGGCCTCGCGCACCTCCACGGCCTCCGCGTCATCCACCGCGACGTCAAGCCCGCGAACGTGCTCCTGAGCTTTTCCGGCGCCGTGAAGATCGGCGACCTGGGTCTGGCGGTCCGCGAGGCCCCGCGGAAGACGTCCGTCGACGGTCTAGAAACGCCCTCGTCCCCGACGTCGTCCTCGTCCTCCGCGGCGTCGCGCCTTTTCCGGCGGCCGTCGAGCAGCGACGACTACGGCGGCGGCTCCGCGAGCTCCCTGGGCACGGAGGGCACGCTCGCCTACTTCTCGCCGGAGCGCGCGCGGGGCCCCGGCGATTACGGGTTGAAGAGCGACGTCTTCGCGCTCGGCGTGACGCTCTTCGCCGTGCGCCGGGGCGCGCTGCCCTGGGCGGCCCACGCGGACCTCTTCTCCCACAGCGCCGCCGTCGCCGCGGAGCCGCCCCCGGCGCTGCCCGCGGGCGACGCGGCGCGCGACCTCGTCGCGGCGATGATGCGACGCGACGAGGCGGCGCGGCCCGCGGCCGCGACGCTCCTGCGCGACGCGCCCTTCCTCCGCGGCGCGCGCTGGGGGCCCTTCTGGGAGCGCGCGCTCCGCGTGCGGCGGCCCGACGGCCTCGACGAGCTCGAGGCCATCGCGACGGCCGTGGGCGCGCGATTGGTGAACGCGGAGCGCGCGGACGCGCGCCGCCGCGCGCGCGGCGGAGCGCCCGGCGACGCCCACGGGCCCGAGCTCCCCCCGCTCCGCCGCGACGCCCCTGACGCCGCCGACGCCCCGGCCGCCGCCCCGGCGCAAGCGGTCCTTCTTCGGCGTCACCGTCGCCGCGGCGCGATCGGCGCTCGCGCGGCTCCGCGCGAACCTGCCCCGGCGGAAGCGCTACTACCGCGCGGCGCCCGAGGAGGCGCCCGCGCGGCGCCACACGCACCCGAAGCGCCAGCTCTCGGCGTCGGGGAAGGAGCTCGAGACGCACCTCACGCCGGGCGGCGTCGGCCGCAAGAAGCCACACGCGGACGGTCAGCGGCCGTCGCTGTCCGCGGCGCTGCGCTGCATGGCCGAGGAGCGCGCGCACCACGCGGCCCTCGGCGCGGCGCCGAGCCTCGAGGACGAGGCCGTGTCGCGGCGGCGCCTCAGCGCCAAGCTCCGGAGCATGAGCTCGGAGAGCGTGGACTTCGGGGCCTTGTCGCTCGGCGAGCGCCCGACGCGGTCGCGGTCGCCGTCGCCCCAGCCCAAGCGCCACGGGTCGGGCCGCTCCGCCGCCTCGGGCTCCCGCGACTCCTTCAAGAGCCTGAGCTCCGGCGAGCTCGACGACGACGCGCACAACGACCTCTTCGCGCTCGCCACGGACCTCGGCGTCGACATCGAGGACATCTTCGAGGCCATGCGCCGCGGCGAGAAGCGCGCCTGGGACGCGGTCCACGCCGAGGAGGCGCTCGCGCGCGAGCTCCGGGAGTCGCTCGAGGCGAGCGCGACGAAGAGCGTCGGCGACATGGACGCGTCGTAACAACGGGCGAGAAAAATTACCGGTAGTACTAGTGGGCCGCGCGGCGCCGCGCGAATACGACGGCGCCGAGCGCCGCCGCGGCGGCGGCGGCGGCGGCGGCGGCGACGAGCGTGGGCCGCGCGCCCAGCAGCGGCCGCGCGGGCGCGAGGCGGACCTTGGTCCGGTTCTCGAGGCGCCCCGTCGCGCGCGCGAGCGCCGCGCGGACCGCGTCCGGCCCCGACGCCTCGCCGAGCGCGGCGTGGAGGTCGTCGCGCACGGCGTGCGTCTCCGCGTAGGTCGCGCCGAGGTCGCCGCGGTAGCGCGGCGTCAGGAACGTCGACGCGAGCGCGGGCGCCCAGAACGTGTTCCGCCGGAGGAGCTCGCTGCGGTCGTTCTTCGCGGCCGCGAGCGCGTTGTCCAGGTCGCGCCGCGCCGGCCCCTCGGACGTCAACGCGGCGATGGTCTCGAGGACCTTGGATTCCAGGAAATCCGCCGCGTCCGGGTCGTGCGACGCCGACACGCCCAGGACGCCCGCGAGCACCGTCGCCGCGTCGTTCAACGGGTCCGCGGTGGCGAAGGAGATGCGCGACGACACGTCGTAGACCTTGGACGCGGAAAACCGTAAAGACTCGACGAGCTTCGATTCCAGGATCATGGCCGCGACCTCGAGCGTCGCGTTTTCGCGGAGGCGGTCCCGGGACGTCTCGACGTCGTCGGCGCCGACGCCGGCCACTTTGACGGGGAAGCTCAGCCGCGACTGGCAGCCCCGCAGCGCCGCGTCGTCGTCCGTCTCGACGGAGGCCAGGGGCGCGTGGACGACGCGGACGTGCGGCCCGCCGTCGGGGAACCGCGCGTCTAACGGAGCGATCGCGCGCGCGGCGCCGAACGCCGGCAGCGCGCCCGAGCCCTCGCCGAAGCCAAAGGCCGCGTCCTCGGGCCGGTCCACGTCCCCCCGCGGGCGCAGCGGGCCCAGGTAGGCCTTGACGAGCTCCTCGAGCGCGCCGTCGTCGACGTCGAACGTGCCCGAGAAGCACAGCGCGAAGCCCTCCGGCGACGAGAACGCGGCGTCGTAAAAGTCGGCGCTCGCCGCCGCGTCGAAGGTGTCCACGTCCGCGAGGGACGCGGGCCGCCAGTAGGGGTGGTCCCGCGTGTTCACCTCGTCGATGGCCTTGGCGTAGCGCGCCTTGGGGTCGCGCCACCGCTCGCGGACGTTCTCCCGCGCCAACCGCTTCAACGTCTCGAGCCGCCCGGCGCTGCGCTTCAGCGGCTCGTGGAAGTGGCGCGCCGTCAACGCCAATAACGTCTCGAGCTCGTCGACGGCGCAGTCGCCGCTGAGCACGCGCCGGTAGGCGTCGACGTCCGCGTCCAGGCGCACGCGCCGGCCGCCGAGCGCGTCCGCGAGGAGGGCCTTGGGCGCCCCAAAGGGCCCGTACTCGCGCGCCAGCGAGCTCGCGAAGCGCGCGGCGAAGGCCAGGGGCGTCAGCGTCGCCGACCGGCCGCAGACCGTCGACAGGCCGCCCGGGGCCGCGCCGTACAAGACGACCTCGTCGTCGCGGAAGTCCGTCCGCAGGAAGACGACCGTGAGGCCGTTGTCGAGCCGGAGCTCCAGCGCCGGCGTCGCCAGGCCCGGCAGGTCGTGGCGCGCCTTCGACACGACCTGGCCCTGCTCGTCCGCGACGGGGCCGAAGAACGCCGCCGCGTCGAAGGCCTCGTCGGCCGCGGACGATCCCGCCGCGCCCGCGAAGTCGAGCACGGCGCCTCGCAGCGCGTCCGCCGTCGCCGCCGCGCCGGCCTCCGCCGCGTCGAGCCCGCGCAGGCGCGCGAACCAGCGCGCGCGGGGCAGGGGCTGCGTGCAACCCACGACGGCGTCCAACTTTGCCCCCGCGGGAAATAACGCGTCGGCGCGCGACCGCGCGCCCTCGACGGTGATCCCCCGCACGATGGCCGCCGTCAGCGCGACCTCGTCCCGCACGTCGAGCGGCGGCATGCGCAGCAGGAAGTGGTCGCGCGCCTCGTCGGCGAGCGTCGAACTTTCCTGCTGCTCCTTCTCGAGCCACTGCATCTTCAGATCCGAGAGGATCTCGCGCTTCGCCATGCGGAGCTCCTCCTCCGAAACGCCCGCGCGCGTGTCCTCGACGCAGCGCCAGGCGGCGGCCAGGGCTTGTGCGGCGTCGCCGCGCGTCAGCGGCTGCACGGACAGCGTCGCCACGGACACCGCGCGCCCGGAGGCCGCGAGGCACACGGGCCGCTCCGTGCCCGCGGACGCGTGCGCGAAGGGCGGCGTCGCGAGCATGCTGAGCTTCTGGAGCCGCCGATTCAGGATCTGCTGGTAGACGTCGTCGAGGAGCCACGTCTCGAAGCTACCGACCGTCGCCGGCGCGACGAAGGGCCGGCAGCAGCTCAGCGTCGCGGCCGTCGACGTCGCCTCGGCGTCCTCGTAGACGTTGACGCGCAGCTTCGGGGTTTCTCCCTCGGCGACCTTTTGGAGCACGCGGCTCCCGAACGCGTCCGCGCCCGCGGGATAAAAAGCCGCCGCGTCGCGCGGCCAGGGGCGGTCGGACGTCCGCCGCGCGTCGAAGTGCTTGGAGAAGGCGGCGTCGATGGCCTGGGCGATATCCGTCTCCGCGGGGACGTCGCCGACGACGACGACGGCCATGTTCTCGGCGACGTAGTGCCGCTCGTAGAAATCGCGGAGCGTCTCGGCCGTCGCCGTGCGCACGACGTCGAGCGACCCGATGGGCAGCCGGTCCGCGAGGCGGCTCCCGGCGAACGTGAAGCGGAAGTGGCTCTCGGCCGCGCGCTGCGCCCAGTCCTTGCCCTGGCGCCACTCCTCGAGCACGATGGCCCGCTCCTTGTCGACGTCGTCGTCCGAGATGCGCACGTCGCCGACGAGGGCGCCCAGGAGCTCGAGCGCGCGGCCGAAGAAGTCCGAGGGCACGTGCAACCAGTAGCACGTCTCCTCGAAGGACGTGTACGCGTTCTGGTGGCTCCCGAACTTGACGCCGTGCGCCTCGAGCTCCCGCAGCACGCCCCAGGACCCGTCCTCGTCGCTCTGCGCGCGGAACGCGAGGTGCTCGAGCACGTGGGCCAGGCCGCGCTCCTCGTCGCGCTCGTCGATGGACCCCGCGCGCACGGCGACGACGAGCTCGACGCGGTCCCGCGGCTCGGCGTTGCGCCGGTGGTAGTAGCGGAGGCCGCAGTCGAGCGCGCCGGTCCGCAGCGCCGACGCGAAGGGTAGGGTCGTGTCCGGCTCCAGCGACCCCTCCCAGGCCGGGAGCGACGCGACGAGCTCCTTGACGGCCGCGGCCTCCTTGTCCTCCCAGCTCATGGCGCGGTCGCGCTTCTGCGTTTCGGCGCTGGCCATGGTGCTGTGTCGTGCAGCGAGGTGGTCTGCGCTGGGAACGCGCTGCTCACCGACGAGACGACGCGCTGGGCGGCTGTGGCGAGGCCTGTGCACTCGAGGCGGGCCCGATCGAGCGCGCGGGAGGTGGTGTGCGCTGCGAACGCGCTGCTCAATGACGACGCTGGGCGGCGTGCCTGTGGCGAGGCGTCGTTCGAGCAGCGCCCGACTCCGCGGCCACAACGGCGATGGGAGCCGCCGTTGAGACGCTTTGACGACGCCCGCGCGCGCCACACACACCATGTCTCGCGCCTCCACGCTCTCGGACGTGTCGACGCCGTCGCCGTCGTCGGCGCCGACGGGCGGCAAGCCCTGGGAGGTCGAGGGCCTCGCGCTCACCGGCCGCGAAGAGAAGCTGGCCAACTTCCTGTGGTCGCGCAACAAGACGGACCAGCTCGAGCGGCTCATGGCGCGGTCGCGCGCCGGCCTGTCGCCGACGACGACGTCGCCGTCGACGACGCAGTCCGGCCCGTCGGCGGGCAAGTTCCCGCCGCTCGTGCAGCGGGCCGGTTCCGCCGGCCGCGGGCGCCGGTCCGCGGAGCGGCCGCGGCCGGGCGCCGGGGGCGAGGAGAACGCGCCCGTGAACGTGCCGCGGTCGACGCCGGCCAAGGGCGACCACGTGACGCTGCGGCGGCGCGGCGGCGGCGGGAGCCGCTTCCGGCGGTCGTCGGACGACGACGCGGGCGGTAAGCGGCCGAGCACGAGCCCGTCGAACGCGGCGTCCGGCGTCGTCGTCGTCGCGCGGGGCTTCTCGTCGTCGCCGCGCGCGCGCACGGCCGACGCGTCGTCGCCGGCGGGCGGGCCGCCCGTCGCGAACCTGACGACGCGGCGGCGGCGGCCGACGGCCGCGCGCGTCGAGGTCCCGTCGCCCGACGGCGACGACGACGCGCCCGACGGCGACACCGACGCGCCGGGCGCGTCGACGTCGCCGCGCGCGCCGACGCCGTCGCTCGCCGCCGGCCGCGTCGTCGTCTCCGGGAGCCTCGCGACGGTGGCCGACGGCCGCGCCGCGCCGGCCGCGGGCCTCAACGCCACCGCGGTCGTCGACGCCGCCGCGCTCGACCTCGGCGCGTCGTCGTCGGACTCGGACACGGAGGACGACGACGTCTCATCCGACGGCGAGTCCGTCCGCCGCGGCGGCGCCGGACGCCGCGTGCGCGTCCAAGGACGACGCGGCCTGCGAACGCGCCGTCGGCGCGTGGCTCGGCCGCGACGTCGAGGCGCAGGACAACACGGCGGCCAAGTGGCGCCGCGAGTACCGCGCGGCGGCGTTCGCGGCCGAGGCCGCGCTCCAGCGCAAGGGCGAGGTCGAGGCGCGGCTCGAGGCCGTGAGCCGCGAGTACGCGGCCTACAAGGACCAGTCCCAGGCCGTCGCGAACCAGCTCGCGGGCCAGCTCAAGGACGGCCTCATGACGGCGATCCGGCGCGCGCAGGCCGCGGAGCGCGAGCTCGCGGCCTACAAGGCGCGCTACGGCGACGGCCTCGTCGCCGACGCGTCGACGCCCGAGAAGAGCCCCGCGCCCGCCGCGGCGCCCGCGCCGCCGGCGCCCGCGCCCGCGCCGCCGGCGAAGGACGACGGCGAGGTCGCGCCGGCGGAGCGCGTCGACGACGCGGGGCCCATGGCGGCGACGCCGCGGCCCGGCGCGCCCAAATCCAAGAGCAAGCTCACGGTCCACATGCCCCTCGCGCCCGCGGACGCGCCGGCCTTCTCGACGCCGTCCCGGCCCCTCCGCCGCAACTCGCTCCGCGCGTGCCGCAGCGCGAAGAAGCCGGCCCCGTGATAAGCGTCGCGACTGCGGAGCTTGACCATGGGACTTAGGGCGCGCGCGCGCGCGGGGCTAGAGGTAGGAGGCCATGTGGAAGAAGACGCCGTCGATGCCCGGGCGCGCGAGCTTGACGACGACGTCCGCGCCGTCGACGTCGCCCGCGTGCGTCTCGTAGTATTTGCGGCGGCAGAGCAGGAGCGGGAGCATGACGGCGCGGCGCCGCGCGCGCTCGCGCGCGCGTTCGACGCTTCCGAAGAGCGCGGCCCAGTGCGCGAGGGGCTTGGTGACGAGGCGCTCGGGCAGGTCGCGGCGGTAGGCGGCCTCGACGTCCGGCAGGAGCGCGGCGAGCGAGGGCTCGTCGTCGCCGAAGGCCGCCGGCAGTTTCAGCAGCTCGCCGTCGGGCCAGTCCGCGGCGCGCTCCATGGCGAAGTCGATGTGGGGCACGGACTCGTCCGGGCCGTAGGGCTCCCGGAGGCCCTGGTCCGCGTCCGCCGTCGCGACGCAGGCGCCGGCCATCATCGCGCACGCGACCAGGCCGGCGTACTGCCGCGGCGGCAGCGCGTTCTCGAAGGGCAACGCGATGGTGCGGAAGACTTCGTAGGCGCGCGGCGCGCGCGCGGCGCGCCAGCGCTCCAGGGCGCGCAGCTCGCGCGCGTGCATCGTCGCGCTCTCGACGCGCGGCGGCCAGCGCTTGACGACGCGCACGAGCTCCGTCAGGTCGTCCTCGGACGGCGCGTGGGCCATGACCACCTCGCAGCCGAAGGACACGGGCGCGACGCAGTAGCGCACCATGCACGTGCAGGATTCCTCGACGGTGGCCATGTGCACCGATGTAGCCTCTGGACGATATGGACACCAGACTGCAGGCTCTGGCAGGTCACACCGAGGCTCGTGCAACGTTAACATTAATGGGCTGCTTCAGTGCAACGTTGGCGCGCGTAATTGGCTGAACCCCACACACACACGGCTGTGGCGCAAGCTCTTATGTGGCTCCTTTTCCAGGGCTGGGAGTAGGACCACACACCCGTTCGTAGCCCTCGTCACGCTCGTTAACATATGGACGTCGTCCTCCTCCTCCGCCTCTGCGGCAGCGCCGTCTTCACGACGCTGGGCTACGTGGGCCACGCCTGGTTCAAGGCGTCGGACTACAACCAGAAGGCGCGCCACGACGAGTGGACGACCTGCGCGGGGTACACGGTCCAGGAGTTCGTCGGCGTCGCCCTCGCGACGTTCGGCTTCCCGCTGGCCTGGGTCTGCGTCGTCGGCCTCTCCATCAACGTCGCGAAGCGCCGCCGGGGCCCGCTCGGCGAGCCGCGGTTCAAGCTCCCCGCGCTCGCGGGCCTCGCGGCCGCGGCCGCGGCCGGCGCCATCTCCGCCTGGGCCGACGCGTCGGACGTGCTGCGCTGCGGCGTCGTCGGCTGCTACCGGCTGACGGACGCGGACCTGGCCGAAGCCGGCCCGTCGGCGTACGCCGTCACGATGGGCGTCTTCCTCGTCGTCGCCTGCGCCTTAATCGCCCTCCTGAACCTCAAGCTCCTCGCGACGGCGGCCCGGGCGGCCTGGACGGGGCCGAAGGTGACCGCGGGCGACGACGCGCACGACGCGCTCGTCGGCGGCATCGAGTGCTCGCTCGAGCGGTCGCTGTTGCACAGCGAGGACTACAGCACCAACCACACCAGGTCCATCCCGCTGCCGTCGCCGCGCCGCGCGAAGCTCAAGACCGTTGGATGGACGTTGTTCCTCCTCGGCGTCCTCGCGTCCCTCGCGTTCCTGACGACGGTCCTGCCCAACGGCTGGGAGGCGCTCACCGCCGCGAAGCTCAAGGCCTACGCGGCCGCGGGCAAGTCGTCGTCGAACGCGCCCGAGGGCGACGGCGCCCGCACGGCCGAGGCCTGGTTCACGACGACCTTCAAGGTCCTGAAGCCCGGCGGCGCGGGCGGCCAGGGCCGCCTCGTCGCCAAGGTCTACCCCGACGTTTTGATGTACTACGCGTTCCTCGCCGCCTTAGCCGTCGTCGCCTGCCTCGCGAACGTCTTCCCGCACTCGCTCGGGCGCCTCCTCAAGCGCCGCTTCCGCGTCCCCGGCCCCTTCGCGATCAAGGTGCCCGCGGCGAATCCGGACAACAAGGCCCGGCCGCCGCCGCCCGTCGTGCTCGCGTCCGTCGGCGGCGAGTGCTACTCCGTCGGCGTCTTGGTCGTGCTCGCGTGCTTCGCCGCGCTGCTCACGTGCTATGCGCGCTACTGGTTCGTGGACCACTGGTACCACAACAAGCCGTCGGCGAACTCCGTCTTCGAGACGCGCGCGCGCGCGACGGGCCAGCTCGCGAACCTCGGCCTCGCGCTCCTGCTCTTGCCCGTGGCGCGCCACAGCGTGCTCAACGAGGCCTTCGGCGTCGCCTGGGAGCAGGCGCTCTTCGCGCACATCTACGTCGGCTACGCGACGCTGCTGTTATTCGTCGTCCACGCGTGCTGCTGGTACAAGGTCTACGCGGAAAATAACATCTTCCCGGACGATATTCTCGAAGTGCCCATGTACTACCCGCTCAACGGCCAGCCCAAGAGCCACGGCCGCTGCGCGGACAACTGGACCGTGCCCCTCGCCACGATTACCGTCTTCGCCGCCCTGGTCTGCATGGGCGTGCTGGCGCACTACGAGGTGCGCCGGCGGAACTTCGAGGCTTTTTATTATGCGCACCACGTCTTCCTCGCCATCTACGCCACGGCGCTCTGGCACGCGGCGAGCTGCTGGTATTTCGTGCTCGGCGGCCTCGCGCACTGGGCCGTCGACCACGTTTTACGCACCTCGAAAGCCGCGGACGCGTGGCACGTGCGCGTCCTGGAGCCGCGCGCGGACGGCGTCGTCCACGTCGAGGCCGAGCCGGCGGCCGGGCGCGTCTTCGCCTACGCGCCGGGCCAGTACGCGTTCCTCGCGTTCCACGACGTCTCGTCCCTCGAGTGGCACCCGTTCACGCTCTCCGCGGCGCCCTCGGACGCGCGCGCCTCGAACCGGATCGCCTTCGACGTCAAGGCCATGGTCGTGCCCGGCGGCAAGCCCACGTTCACGGAGAAGTTGAGGACGCTCGCGAGCCGCGTCGCCGACGGCGCCGTCGACGCGAAAAGTTTGCGGATCGCGGTGGACGGGCCCCACGGCGCGGCCTTCGACGAGCGGGCCCACGACGACATTTTACTGGTCGCGGGCGGCATCGGCGTCACGCCCTGCCACGCCATCTTCCGCGAGTTGTACCGCCGCGCGGCGGACGACGCCGACGGCGCGCTCGACCCGGAGGCCGACGGCGCGCCCCGCGGGTCCGCGGCGTCGTCGGGCGGCCGCCGCGACGGGTCTCTCGTGAAGCCCGACGGGCCGGGCCGCGTCACGCTCCTCTGGGTCGTCCGCGACCGCAGCGTCCTCGAGCTCTTCGCGCCGACGCTCCGCGCGGCGGCGAACGACGACCTCGGCGGCCGCTTCTGCCTCAAGCTCTTCGTCGACAGCGAGCGCGGTCGGGACCACTGGGGCAGCGGCGACGCGCACAAGGGCATCCCCTTCGCCCACGGCCGGCCGGACTGCGTCCGGGCCATCGACGACGTCGCGCGCGGCGGCGCCGCGCGGCCCCACGTCTTCGTCTGCGGACCGCCGGGCCTCTCCGCGGCGTGCTCCGCGGCGTGCCTCGACCGCGGCGTCGACTTCCACTCCGAGGTCTTCGCGTTTTAACGGGATTTTACTTGGGGAGCAGCTTGGGCACCTGGAAGCCCTTGCCCTTGCTGAGCTTGGAGAAGAGCGTCTTGCTGTAGCCGCCGCCCTTGCGGCCCCGCGGCTTCTTCGGCGCGGCGCCGTCGTCGTCGTCGTCGCTGCCGAGCCGCGGCGACAGCACCGGCGCCTTGACGAGGCGCCGCCGCCGCGGCTCCGGCGCGGGCTCGGGCTCGGGCTCGGGCTCGGGCGCGGCGCGCGACCGCGGCGACCGCCGCGGCGACGGCGCGGCGTCGGCCGCGGCGGCCGCGGGCGCGTCGGCGTCGCCCTCGACGGAGCGGCGCGGCGACCGGCGCGGCGTCGCGTCCGCGGGCTTGGCCGCCTTCTTGGCCGCCGCCGCGGGCTTGGCCGCCGCGGGCTTGGCCGCCGCCGCGGGCTTGGCCGCCGCCGCGGGCTTGGCCGCCGCGGGCTTGGCGGCCTTCTTGGCCGCCGCCGCGGGCTTGGCCGCGCCGGGCTTCTTGGCCGGCGCCGCGGGCTTCTCGGCCGGCGCGGCGCCGTCGCCGGCGCCGTCGCCGGCGCCGTCGCCGGCGCCGGCGAGCGCGACCTGCGACTTGCGCACGGAGACGATCGCCGCGTCGCCGTCGAGCTGGACCTTGGTCCAGGCGACGTTGCGGTCGACGACGACGCCGCAGCGGCCCGCGTGCTTGCCCTCGGACACGCGGACGCGGTCCCGCACGGCGAGCTCGCCGGCCTTGGCGGGCTTGGCGGGCTTCGCGGCGGGCTTCGCCGCGGGCGCGTCGTCCTCCTCCGCGGCGACGAGGCCCGCGACGATGGCGATGGACGGGTCCTCCTCCTCCGCCTCCGCGGGCGCGGCGGCGGCGGCGGCGGCGGCCTTCTTGCCGCGCGGCGACCGCCGCGACGGCGCGTCGGGCGCCTTGCGCGCCGCCTTGGGCTTGGGCTTGGGCTGGCACCGCAGCGCCTCGTCGTCGTCGTCCTTGGACGCGGCGTGCGCGACGGCGGCGACGTTGTCCTCGTTGTCGTCCGCGAGGAGGAAGTCGCCGTCGTCGAAGCCCGGCGCGGCCGCGCCGTCGTCCGCGGGCGCGACGTACTGCTGCGTGTCCTCCTCCTCCGGCGGCGGCGCGGCCGCCTCGTCGTCGTCGTCGTCCTGGTCCTCCGGCGCGGCCTCCTTCGCCTCGGACGCCGGCGCGGCCTTGTGCGCGTCCTCCTGCGCGAGCGACGCGGCGCGCGCGGCGCGGAGCTGCTCGCGCGCCGCGCGCTTCCGCGCGGCCGCGGCGTCCTCCTCGCGCTGCCGCTTGCGCTCCTCCTTCTCGCGCTGCCGCCGGCGCTTCTCCGCGCGCTCCTCGGCCCCGCGCCGGTCCTGCGCCGCGCGCTTCTTCGCCGTGACGACCGGCTCGACGGACAGTTTCGCCGCCTCCTTGCGGATCGCCGCGACGCGCTTGGCGCGCGCCTCGTGGGCGCGCTCCGCCGCGGCCTGCTCGCGCAGGAGCGCGTCGACCTCCTTCGTGAGCTGCCGCGACGCCTTGGAAGGCTTGAATAGTTGGAACTTTTTGGCACTCATCGTCTCGAGGACGTTCAAATTTGCCGCAACGATGGGTTCGACCAGAGCGCTCCCTAATCGGGGAGCCGGCAGCTCTCTCTGAAGGCGGCCGCCGCGACGCTGCCGCGCCATGCGCCTCGACACGCGGTCCATGCCGGGCCACCTCTTCCAGTAGTACGCGCCGGGCCGCCAGGCCTTCGCGTCGCAGCCGCCGCCCTTCGCGCGCTGCGCGATCCTCGTCGGCGGCTTGAGCGACGGCATGCTCGCCTGCCCCTACGCGCCGGCGCTGACGGACGCGCTCGCGAAGGAGGGCTGGGCCACCGTGCAGCCGCTGTTGCGCACGAGCCACCTCCAGTTCGGCTTCGGGTCGCTAGACGGCGACGCGGAAGACCTCGACGCGCTCCTGGAGTACCTCGGAGACGGCGTCGAGTGCGCGCTCGTCGGCCACAGCACGGGGTCGCAGCTCGCGGCGCACTACGTCCGCAAGGGCGGCCGCGTGAGGCACTGCGTGCTCCAGGCGGGCGTCTCGGACCGCGAGACGGACGACGCCGACGAGCTCGCGCGGCGGCAGCCCCGGCTCGAGCGGGCGGCGGCGCTCGTCGCGGAGGGCAAGGGCGACGAGTTCCTGCCGCGGGCGTCGCACTGGGCGCCCATGACCGCGCAGCGCTACCTCGATTTGCACGCGGTCGGCGGCAAGGACGACTACTTCTCGTCGGATTTGAGCGACGCGGCGATGGCGGAGCTCTACGAGGGCTGGGACCGGGGCGTGGGCTGCCTCGTGGCCTACAGCGGCGCCGACGAGTACGCGCCGCCGTCCGTGGACAAGGCCGCGCTCGTGAAGCGAATTTGCGGCTTCGCGTCCGCGAACAACGCCGCGCGCGTCGTCGGCCTCGTGATCCCCAGCGCGAACCACAACCTCTCCGCGGACGCGGGCGCCGCGGCGACCTTCGTCGACGCCGTCGTCGCGTTCCTCACGGGCGGCGCCGTCGCGGGCGCCGTCTTCGATAGTAGCGGCAGGTAACGCAAGACTGAGACCAGTAAGGTTAGGACCAGCGCGGCGCGGGCGCGGCGTCGTCGCGCTGGAGCCAGGTTGCGTACGCGGCGAAGCGCTCCGCGTACTGCGGCGCGTCGCAATCGCACGAATTCAGAAAGGCCACGGACGACGCGTCGAGCAGGACCCGCGCGCAGTGGTACGCGTAGGAGCTGTCGCAGGCGTAGCCGCCGCCGCCGCCCGCGGCGGCGCCGCGCTTCCACGCGGCCAACGCGGAGGCCTGGTCGTCGGTCAGGTGGACGCAGCCGTTGCCGAGCGCGTCGGCCTCGCGCCGGAGCGCCTCGCGGACGCGGTACTTGCTAGACCAGAGCGCGTTTCCGGCCGCGGCCGCGTCGACGACGAAGACGGTCAGCGGCGCGTCGCGCCGCCAGGTGAGCGCGGCCTTCCACCTGGCGCCGGCGTGCGGGCCCTCCGGCGGGCCCTCGGGCAGCGGGCTCTCGCCGTACCAACAGTTGCTCTCGAGCCACGCTTCGCCGAAGTAGAGCGCCATGCACGTGGCCACGGCGCCGCGCCTTCCGACGTCGACCTCGCGCGCGTGCAGGACCGTCCCGCCGCAGTCCTCGATCCAGGCCCGGGCCTTGTGCGCCAGCGCGTGCGCCGTCGGCCAGACGGTGACGACGACGGCCGACGGCGACGCGCGGCAGAAGGCGAGCGCTTCTCCATCGGTGGACATCGCCATGTGTAAGGGCGCGCGTACGCGATGTGCGCGCAGCGAGCTTGCTGCTGCCAGGAGCACGGGCCAGAGCAGCGTTTGCAAGCGCATCAGAAGACACTCACGCAGGCAGTGGAGCGCATCGATGGGGCGCAGGGTGGGAGCTCGCCATGCTCTGGAGCAGTCAGGCAACTTGAACTTCAACCATGACCTCCAAAATAGACCCATCACATTAGTGGAAGACGGCGAAGGCGCCGGGGTCCTTGGCGTCGTCGTAGGGCTCCGCGGGCCGCGCGCAGAGCTTGTCCTTGTAGAAGCCCGCGCCGCGCGGCGGCGGCGTCCACTCGGGCTCGTCGTCCTGCGTCCGGAGCCGGGGCCAGTCCGTGGGCGCGAAGTAGCCGTGGGCGAGCACGGCGCTCGCGGCGAAGCGCTCCGAGGGGTCGAACTTGAGCATGGCGTTGACGAGGGCCGCCGCGTGCTTGCGCTTCACGAGCGCGAAGGGCGGCATGAACGGCTTGTACTGCGACGTCACGGCCCGTTTGAAGATGAGCGCCTGGTCCGTCGTCTCGCCCGGGAACTCGACGAAGGGCGTGGACCCGACGAGGAGCTCGTGGAACAAGCAGCCGGCGGCCCAGACGTCCGCGGACCAGTCGTGGCCGCTCCCGTTGATGATCTCCGGCGAGATGTACTCCGCGGTGCCGCACATCGTGTACGTCTTGAAGTGGGCCGTGAGCTCCGCCTCGTCGGCGTCGGTGCGGTAGTAGGGCAGCCGCTTCGCGAACCCAAAGTCCACGAGCTTCAGGTAGCCGTTCCGCGCGACCATCAGATTCTCCGGCTTGAGGTCGCGGTAGACGATGCCCCGCGCGTGCAGGTGGAAGAGGCACTCGGCCACGCAGGCGCAGTAGTGCCGCAGCAGGGAATCGCTGGCGTCGCAGAGCGGCGAGTGGTCCTCGAAGCCCGCCTCGTCGGGGTCGTAGAGCACGGACCAGAGGTCGGGCCCCTCGACGAGCTCGGTGATGAGGTAGACGTGGTCCCGGTCCTGGAAGGCGCCGTAGAGGCCCAAAATGTTGCCGTGGCGCACCGTGCTGAGCAGCTCGCGCTCGTCTCGGACGTGCGCGACCTGCTTCTTGTCGACGATGCGCCGCTTGGACATCTGCTTGATCGCGACGACGCCGTTGTCCGCCTTGGCGACCGCGTCGGCCTTGGCCTCGCCCGCGCCGTCCCTGAGCCGCGCGCGGAGCACGCTGCCGTAGGTGCCCTCGCCCAGGAGGTACTCGACGGCGAAGTCGCCGAGCGTGAACTGCGGCGCGGGCGTCGCCGGCCGGTCCGCGCCCGGCGGCGCCCGCGCGTCGTCGAGGCTCCGCGACAGCGGCGACGGGCTCTTGCGCGCGCCGGGCCGCTCCCCGAGGTGCTCCTCGAAGGTCGCCACGGCGAAGGCGTGGCCGCGGCAGCCCCCGAGGCCCGCGCGCGCCGTCGTCGCCGCGACGACGCCCTCGCAGTCGTCGCCCTTGGCGCGCCGCGCGGCCGCGCGGAGCGCGCGCACGCCCAACAACGTGCCCGGCCGGCACAGCACGACGTCGCCGTCGACGGACACGTCCTGCGTGTCGACGCCGTCGGGGAAGAGCTCGTCGATCGTCGCCGCGGCGCCGCCGCCGCCGCCGCGCGACACGAGGAGCTCGCCGTCCTCCACGAGGAAGCAGGTGTCGACCTCGCGGCCCGGCGCGAAGAGCTCGGCGCCCGGGTGGTACTTGCGGTTCTTCATGGCCTTGGCGAGCAGGTAGATCTGGCGCCGGCCGAGGCCGTTGAGCGTCGGGATTTTTCGGAGCGCGATCGCGCGTTTCGAGAGGCTCCGCGCGTCCGCGACGGCCGCGAGGGCGCGGAAGCGGTCCCGCGTCAGGCTCCAGGCGCGGCAGGCGCCGTAGCCCGCCTCGACCGTCGCCGTCGCCGTGCGCCGCTCCGAGTAGAGCAGGGCCAGCTCGCCGACGACGTCGCCCGGGCCGCAGCGGCCGAGGCACACCTCCGGCGAGTCCGGGTCGTCGTCGAAGTCGTCCGTGTCCTCGAAGCTAAAGGCCCCGCGGCCCGTCGGCGTCGACGGCCGCGACCGCTGCTGCTCGTGGAAGACGCGGCTCCGCGACACGCGGACGACGCCCGCCTCCAAGACGTAGAGCTCGTCGCCCTTGTCGCCCTCGCGGAGGAGCACGTCGCCCTCCTCGAAGGTCTCGAGCTCGAAGGCGGCGACGACGGCGTGCATCTGGGAGAACATGGTCGACCCGAGGAAGAACATGTCCGTGAGCGCGCCGGAGATCAAGGAAAACGTCGCCGCGGGCACCTCCCGGACGGCGCCGTCGTCGCCGAGCAGCCTCGCGTCGTCGCCCGTCGCCGTGGCCTTCCAGTACATGTTCCGCCGCCGCTTCGCCGTCGTCGCCGCCTCGTCCGCGATGCCCTGCGCGGTGTTGGACCGGCTCAGCCGCCGCGGCGCCGCGTGCGGCGACGGCGTCCACTCGAAGGCCGCGTGCGTGTTGCCCCGGCGCAGGGACGGCGGGCTCGGGTTCGCCGCGACCGTGTGGCGGCCCGGGTGGTCCTCGTCCTCGAGGGGCTTGAGCAGGTCGTGGATGTCCTGGAGCGACTGCATCGAGATCTTCCGGCCGCCCTTGGTGGGGACGACGGGCGACGCGGTCGTCGGGCTCCGCGCGGGCGAGCCCCAGTGGATGGGGCTCCGCGGCCGGTGGCCCGCCGACGACGCCTGGGACCCGGCGCTCGAGTGGGAGCCGCTCGGCGAGTCGGGCACCTCCGAGAGCCGCGGCGCGCCGCCGGCGCGCATCGCGTTGGACCGGCTCGGCGCCGCGCCGTCGGGCTTGAGGGACCGATGCGTCGTCTGGGGCGTCCAGAGCACGGACCCGTCGCGCGCGAACTGGCGGCCCTTGAGCTCGAAGCGGTCGATGCGGCTCTCGACGGACCGCTTGCCCGCGCGGCCCGTCGGGCTCCGGTCGCGCGACGCGCGGCCCGTCGGGCTCCGGTCCCGCGACGCGCGGCGCACGGGCGAGTCGTCGCTCCACTCGCCGGACTTGCGCGGCAGCGTCGGCGAGCAGAGGGACGCGCCGAGGCCGCGCGTCTCGATCGCGAGCGCGGGCTTGGCCGCGCCGGACGCGGCGCGCTGGACGCGCTTCTGGGCGTTGGCGTCGAAGGACTCCTTGCGCCGGTCGCCGCGCGCCGTCGGCGAGTCCTCGACGACGACGCCGCTCAGGGACCGCGACGCCGCCGGCGCCGTCGACGACCCGTGGACGGCGGCGGCCGGCGGCGCGTCCGCTCGCAGGTCGCCCGTCGACTTGTGGTTCTTGCGCTGCCCGGACACGGCCGAGCCCATGCTCCGGCCCTCCCCCGGGGCCGGGGGCCCCGAAACCGCTGGTCCTCGGCGGCCTACGCCTCGCAAAAGAGAGGCATTGCTCCGCGGAGTGGGCAGCCCGGAAGCACTTCAATGTGGGAAGGGATCCCTAGGTTGCATATTCATATTCAATAAAACTTCACCTCGAAGTGGTTGCACTGCTTTTTGGAGGCTGCGCCAGCGAGCTGAGGCGGCGCTCTCGCAGCCGACGCCATGCTCGGCCTGCGACGCTTCGCGCCGGCGCTGCTGCGGCCGGCGACCGCGACGGCGCCTGCGCAGGCCCCCGCCCGTTTTTTCCGCGCGACGCGGCCCGCGCTCGGCCTCGAGGAGTTCTACGACGCGCGGCACCGGTCGAAGGTGCCCGAGGACTTTGGCGGCGGGCGGGCCTGGGAGGCGAGCGAGCTGCGGCGCAAGTCCTTCGACGACCTGCACAAGCTCTGGTACGTGCTCTACAAGGAGCGGAACGTGCTCCTCACGGAGTCGGCGCGCGCGCGGCGCAACGTCATGCGCATCAAGCACCCGCAGCGCAAGACCGCGGTCAAGCTCTCCATGGCGCGCATCAAGCAGGTCCTCGCGGAGAGGCGGCAGGCCTACCGCGACACGGAGTAGGCGCCGCGGCCGCGGCCGCGCGCGACCTTTCGTAGGCTCGCGTTCGGCCTCGTAACGAGACGCGCTCCTTAGAGCGCTCCTTAGAACTTTTCGACCGCGACCCTGTCGCCGTAGACTGTCGCCGCCCGAAGAGTAAACAGAAGCGTGGTTATCACTCGTGCTTCGCGGAGCCCGCCCACTTCCGGGGCGGCTTGCCGTTGGGGACGAACTGGCGGACGTTGCGCGGGCTCTTGTAGGTGCGGCAGGCCATGTCCCAGTACATGAAGAGGTGGCCGTAGTTGGACGTGAAGAGCTTGTGGTGGACGTGGTGGTCCGCGGCCGTGCCGAACTTGACGAGGTCGAAGAGCGGGTCCCAGAAGTGGTGCGTCTCGCTGTGGATGAGGCAGAGCCAGTTCGCGTAGACGGAACCAAAGGCCATGTAGGTCCAGACGTTGCAGTGGATGAGGTTCGCCGTCGCGTAGAGGGGGCCGACGATCATGATCAGCGTGTCCGGCAGCGACCCGTTGAAGGCGTCGAAGAGGCGCGGGTTCGTGAAGCGGTGGTGGGGCTTGTGGCTCTCCTGATAGATTTTCGGGTGGGCCTTGTGCTCGAGGCGGTGCATGCCGTACTGGAGGCAGTCCTGGAGCAGGAGGCAGCCGAGCACCCGGGCCCAGTCGACGCCGCCCTCGAAGCCGTAGTACGCGTGCGGCATGAGGCGCAGGAGCCACGTGAGCGACAGGTAGCCGCCGATGAGCACGAAGCCCTCGGGCTGGCTCAGGTGGGTCGCGGCGCCCTCGGCGTAGTCGTACCGGCGGTCCTCGTTCGGCTGGATGAGCACGAGCGGGCCGAGGCGCGTCGACCCGCGCCACCGCGCGTACTGGTACGCGAGCACGAAGAGCTGCCCGACGACGACGGCCAGGATGCCCAGGCTCAGCCCCAGCGGGCTCGGCGTCGCCGTCGACGCCGGGTCGTAGGCGTACCACGCCGCGGGGAAGACGCTCGCGTAGCGGTCCTTGAGGAGCAGCGGCAGCGCTACGAGGCCCGTCCAGAGGCCCGCGCCCCCGAGCGCCGCGACGCACCGGTCCTTCGCCGTCATCGTCGGCGCCGCGGGGATCTTCGCCTTCACCGCCTCCGTCTGCTGCGCGCCAAAGTCCGGCGTCTTGCACATCTCGGCGGTCGGGGGCGGCGCGGCGGGCCGGGGCGGCGCGGCGCGGCGAGCTGAGGCGCTGGGGTCGGGCGCTTCGCGACGACGGTCGGTGGCGCCGCCGCACGGGACGCGCTGGTGGGCTCGAGGCGGCCGTGCACGGGCGTGGAACGATGCGCTCGGGCGGCCAGCGTGGCGCGATGGCGGGCTTGTGGACGCGCCGTCTCAAAGACCCCCGGCGAGGGCTGCCCAACGCTCATCGTATCGAGGGTGGGAGACACTGTTCCGGCGCCGCGCCGGCGCTTGCCACCGCCGCCACCATGGGGACCTCGACGAAGGACGCCATGGCGGAGTCGAAAAGAAAATCCATGGCCATGCTCAACAGCATCGAGGACCAGGACCCCGAGGAGGCGCTGCGGCGGTACAGAGAACAGACGCAGCTCAACAAGCCGAAGGACGGGAAGCGCGTGTCCCTCATGGACCGCCAGTCTTCCGGCGGCCAGCAGGGCGGGGACGCCTTCAAGCAGTCGGAGCGCATCATCCGGAGCACGGCGGCCATGACCGACGGCCTCAAGGCCCGGCGGAGCAAGTGCCAGGACGAGATCGACGCGGACCGCGAGGCCCTCAAGATGCTCGAGAATCAGCTCCAGGAGTTCCAGCGCAAGTACGACATCGTCGCCGCGTCCTACGACGTCCGCGTCGCCGAGCGCGACCGGCTGCGGGGCGTCCTGGAGACGTCCAAGGCGAAGACGGACCAGCTGACCGTCGAGTGCTCCGAGTGGCGCGCGAAGAACCTGCGGGACACGGACCGGCACACGAAGCGCCTCGCGACGGAGACGCTGCGGGGCGCCCGGGGCTTCGGCTGCGACCCGGGCACGACCTGCACCGTGCGGGAGGCCCTGAGCCGGACGCGGTCGGGCGCGTCGCTCGCCGCGTCGCGCAAGATGGGCAAGTCCGCGGCGTCGCTGCCCCACCTGCCGGGCTCCGCGGAGGCGGCCATGGCCAACCTCCTCGCGACGGCGACGGCGTCCGCGAAATCGCTCAAGGCGTCCAAGAGCGCGCTCCTGTGATACTCCTCCTCCCCCCTGTGCCCGTAAGACAAGGTCGATCGCTTACGCCGGGAGCTCGCTCGACGTCGCGCTCGGCGGCTCGCGGAAGCTCTCGGCGTGCTCGTGGGAGCCGCAGCAGCCCCGGAGGCGCCGGAGCCACGCGTCGCGATCGTCGTCGGACTCGCAGGAGAACTCCCAGCGCGCGCCGCCGTCCTCGACGACCGCGAAGCCCGGCGCGTAGGCCCGCAGGCGCCCCCGGCCGTCCCAGGCCTCCGCGCGGGCCACGCGCACGTCCGTGACGCCGCCGTCGTCCGCGAGCGCGAGGCGTTCGCAGGTCAGCGTCGCGGCGTACGTATGAAAGCCCGCGTTGAGCTTCAGGACCCCGGACGAGATGCGGCGCCCCCGCAGCGCGCCGCTCATGAGCGGCGTCGGCCGGAAGGCCGCGTGGGAGTTGCGCGAGATCGCGCGGACCCAGTCCGCGACGTCGTCGTCGCTCGCCGCGCAGAGCTCGAGCTCGTAGGCCTTGTCCCGGAGCTTGACGACGAAGGCGTGCCGCGTCGGCCCGTCGGCCGCGTCGACGGGCGCGCAGGTGATCGTCTCGCCGCTGAGCATGACGCTCCGGAGCATGCGGCCGCCCTCGCGGTCGCGGTACGTCAGGGCCTGTGTGGAAACCAACCACTGGTTTGGGTGGTCCTGACCAAACTTGAGAATTCTCCAGCTCGGTCATATCGAAGTCGATTCGGCTGATTTTTGGACGAATCGATTGCCCTTTTCAAGTTCTCGAAGCCCAGCCGAAGAGATTGTGTCAAAACATTCGAATACGCTCACATTGAAGTCGGATTGAATATTTTGGTTTCCACACAGGTCAGGGCCCCGTCCGCGACCTCGAAGAACCGCGTCGTCCAGTTCTTCCGCACGTGGCCGCGCTTCTGGAGGAGGCCCCGCTTCTCGAGCGCCGCGGGCGCGGCGCCGGCGGGCGGCGGCGCCGGCGGGGGCGCGTCCGGCGGCTTCGGCGCGGCGCCGGAGCCGGCCGCCTTCTCTTCCCCCAGCGCGAAGCGCCGCGCGAGCTGCCGCGAGCCGCGCCGCAGGGCGACGATGCCGCCGAGGACGAGCGCGGAGACGGGCGCGGCCACGGGCCACTCGTACTCGAACCACGCCAGACAGACGACGGTGCAGAAGAAGGAGTAGACGCCGAACAGAAACAGGCGCACGACGCGGTCGTGCTCGTCGCGCATGCCTTCCAGCGCCCGCGCGACGCTGCCCTCGGGCCCGCGGAGCGCGAGGCCCGGCCCGAGCATGGACGCGAGCGTCGAGAGGCAGACGACCAGCACGTTCGCGCAGAGGCTGCCCGTCGCCGCGACCATGTAGGCGACGGACGTCGCGTGCAACTTGCTGTACTCGCCGATCTGCTCCGCCTCGAGGCCGAAGACCATGAACACGAAGCCGGCGAGTAGAGCCGACACCGTCGCCATGAGCGTGAAGTTGTCCTTAAAGTGCGTGATCTCCGCGTACTGGACCTCGAGCACCTGCTGGCTGTCCTGGCCGTGGATGAGGCGGATGTTCCGCTTGAGCATGATGCCTCACGCCACGAGCGCGGTGTCCGAGGAGTCCCCGCGAGCCTCGGCGCGTCGCGCTCCTCTCGAGAGCGTCACGTTCTGTTTGATGGCGCTGGGGATGCCTCACGCCATTGCGAGGAGGCAGCCCCTACATACACAAAGTTTACCTTCATCGCCGACATATTTTGCCACTCCGATGGCCAAGAGTTTTATAGCGTGAGCACACACCGATGGGCGCCAAAAGCGCGATGCGCCGCGGCCCCAGCCCGTCGTCACTCGTGACCTTCCTCCTCGTCGTCGCCGGCGCCTACGTCGGCTACGCCCTGTGCTGGCAGACGTCGCCGCCGCCGCCGGCCCTCGACTACGCGGACCGCGTCGCCGCCTACTGCTCGGCGCCCGTCGACGCCGGCGACGAGGGCGGCGAGGGCCTCGTCGCGGCGACGGTCGTCGTCCGCCACGGCGCGCGGTCCGCGATCCACGACCCGCCGGGGACGGGGCGCGCGGACGTCTTCGACTGCTCGCTCCCCGCTCGCGTCGCGGCCGTCGCCTCGCGCTGGCCGCGCGCGAAGCGCTTCCGGGCGGCGACGCGCGGCTGGCACCGCTGCGCCGAGGGCCAGCTCGTCGCGCGCGGCTACGACCAGCACCTGCGGCTCGGCGCGTTCCTCCGGCGCGCCTACGGCGCCGCGGACCGCGCGTGGACGGCGTCCGCGCGGGCGACGGACTACGCGCGCACGCGCGCGTCGGCCGCGAGCCTGCTGACCGCCTTCCTCGACGACGCCGCCGCCGCGGACGTGTCGGCGCGGTCCGACCCCGCGACGGAGCCCATGTTCGGCGTCGAGGGCGAGGACGGGCGGGGCCTGCCCTGCGCCGCGGGCGCGGCCGCGGCCCGGGCCCAGCGCGCGGCCTGGGCGACGCCCGCGGCCGACGCCGCGGCCATCACCGCCGCGCTGCCGACGCTGCCCGGAGATTTCCGGCCCACGGAGGTCGCGGACGCGGCCTACTCGCGGGCCTGCGAGCTCGCGAGGCCGCTCTGCGTCGCCGGCGACGAATGCCTCGCCGGCGACGCCGCGAACCGCGTCTTCGACGCCGCGGACCGCTACTACGCGGCCCGCTACGGCGGCGCCGCCGGCGGCGCGCTCGCCGCGCGCCTCGGCATGCACCCGCTCCTGGAGGAGATCGTCGCGGGCTTCCGGCGGACGCTCGCGGCGGAGGACGCGGACGTGCTGCGCGTCTTCGCGGGCCACGACACGGTCGTCGCGCCGCTGCTGAGCGCGCTCGGGGCCTACGACGGCGTCTGGCCGCCGCTCGCGTCGCGCGTCGTCTTCGAGCTCTACGAGGGGCCCGCGGTGCGCGTGCTCTTCAACGGCCGCGCCGTCTCCGTCGACGGCTGCCCGCCCGCGCCCCGCTACTGCCCCCTCGGCGCCTTCGAGGCCGCCGTCGCCGCGCTCCTCGGCGGCGCGCCGACTTTCGAGGCCGCGTGCGCGGCCTAGGAATGTCTGTTTTTTTATTTTCGAACAAAGGCGGTTTACGGCGAATGGCTAATTTTGAAACGCTGCAGGCTGCGAAAGCCTCGCGTTTTGGGGGTCCTTCAGGTGAAGGAGAGGACGGAGACGAGGTCCGCGTAGGCGTCCGCGGCGCCGCGGTCGTCGTCGCCGCCGCGGTCGTCGTCGGTGGCGAGGCCCGGCAGGCAGGCGACGCCGCAGTGCTCCGTGTCGATGATCGCCGCCGACATCGGGCTCCGCGGCGGCGACGCCGTCGACCCGGCCGGCGACCCCGCCGGCGAGCTCGCGCGGACGTCGACGACGTCGAAGCCGTCGGCCGAGACCTCGCAGGACGGCGCGAGCCCCGGCGGCGACGCGTCGCCGGCCGCGTCGTCCTCGCCGCCGTCGTCGAAGCGGAGCGGCTCCGCGGCAAGACCGTCCGGCGGGGCCGCCGGCGGCGACGCGCCCGTGGCCGCGTGCTTGTGGTGGCGGTTGAGCGAGAAGAGGTCGAGGACGTGGGAGAACGAGTCGTTGATCGACGTCCGCCCCCGCCGCGCGGCCTTGGCCAGGTCGTCGCTGAACACGGACCCGGAGTCGGCGATGCGCGCGATGGACAGCGAGCCGTTGCCGTGCTTTGGCCTACTCGACACGGGCGACACGGCGCCGGCGTCGTTGAAGCCGTCGCGCGCGAGCACGTGGTACGCCGCGGACACGTTCGTCGGGAAGACGAGGAAGAGGAAGACGCCCGCCATGATCACCGAGGGCACGACGATGCCCGCCGAGAGGAGCACGTGGCGGTAGAACTCGCGCGACGACGGCGAGTCGTCGGACGTGTCGACCTTGCGCGCGAGCGTCACGAGGAAGATGACCGTCAGGAGGAAGGCGCACGTCTCGCCGATCGTGTTGTCGTGCTCCTCGACGAAGGGCTTCGTGTAGTTGATGAGGTAGAGGAAGCAGATGGACACGAAGAGCGCGACGAAGAGCTGCGCCGCCTCGCCCCGGGCGATGAGCACGATGAACCCCGCGAGAAACAGGCGCCGCCCGCAGTCCACGGGCTCCCAGAACCAGGCGTGCGGCTTGTACTCGCGAAATAAGAACTCGAGGGGCTCGAGCTCCTTGAACTTGTCGCGCATGCGCTGCTGCTGGAGGATGATCGCGTCCCTCAGATTCGTCAGCAGCGTCGTCGTCGTCTCCTCCGGGTTGTGCTCGATCTCGCGCGCGAGGAGCGCCGTCAGGCCCACGAGGCGGTGCCGCGCGTCGATGAAGGGCCGCGGGCTCAGGTCGAAGCGCAGCCGCCACAGCAGCACGAAGAAGAAGAGGGGGATCGCCGGGTAGATGGCGCAGCAGAGGCCCGCGTAGACGACGACGCGCTGCCGCTCCGCCGAGTCGCAGCGCACGCGGCTGTCGACGGTCATGACGTACGCGTAGCGGTGGTCGCTTTCGTCGTAGTCGAAGCGGTCGCAGGAGAAGGTCCAGAAGATGAACACGGAGATCGACGGGAAGACGAGGTAGAGCAGCCCGATGGACGCGCCCGTCGCCGCGGGCCGCTTGAGGCCCCGCGCCCACAGCGTCGACAGCCACAGCAGCCCGATGACCGCCAACGGCCAGAGCGTCGCCGCGTGGAGCCGCGACTCGAAGGTGCCCAGCGCGCAGTTGAACGGGAAGGAACGCGACGGCGTCGAAGTTGACGAAGACAGAAGCGCCAGTAGTTGCTGAACATCGTCGGGAACTTGCCGTCCAGGTTCAGCTCCATCGCCGCGCAGATCTGGCAGAACGCGACGACGGACTTGATCTTCGGCCGCACGTAGTTCCAGACCCTGCTCTTGTAGTCCGTGCTTTCGAGGGACACCTGGAGCGGGTCCAGCTTGCCCTTGGTCTCCTTGAGGAGCCGGTGGCCCACGGCGAGAATCCGCATGACGTGCGCGCGGCGGTACCGCATCGCGCAGGCCCCCATGAGCGCCAAGAAACGCCAGCACGCCCAGGAAGACGCAGAGCAGCCGCACGTGGCGCGCGGGCAGCGTGTCGCCGTTGCACTCCGTGCAGCCCAGGCTCCGCTTCGAGCCGTCCATCGCGCGGCTGCCCGCGTAGTAGCCCTTCTCGCAGATGCGGCAGAGGGGCCCCTGCGTCGCGTGGCGGCAGAGGCCGTCGCCCGTCGCCGCGCCGCCGGAGCAGTCGTCGCGGTGGTCGCACTCCTCGACGTCGTCCGACGACGGCGTCGCGCGCCACCAGCCCCGCTTCACGGGCAGCGTGGCGATCGTCGTCCCCATGGGGCAGGAGCGCACGCCCGCGACGTCGCAGGACTTGCAGGACGGCGCGTCCTCGCCCGGCGCCGCGTCGTAGAAGCCCGCGGCGCAGACGCAGCCCCCCGCGCCGGGCTCGCTGCCCTCGCCCGCGGCCAGCGAGCACTGCGCGCACTGGAAGGACCCGTTCCTGCTGTACATGTTCGCGGGGCACATGGCGCAGGTGCTCGCGGCGATGGTGAGCCCCACGCCGTCGACGGCCTTGCGCGGGTCCGTCGCGTAGTAGCCGACGTCGCAGACGCCGCACGATTTGGCGCCGGCCGTCGCGCTGTCGGCCCGTCCCGCACCAGCGGCAGGGCAGGAAGGGCGTGTCCATGGCGTACGCGCCCGGCGGGCACGTGAAGTTGAAGGCCTCGCCGACGGCCGCCTGGAGTTGGTCCAGCGGGTCGACATACTCCTGCGTCGCGTTGCTGGCGGTCGCGTTCCCGAACGCCTCCGACGCGCCCGTCGGCGCGAGCGTCGCGTTCGCGGGCGACGACGCGTTCTCCGCCGCCGCGGAGGCGAGTGAGGCGACGACCAGCCCCCACGCGGCCGCCTGGGGCAGCCGCATCGGGCCCGTTCCCCGAGAAGAAATTATTGGACGTTGGAAACAGTGCACCATAATATTATTGCTGTTTTTGGGCGGGCTCGAGCTCCTAGGCCTCCGAGACTTCCTCCGAGGCGCGGGCTCTTACTAGCCCCCCCCAGGCGTGCTTCTTCTTGGCTCAGGGGTCGGTGACGAGGGCGACGGCCGCCGCGTCGGGCCCGCCGGCCTCCGTGGCGTCGAGCCAGTCCGTGAGCTTGGCGATCTGCTCCCGCTGCGCGCGCTTCGACGTGCCGCCGGCCGCGTCGCGGGACTCGGCGGACCGCTCGAAGTCCCAGAGCGCGGCGATGGTCGCGTCGTCGTCGTCCCCAAAGGCCGGGTGGAGGCCCGCGAGCTGGGCCTTGGTGAGCCCCGCGAGCGTCGTGCCCTCGGCCTCGGCGAGGCGCACGGCCGCGCCGGCGACGTGGTGCGTCTCGCGGAAGGGGACGCCGTGGGCGCGCACCAAGTGCTCCGCCAGGTCCGTCGCGAGCATGGCCGGCTCGAGCGCGCCGCGCATGCGGTCCGCGTCGATGGCCGTCGTCTCGACGACGCCCTTGGCGATGCGCAGCGCGACCTTCAACGTGCGCGCCGCGTCGAAGACGGGCTCCTTGTCCTCCTGCAGGTCCTTGTTGTAGGCCGCCGGCGTCGACGCGAGGAGCGCCGTCAGCGCCGCCTGGTGGCCCATGAGCCGCGCGGACTTGCCCCGGAGGAGCTCCAGCGCGTCGGGATTCCGCTTCTGCGGCATGAGCGACGACCCCGTGGAGTAGGCCTCGCCGAACTTGACGAAGGCGAACTCGCGCGTGCCGTAGACGATCAAGTCCTCCGCCCAGCGGCTCAGGTGGACGCCCGTGAGCGCCGCCCATTGGCAGAACTCGATCGCGAAATCGCGGTCCGACACGGAGTCGACGGAGTTCGGCGTCGGCCCGCCGCCGAACTTGAGGTCCGCAGCGAGGAGGTCGCGGTCCCCGGGCCCGAAGAAGGGGTGGCCCGCGAGCGCGCCCGAGCCCAGCGGGCACCGGTCCGACCGCTCGAAGACGCCGTCGAGCCGCTCCAAGTCGCGCGTCCACGCCCACGCGTGGCTCAGCGTCCAGTGGCTGAAGCGGATGGGCTGGGCCCGCTGGAGGTGCGTGTAGCCCGGCATGAGCGCGTCGACGCTCTCGTCGCGCGCCGCGACGTCGCGCGCGGCCTCGATGAGCGCCCGGAGGTCCGCGCGGAGCCCGTAGACCTCCGCGCGGAGCCAGAGCCGCAGGTCCGTCGCGACCTGGTCGTTGCGGCTGCGGCCCGTGTGGAGCCGCCCCGCCGTGTCGCCGCCGATGTGCTCGCCGAGGCGCCGCTCGTTGGCCGTGTGGATGTCCTCGTCGCCGTCGACCTCCTCGAACGCGCCCGCGGCCCACTCCGCGCGCGTGAGGCTCAGGCCCCGGGCCATGTCCGCGGCCTGCGCCGCGTCGAGCTGGCCGCAGCGCTCGAGGGCCTTGGCGTAGGCCTGGGACCCGCAGACGTCGGCGGCCCAGAGCTTCTTGTCGAAGGGCAGGCTGTTGTTGAAGACCTCCATCATGGGGTCCGTGGCCACGCCGAAGGCGCCGCCCCAGAGCTTCTTCGGCTTGTCGTCGCCGCCGCCGGAGGCGAGCGCGCGCTTGCTCATGGCCGTCGAGCGCAGGCGCGCGAGACGCGACGCGCGCAGCATATGCAATGCGAGGTGCTGCGAGAGCATCGAGGCGACCGGCGATTGGCTGATCGCTCTTGAGGTCGCCCTTGCATGGGCATTGACGAGGACTTGATGCGATGGTCGACGTCTGAGAACACGGGGCAGCCTCGTGATCCGTCGCCATGCTCGCGTCGCAGCGGGATGTGGGCGAGCGGCAGCGGGACCAGATGCTGGCGAGCCTGGCGGAGAAGGAGATGGCCTACATCCTGAGCGACCTGGCCAACATCGGCACGCAGGCGGCGCTCATCGCCGGCTTCGTCTACTCGTCCGTGGCCGACCCCGACGCCGACGAGGGCGGGCCGCCGAACTCGCACGTCGTCGAGGGGTTGCTGCTGGTGACGATCAACACGGCGGCCGTCGTCACGAACCTCGTCGTCGTGACGACGTCGACGTTCGTCGCGACGTCGGGGCCCTACGAGGCCCTGACGGGCGACGAGGCGACGCTCTGGCGCACGCTGCGCGTGCTCCAGCGGGAGCGGAGCCGCGTCATGACCTGGTACTGGCTCGGCCTGTTCTCTTTTTTTTTGAGCCTCGCGACGACGGTCTACTTCTCGCGGCGGAACAACTACAGCCGCGGCGCGATGATCGGCGTCTCCCTGCTCGGCCTCTTCGTCATCCGCCGCAACCAGCTGCGCATCGCCCGGGACCTCGCCGGCGCGCCCGCGGACGCGCCGGGCTCGTGCCTCGGGGCCTGGGCCGCGGCGCTGTCGCCGCCGGCGCGCGCGCGCGCGGAGGGCGACGACGCGGACACGACGCTCGTCGTCGTCAGCGGCTTCACGTCCGAGTGCCCGCGCTGCGCGTCGCCCCTCGACGGCGCGTCGACCTGCGGCCGCTGCGGCAGCCGCGTCGTCGTCCAGTGCCGCGTCTGCAAGTCCGAGATGGCGCCGGACGCGACGCTGTGCCTCCGCTGCGGCCGGCCGACGCGGCGCGACTACAACGCGCTGGCCGTCGAGGAGGACGCCGCGCCGGCGCCGGCGTCGGCCGGCGCCGACGCCGCCGTGGACGCGCGGCTCCCGGGCGGCGGCTGGGTCCGGCGGCGCGCGCGCCTGGACGACGGCGCGCTCGTCCTCGCGGCCGCGGACGGCGACGCGGAGCGGCGCGTGCCGATCCGGGCCACGGGCGCGACCTGCGTGCCCGTCGACGCCCGCGCGTTCCGCGTCGCCGTCGCCGGCGACGGCGTCGTCGACGTCCGCTGCCCGAGCGCCGAGGACGCGGCCGCGTGGTCCGCGGCCATCCACGTCGCGGCGGTGGCCATCGGCCACGGCCGGAAGCCCCGGCGCTCCTTCCTCTCCGGGCGAAGCTTCGCCTAACTCTCCGCGTTTTCGTTTCGCGCGCGCGCGCGCGCGCGAGCCGCGGCGGCGGCGTCGACGCGGCCCCGGCGCATCCTCGAAGAAACAGAAGCATGGCCGTCTTACGAAGCTACTCGTCCCAGAAGCTGAGCCAGGAGGGCATGACGCACATACATCGCGCGTTCGCGTCGTCGTCGATGTCCGAGTCGCCCTGGTCTTCGAAGTCGTCCTCGGGCGCGGCCGGCGGCTCCTCCTTCAGGTCCACGATCTGCACCGTGAGCCCGTCGCCGCTCTTGGCTCGCGCCGCCGCCGCCGTGGACGACTTTGGGCCCGTGCGCCGGCCGCTGAGGCCGCCGAGGCCGGCGGGGCAGCTCTGCTGCGGGTCGCCCGTGTCGAGCGTCGAGGCCTGGACCGCCGGCACCGGGTCCTTGACGGCTATGTCCACCGGGACGGCGTCCACGGGGTTTACCATGTTGGGTGGACGGCGCCGCGCGCGACGGCAGCCGAATAAAAATCCGCGGGGACAGCCCACCCCGGGTTGTGTCGCCACGGCCGAAGATTCGTGAGCCCCATGTTGAATTCATGGTGCCGCAAAACTCATCAGCTGGCTGCATCTAGGCTGCCCTTCGATCGATCGAGGTGGCGGGATCCCGAATAGGGCGCGCCCCATGGCGATGAGGCGGCTGGCGCTGCTGGGGCTCGCGTCCACCCGCGCCACGGCGTCGACCTCCGTCGGGTCGGAGCTGGCGAACTACGGCTACGAATACACCTACTACGAGGACCTGTACGAGAATTGGACGCAGACGGGCTGCCGCTACGCCATGTGGGAGGACCTGGACTTCGACTTTTACGAGCGCTTCTACTGGAAGCCCGAGGACCTCTGGGCCTTGATCAGCAACAACACGTTCCTGAGCACGCACGAGCTCGAGGCCTGGGTCTTCGGCGACGAGGGCAACGCGCGGGGCGACCGCACGCCCTACTACGACTCGGGCATCTCGCCGACGGCCTGGCTCGTCGACGATCTCGAGGCGCCGCCGATCTACCTCTACCCGGAGTTCCAGCTCACGGACTTCGACGTCGACGAGCACAAGGGCTCGTTCAAGGTCAGCGGCTTCTTCAAGCTCGGCTGGATGGACTTCCGGCTCGCCTACGCCTTCACGCCGGCCTGCGCGCTCCAGTTCGGGACGAAGTACCGCTGGCTCCTCGACGAGAAGTACCACGGCAAGCTCTGGCAGCGCGACTGGTACCTCGTCAACGCGGTCGGGCCGTCCGCGCTCAGCGCGCGGACGACGTCCATCTGGATCTACCCGAGCGGCTGGCTCGTCGAGAAGCAGCAGATCATGCAGGAGCTCAAGTGCGACCTGGACCTGCGGGAGCTGCCCTTCGACCGCCAGAAGTGCAAGATGCGCATCGGCATCTCGGGCCTCACGTCGGAGAAGGCGGTCTTCGAGGTCCCCGTGGCGTCGTTCCGGGGGGCCGACGGCGACAAGGTCGACAACGCGCAGTGGAAGATCCTGGAGGTCAAGGTCTACACGGAGCTGCAGGAGTACTTCACGCAGGGCAAGGCGACGCCCGCGGACGAGGTCGACCTCTACAGCGAGGCCTACATCGAGTTCACGCTGCAGCGCAAGCCCCTCTTCTACTTCGTCGAGGTCGTGCTCCCGGCGATCCTCTTCCTCTTCGTCGCCTACATCGGCTTCTACATCAACGCGAACGTCGCGCCCGCGCGCGTCGGCGTCACCGTGATCCCCGTGCTCATCATGCGGACGCTGCTGAACCAGACCTACGGCCGCATGCAGATCATCGCCTACTTCACGCGGCTCACGAACTTCCTCGTCATGTCCCAGGCGCTGTCCGTGTTCTGCGTCGCGGAATTCGGCATCGTGTCCTACTTCCTCGCCGTCGAGAAGGACGCCGAGCTCGCCCGCAAGGCCCTCGTGCGCTGCCACAAGCTGCTCGTCGCGAACATCACCGCGCCGCCGCCGCCGCCGCCGCCGCCGGCGCCCGCGCGCGAGGACGACGAGGCCATCGACGTCCTCGAGGTGCCGCTCCGCGACGACCGCGCCGAGGCCGGCGCGCCCAAGAGCTTCTCGTCGCCGGCGGGCTGCTGGGGCGGCGGCACCATCGACGACGACGACGTCGACCGCGTCGTCGCGCTCCGCCAGCCCGAGGAGTTCGCGCCGCGGCCGCCGCCGCCGCCGCCGCCGCCGCCGCCGAAGCCGGCGACGAGCCGCCACCGGCTCATGTCCATCTGCGAGAAGGTGGACCACCCGAACCCCATCGTGCGCCAGCACATCAAGAAGCTCAAGGCGCTCTTCGACGCCTACGACGCGGACCGGAACGGCACCGTCGACGCGCCGGAGCTCTCGAAGGCGCTCGAGACCTACAACTTCTACCTGACGTCGGAGCAGACCTACTACACGAGCGCGCCGCCCGCGCCGCCCCGCCCCGCGCGCGCGCCGCGCCGACCGTGTCCCCCCCCCGCGCGCAGTGCTCCACTACAAGCACGTCAACGGCGAGGACATGAGCGGAATTCAACCACTGGTTTGGGTGGTCCCGACCAAACTTTGAAATTCTCTAGCTCGGTCAAATCGAAGTCGATTCGACTGATTTTTGGACGAATCGATTGCTCTCGTCGAGTTATCGAAGCACGGCCGAAGAGCTTGCGTCGAAACTGTCGCATATTCGCACATTGAAGTCGGGTTGAAGATTTGGAATCCACACAGGCGAGGACATGAGCGGCGCGCCGGACTACGACGACGCCGCGCGCGAGGGCTACGAGTGCTCCTTCGGCTTCAAGGACTTCGTCGAGCTCGTCACGGGCGGGCACCTCGAGGAGCTCGTCATCCACGACATCTGCGACAAGAACTGGCTCGCGAACAAGCCGCGGAGCGCCCAGACGGACCTCGTCTGCCGCTGGCTCTTCCCGCCGACGGCCGTGATCCTCTCGGCCCTCATCCTCGGCGTCCCGACGCACCGGTGGGCGCCGGACCCGTGATATCTGTAAGCGCGCTTAAAACCCGCCGCGCGTCACGGCGCCCCGTCCGGCGCGGCCCGCCGCGGCGGGAGCGCGTGCGCGCGCGCGCGGTTGTACGCGGCGACGAGCGCCGCGCGCCGCGGCGTCGGCGCCACGAGGAGCTCCCCGAGGTCGAACAGCGCGTCGACGTGGCCCCGGTAGCTCCCGAGGACCGCGTCGACGGTGTGGTCGTCGTAGGCGTCGCCGAGGTCGAAGTCGTAGCGCGCGCCGTCCAACGACGCGGACCGCCCGCGGTCGTCCGCCGCGGAGACCCGCCCGAGCTGGAGCGACGCCTTGTCGATGTCGTCGAACAAGCGGCGCTTCGGGCGGTTCGGGTCGCAGGGGCGGCCGTCGAAGCGGCTCGTCGCGTCCGCGTCCGCGTCGCGGACGTCGAAGCGCCGCGTCGCTCCGTCGACGACGAGCTCGAGCGACGACCGCGGCGCGCGGACGCGCGCGGCGAGCCGCGGCACGGGGTCCGGCGCCCGCGCCGCCGCCGCAGCGCTCGGCTCGTGCGCGCGGTCCCGGAACGCGTGGGACCGGCCCCGGAGCTCCGCGGCCCCGACGACGTCGGGCTTGTCGCGCTTCGCGGCTTCGAAGCCCGCGTCGCCGGTCGCGAGCACGACGGCGACCTCGAGGGCCTCGAAGGTCGACGCCGCGGCGCTCGGCGCCTGGGCCGCCGCGGGGAAGTCCATGTGGGCCATGGCCGCGAAGGAGTCCGGGAAGAACTTGCGGCCGCGCGGCGCGCGGAGCGGCACCGCCGTGACGGCGCCTCTCTCTAAATCCGCGAGCGACACCTCCGCCGCGGCGACCTCGACGTCGCCGAAGAGCACGGCGTCGCTGGACACGGCCGATAAACGCAGCGTCAGCCCGTCGGCGCCCGGCCTGTGTGGAAATCAACCACTGGTTTGGGGGGTCCCCACCAAACTTCAGAACTCTCTATCTCGGTCAAATCGAAGTCGATTCGGCTGATTTTTGGACGAATCGATTGCTCTCATCGAGCTCTCGAAGCACAGCAGAAAACCTTGCGTCAGAACGGTCGCATACGCGCACATTGAAGTCGGGTTGAATATTTGATTTCCACACAGCGCCCGGCTCGAGGTCGAAGGTGTCCAGCACGGGCAGCTCCGACGACGCCCGGTCGTTCTCCGGGCAGCGCTCGAGGGGCGCGACCGCGGGCCGCGACGACCGCCGCAGCACGCGCGTCGCCCCGCGCCGCACCTCGACGGCTACCGCTAAATTCCGCGACGCCGCGCCGTCGACGCGGAGCGACGCGACGGTCAGCGCGAGCCGCGGCCGCGACGTCGCGAGCGCCGCCGCGTCCGACTCCTCGAGCTCGTCGTCGTAGGCCCGGCGGTCCTGGTCCGCCCGCCGCAGGCGCTCGTGGCGCCGCAGCTTCGCCGCCACGAGCACGGGCGCCGCGCACTCCACGTCCACGAGCAGGCGCGTGGACCGTCCCTCGACCTCGAACGCGTCCGCGTCGTCGTCGACGCGGTCCCGCGACGGCGCGCAGTCGCGGTAGGCGTGGGCCGGCGCCACGGCGCGCGACCGCGGGTGCGCCGGCTCGTCGTCGTCCACGCCCTCGGAGGCCTTGCGGAAGAGGTAGTAGTCGCGGCCGGCGGCGGGCGAGTCGGCCTTCTTCTCCGGCGCGGCGTCGTCCGCGCGGCGCGGCGGCCAGCGCTGGAGCGAGCTCGCGAGCCGCGCGTGCGTGCGCCGCAGGCTCCAGAGCGCCGCGAACTGGTCCCAGGGCGACGATCTCGCGAAGCCGCCGCGGAACTTGCTCTCGAACTTGAGCGCGCGCCGCAGCCGCCGCAGCGGCGCGGGGATGGGCTCCAGAGGCCGCAGGGACGTCGCGCGCTCCGCGGCGGCGGCGTCGGCGACGCGGTCCAATACGGCCTCGGCGAAGGCGTAGCACGCGGCGACGTCGACGGCGCCGCGCGCGTCGTCGCCGACGTCGACGTCCACCGAGAGGTCGCTCAATTGGGGATCCCGGTACAGGTCCGTCGCCGTCTCCGCCGGCTGCGCGAGCACCGCCGGCGCGTTGAATTTTGCTGGTTCCTCGACGGTGCGCGCGCTCACGGGCTCCGCGGGCCGCGGCGGCGGCGCCGGTCCCGCCGCGCCGCTCCGCTCGGGCGGCCGCGGCCCCGCGCGGCGGCTCAGCGCGACGCCGCAGCGCATGGCCGGCACGTCGAAGGAGAAGGCGCTCCGGTGCGCGAGGCCGTCGGCGGCGCCCGGCGCGACGTCGGCGACGACGAGGCGCACCGCGCCCGCGCCGTCGGACCGCGGCGCCGTGAGCACGACGTCGCGGCGCTCCGCGCGCGCGGTCGCGAGCGCCCTGCGCAGCGCCGTCCCGCAGACCTCGACCCGACACAGCTCGCCGTCGGCGCCGAGGACCTGGGACGCGTGGAAGACGGTCACGACGAGCGCCGGGCCCGGCGCCGTCGGCGCGGCGAAGACGACGGCCGCGGCCCCGGGCCACGCCGCCGCGCCCGCCGCGTCGACGGCGACGGCGCCGTCGCGGGCCTTCGCGCGGAAGGCCGCGAAGTCGGCGCTGCGCCGCGCGCCGCCCGGCGGCCGCGGCGACGGCGGCGACGCGGCCGGCGGCGGCGGCGGAGCGCAAAGCTCGCGGCGCCGCCGCCGCGCGACGCCCACGGGGTCCTCGTCGAAGGGGCAGCGCACGAGCGCGTAGGCGCGCGTCGTGAAGCCGATGCCCGTCGTCCGCGGCAGGCCCGACGCGTCCAGCGCGCGCACGGAGACCGCGCGATAGCCGTCGCCGAAACCCGCGGCGAGCGACCGCGCGCGGCGCCGGTCCGCGTCGAGGCACTCGAGGGGCGCGTCGTCGCTCCGGCCGTACACCCTAAAACCGTTGAACACGACCTTGCGCGTCCACTCGGGCTCCTCGGACCAGGACGGGTCCCGCGGCCGCCGCCGCGACGCCAAGTCCAACACCGACGGCATCTTCGCCGCGGACGTGCACCGCGTCGCGGGCGAGATGAAGATCTCCTCGGCGCAGGCGCCGGCGGCGTGGCACGCGTCGTTTTCGCCGGCGCACTCGACGCGGCAGTGGACGCGCGTCGCCCGGAGGCTCCACTCGCGGAACGCGAGGACGCCCGCGGGCCCCGGCGCGCGCGCGTCGTCCTCCTCCCGCAGCAGCCGCTCGACGAGGCCGACGAGCGCGAGCCGCGCGGCGCGCGCGACGTGGGGCTCGCCGCCGCAGGCCTCCGCGCTCGGCGTCGCCACGAGGAGCAGCGCGTCCTCGACGACGACCTCGCGGCTGAACGTCGAGAACCGCACGGAGCCCAGCGTCGCGCGCACGGGCCGCAGCGGCAGCCGCAGCTCCTCCCAGGTCTTGAGCTCGAACTCGCAGTTCGCCAGCTCGATGATGCCGTCGCTCCCGACGTGCACGTCCTCGGGCGCCGTCCACAGAGCAAAGGACTTGCGCACCCAGTCGCGCACGAAGCTCGACATGACGCGGAAGTCGCTCGCCGACGACACGGTGTCGAGCACGTAGTTCATGGCCATGCGTTCGTGTTCAGCTGGCGCTCAGCCGCGGCGTCTGCTGCACGCTACAATGCCGCGTCGCCATGGCGCCTCCATGCCTCTCGATGATGCGGCAACTCCTGGACAAATTTGCCTGCTCGATGCACTCGGAGAGCATGGGCGCTGATTGTCGAGGCAGCCCCGCCGCCGCGTCGCTGCGTAAACATGTTCACGGTCGCCAAGCACGACGGCCGCCTCGCGTTCGTCGACCGGGGCGGCTACCAGTCGCGCAACGCGAGCACCCGCTGGTGCATCGAGGAGGCGGACCGCCTCCACGACTTCGGCGACTTCGACGCCGTCGAGGTCTGGACCGGCGACTGCGAGGCGTCGGCGTCGGGCTACTGCTACAGCCACGTGCAGAGCTTCGCCAACACGGTGCCCGACTTCAACTTCCACCGCTGGGCCGAGGCGGGCGTCGACGACTACGAGGCCACGTGCGCCGCGCTCGCGGCCGCGGGCGAAAAACCGGCGGCGACGGACCGCGCGGGCTGGATCGGCGCGCTGAGCCACGGGTCAAGAAAGACTCTGCACGACCTTCGCGACCCGGCGCTCCTCGACGTGACGCTGATGGAGTGGCGGCCCGCGGCGCCGGGAGCGACGCGGCTGCCCGCGTCGGCCTTCGTGAGCCTGCCGGACCTCGCGGCCAGATACGCCTACCTCGTCGACGTCGAGGGCAGCGGCTACTCGGGGCGCCTGAAGTACCTGCTCCACAGCGGGCGGCCGGTCTTGCTCGCGGACCGGCCCCATCTCGAGTTCTTCTACGAGCACCTCCGCGCCTGGGACCACTACGTGCCCGTGCGCCGCGACCTCGGCGACCTCCACGAGAAGATCCGCTGGCTCCAGGCCCACCCGGCCGAGGCCGCGGCCATCGCGCGGCGCGCGTCGTCGTTCGCGGCGCAGCACCTCACGCGCGGCGCCGCGGCGCGGCGCTGGCGCGACGTGCTCGCGCCCCACGTCGCCCGGCGCGCCGAGCGGCGGCGGAGCGTGCGCTGCGCCGCGGAGGAGGCCTGCGACGTCGTCTACCGCGCGCCGGACGGCAGCGGCACCGTGAAGCTCGCGACGCTCCGCGCGGGCGAAGCGGTGACCGTCGACGCGCTCCCGGGCCACGCGCTGCACGTCGGGGAGCGCGTAATTCGGACGTAGAGAGGGGGGGGGGGCATGACGCTTAACATGACGCCTGGAAATGCATGTTGAACCGACGTTGAGGCATCTTTCGACCTGGGTCGAGCATGGACGCGCCTTCGCGCGCGCGCGCATCTCAGAAGAACTGAGAGGCAATAGAGACTGTGCGCCAGGTGCCCGCTGTCGTAGCTCTTACGCGAGATCATGTTCAAGGCGGCCCGAGACTTTTTCTTCGGCTCATCGGCGCGGGCAGGGGAGGAGCGGCTCGAGGCGAAGAAACGGCGCGGCAGCGCGGCCCCGGCAGCGCTCGTGTGTCTGCCCGACGACGCGCTCATCGCTTCGTACGCGTACCTGGGCCTCGTCGATGGCGCGTGCGCGGCCGTGACCTGCCAGCGCCTCGCCGTCGCCGGTCGCTGTCACCACCCGAGCGTGCTCGTGATACACCAGGATGAATGGTACACCGGCGACCCGGCTGCGACAGCGATCCTCGATGGACGGTGGCGGCGATGCACGCCCCGCCCGACGCGCGAAGAGACACATTTCAACCCCGGCGCGGCGGCCGTCGCGGTTGGGGAGCACCTCTGCTGCGCGCCATTCCCGCTTGAATCACGTCTGCTGCACCCTGAAGACGAACTCCGCAACATGGATGTGTATTCCCTGAAGACGAACTCCTGGCGGATGATCGATCACTTCGCCCACCTCGGCGCGCGATGGAACTTCGCTTGCTGCGCGCTCCCCCCTGACGAATTGGTCTTCATCGGCGGCCAGTTCCTGGGTGCAGAAGCAGAAGATGATTCGCCTTGCTCCAGCGTGCACGTGGTGAATCTTCGGTCGGATGCGTGGACGCGGCTTCCGGATCTACCCCTTGGCGTCGCCAACGCGACGTGCTGCGAGTGCCGCGGAAAGCTCTACGTCCTCGACACCGGATTGACCACAGCCTTTGATTCCATCATAAATCATAGGAATCTCTCGCTCTCCGAAGTCGCATTCCTGATCTACGATCCGGCGCAGCACGCATGGACCTATGGGCCGCCCTGCCCGATCACGGATCCCAGATTTCGAAGTCATGTCACGATGCTCGCGGCGGAGAGCCGAGTCTTCGTCTTCTCGCAGAACATCTGGTCAGACTCGCAAGTGAGCGCGGCCGCCGCGTTCGACACGGTGACTTCGACGTGGTCCGAAATCTATCACCTGGACTTGGCAAGCTGTGCTATCGATTTTTTCGCCGTTCACCGAGGCGAGCCCATCGGCGTCGACGCGTCGCGCCGAACAACACTCGCACTTGGGCCATCCTTCCCTGCGTCCCTCACTGCTGTTCCCGAGCCCGAACTTGCGGTAGCCCAGCTCGAAATCGAGAGCCTTTACCAGCTCAAAGCGGAAGGCACTTGCGCAGGCGGCCCCGGTCCTTTTCAGTTCAAACCAGGCCTCGCCGACACTATCGCGGCTGGCAACCTCCAAGCGTAAAAGTAAGATCCGCCGCAAATAACGACTCACCGGGAGCGGGACGTGGAGCGGCTTTAGGCCACGGTGACGTATAGGGTGCCTTGACTCAGCCCCTGAGGCGTCCTTTGGCGACTCAAATTCGTCCACAGCCAAATCGGGTCGACCACTTTGAACACGGGCGGCCGCGGCCAACGAAGCATGCAGCAGACGACGTTGACCACGCTCTTCAAGCGTGCCCGAGACGCTTCGCACGCCAAGAACTGTCGCCTCCTGGCTGAGCGAGGTGTTGGCAGCCTCGGTCTACCGGAAGACGTGACGACTTCCGTGCTCAGCTATTCGGACCTACGGGGCGTGGCCGCGTGCGCCGCGGCGAGCTCTGAGCTCATGCGCTGCCTCGTGCGCCTCAGCCCGGACCTCGAGCACCGCCTCGTGCTCCGGCGTTTCCCGCTGCTCGCGACAGTCGCGGAACACGTCGACGCGGAACCGCGCGAGCTGTTCTACTCCCAGATGGACCTCTTCGAGGAGCATCCCCACCGCACTCTGGCTCCCGTCCGCGGACTCGACGAGTACACCTTTTCCCTGGAAATCGAATTTCAGCAATTACCACCTATCAACGGCATCGCGCACCGTGAGTCCGTCTTCGTGGGTACGGGTTCGCCCATGGACTTCCGAGGGTCACCGATTCTCAGATTCTACCCACCAGCCGACCTTTATGAGCGAGCTATGGATACCGAATTCAATATATTCGTACGCGTCATGGCCACGAAGCGCTTCGAGAAAGGGCGGGCGCGACTTGGACTGGGCGATGTCGACGATTTCTACGACGGCCTGATCTTTTACAGCTTGGGACGCATGCGGCATGAAGTGGAGACTGGGCCGCGTCCGACGAGTTTCCTTGATCAGAGTATCAGTGATGCTTGGGGAAGCGAATGGCCGGAGCTGAATGGGAGATGGGGCCCACCCCGGTCGGAGATTTCTGCCAGTGAATTTGATTTGCATTTCGCATGGGAGAATCCGAACGACTCCCGTGAAATGCCCCTCGAGGACGTCTGCCTCGCGCTCGAGCACTACGTCACCTGGGTCTAGGAACGCCATAATCTTAGCGACACCGATCCACGATCGCGCAGAGGTCCGCGACGAACTCGTCGGCGTTCGTGTTGTGGATGGAGTGGCTCGCGGTGGGGAACTCCCTGACCCGCGCCGCGGGCAGGCGCGCGGCCAGGTCGTCGATGCCGTCCGCGCCGTCCCACTGCGCGACGGTGCCGTCCCGGCCCGCGACCCAGAGGTGCACCTCGAAGGGCAGGTCCGCGGCGGCGAGCGCGGACCACGCCTTGGACCCGTCGGCGCTCGAGAGGACGTGCTTCTTCGCGAGCGCCTGGGCCCGCGGGTTGACGTCGGACCACCAGGTTCCGTCCGGCTGCTCGCGGAGCCGCTTGCCGACCCAGGACTCGACGCGGCCCGCGTCGTCGTAGTGCGCCAGCAGCGCGGCCTTGGCCGCTTCCAGCGACGGGAACGACCGGTCGAAGGCCGGGAGCGGCCCCGGCGCGGCCCACTTGGCCCGCGGCACCGCGTCCATGTCCTCGACGACGACGGCGGCGAGCAGGCCGGGATCCTCTTGCGCGGCGATGCGCGCGACCTCCATGGCGACGCGTCCGCCCATGGAATGACCGACGAGCACCCAGGGCTTCGCGACGCCGCGAGCCTCGACGGCCGCGACGACGTCGCGCGCGAGCGCCTCGCTGGAGAACTCGTCGACGTCGCCGAGCGGCGACTCGCCGTGGCCGCGCAGGTCGAGCGCGAGGCACGGGTAATTTTTCGACTGGAGCGCGGCGAGCGTCGACGTCCAGGTCTCCTTGCTGCTGTCCAGGCCGTGGACGAGCACGCTGGTCGGCTTTTTCGCGTTTATTGATGATGCCAGAGGGATGCGCGCGTCTGATAACGCGTGCGAGGAGGTCGCAAACGCCGCGACGGCGACGCAGCGGCTAGCAAAGAGGTGCGCCATCGTTCTTGCCGCAGCAACTTGAACTTCTGAGACCAGCGAGCGAGGTGGTCGAGGTGTACGTTCGCGTCGGCCGCGCTGCCGGCCGCCGCCGATCTCTCGTCGTGTTTGCCAGCGTCCGCGAACGTGCCTCTAGCCGGCGCCTGCACGGCTCCGCAGCTCGACGAAGCTCCCTCCAGCGGCGGCGCCTGCGCGGTTTTGTAGCCTCCCAAAGCTGCAAGCGTCGCCGCCGCGGGCGCCTCAACGACGCGGCCGCGCGCCTACGCCGACACCGCCGCTCGTTCGCGCGCGCGCCGCGCCGAAGGTCTCCGACGCGCGCGCGCGCGCAGGTTCCGCCCGCGCATCCACCATGGCCGCCGACGCGCCGCCAGCCGCCGCGGACGCGAATGCCGCCGCGGACGCGAAGGCCGCCGCCGACGCCAAGGCCGCGGCCCCCGACGCCAAAGCCGACGCCGACACTAAACCCGCCGCGGACGCCGACGCGGCCCGGGCCCAAGCCAAGGCCGCGAAGAAAGACGCCGCGAAGCGCGCGAAGGCCGACGCGAAGAAGAAGGCCGAGGCCCCGGAGCCGGAGATTTCGCCGAAGCAGTTCATCGTGCCGTGCCTCATGATGGCCGCCAAGTTCTTCAAGCTCGACTTTTCGCCCTACGTCGACCAGCTCCGCGCCGGCTTCGCGTGCGCGTGCGCTCTGACGCTCGGCGTCCACTTCCTCGTCAAGTCCATCGCCGCGGGCAAGAAGGACGCGACGGAGCTTACGGTCGCGACGAAGACCTGGACCGTCTGCGACTACGACCAGGCCGAGGCCCTCAAGAAGGTCAAGGGCGCGCTCGCGTCCGCGTGCATTCCACTCGCGATGCACTACAAGTGGGGCAGCCCCATGCCCCTCCTCTTCCAGTGCATCACGCAGCCCATGAATCTGCTCGGCGACCCCCTCGTCCGGATCCACCTCCTCGGCAGGAAGCCCGAGGGCGAGCTCGCGCGGCCGTTCAAGGCGGCGCCGAACCCGCTCGCGGACCTCCTCGGCGGCGGCGACGACGCGGCCGGCGCTTCCAAGCCCAAGGAGAAGAAGAAGCCGCCGGCGGCCCTGGACTCGTCCATGCTCATCCTCTTCGTGTCGCTGCTCGTGAGCGCCTGCGCCGTCGCGAGCGCTTTGGGCTTCCGCGGGCGCGTTGAGGTCGTGGGCATCGACCTGGGCACGACCTACAGCGTCGTCGCCGTCTCCGAGGGCCGCAAGGGCGTGCGCGTCTTCGACGACCCGGACCGAGGCAAGCTCACGGCGTCGACGGTCGCGTTCCTCAAGGGCGGCGCCGTCGCCGTCGGCGCGGCCGCGAAAGCGCACGCGGCCAAGGATCCGCGGCACGTCCTCTTCGACGCGAAGCGCTTCATCGGCCGCGACTTCGACGACGAGAGCGTGGCGCTGCAGGCGAAGAAGTACACCTTTGAGGTGGTGAAGGACGCGAACTCGACCGGCTGCGCGTTCGCGCTCGACGTGCCGGGCCACCCGGCCGCGGCGACGCCCGTCGACGTCGGCGCCGAGGTCGTCAAGGCCCTCATGCGCACGGTCCACGACGACCTGGGCCACGAGAACGTGAAGCGCGCGGTCATCGCCGTGCCCGCGAGCTTCGGACCGGCGCAGATCGCGGCGACGGGCGACGCGTTTAAGGCCGCGGGCCTCAAAGTCGCGCGCGTCATGCCCGAGCCCGTCGCCGCCGCCGTCGCCTACGGCCTCCACAAAAAGAAGGACGTGAACCACGTGCTGGTCTACGACTTTGGCGGCGGCACGCTCGACGTGTCGATCCTCTACGTGCAGGACGGGTCCATCGAGGTCGTCGCGAACGGCGGCGACAACGACCTCGGCGGCACGGACTTCGACCAGTGCGTCGCCGAGGATCTCGCGGCGGACGTGGCGGCGCGGACGGGCGCGGGCGACAGCGTCGCCCGGGCTGCGGGCTGCGAGGCGCGCGAGCCGCTCTGCGCGCGGCACGTCCTCGCGTCCATGGGCGAGCGGCTCAAGATCGCCGTGTCCGACGCGGCGTCCGCCGACGCGGCGTGCCTCGCGCCGCGCGAAAGCTGCGACGACCTCGTGCGCGTCGAGTTCGCCTACACGCGGAAGCGCTTCGAGAAGGCGTGCGACCACCTCTTCGTGCGCGCGATCGACACCGTCGCGCGCACGCTCGACGAGGGCATGCTCACGCACCGCGACATCGACGAGGTCGTCATGGTCGGCGGCACGAGCCGCGTGCCCAGGGTCCGCGACACGCTCCGGGACCACCTCCGCGTCGACAAGCTCAACACGGAGATCGACCCGGACGTCACCGTCGCCGTCGGCGCCGCGTCCATCCTCGACTAAGACTGCCGCCTGTATTACGCGTCCGACGCGGCGCGCGCGCGCTTCTTCTTCTTCTTCTTCGCGGGCGGCGCCTCCGCCTCGTCGGCGGCGTCGAAGATGCGGCCGAGGTGGGCGAGGTAGTGGCCGACGAACCCCACGCGCGGCTCTGCGTCGCCGTCCGGGTCCGTCCACACCTCCGGGTACGCGAGGCCCGCGCCGAAAATGGAGCCGCCGTAGAGCGCGCCGCGTCGGCCGGCCGTTTCCGGAAAGTCGACCTGCACGATATCCTCGGCGTAGTCGCGGGTGTTGGTGCCGGGGACGAAGACGTCCGGGGGCGCCGCAGGCGCGAAGCCCGCGGCGTAGATGATCGCCTCGGCGCCGTCGGCCGCGAGCCGCGCCGCGACGCTCTCCGGGTCCGCGGCCGCGTCGAGCGTCTCGTAGCCGATGCTCGTCCCGACGGCGGTGCGGGTCCAGGCCGCGACGGCGCCCTTGAGGCCCGTGCCGTCGCGCTTGATCCAGCCGTCGCGCTCCTCGGCGTAGCGCGGCTCGCCCGCGAGGTCGTAGACGCAGACGTCGGCGCCGCGCGCCGCGCAGTTCTTCGCCGCGAGCATGCCCGAGTGGGCCCCGCCGATGACGGCGACGCGCACGCCCCGCACGGCGCCGGCGAGCGCGTCGATCGTCGCCTCGGCGCGCTTCGTCGCCTCGTCAGGCGCGAGCGCGAGCGCCAGGTCGATGACGAAGACGCCGCGCGCCTCCAGCGCGGCGCGCAGCTCCGGCGACGCCTCGCGGGGCGCGCCGCCCGTCGCCAGGAGCACGCGCGTCGCCCGGCAGACGACGTCGCCGACGCCGCACTCCGCGTCCCAGCCGTCGTCGCGGCGCACGAGCGAGTGCACGAGGACGCCGTCGCGCGCGAGCCCGAGGCGGCCGCCGGCCCGCATGGCCGCCGACGCGTCGAGGAGCGCGTCGAGCGACAGCCGCAGGGGCGCCGTCGCCGCCGGCGGCGCCGCCGCGAGGCCCGCCGCGCCCCGACGCCGCTGCGCGGCCGCGAAGTCGAACGCGTCGACGCTCTCGAACGCGGCCACGAGGCGGTCGTTCCGCGTGTTCGTCGGCACCTCGCCAAAGTCGCCGAGCCAGCCCATGGCCTCCCAGGGCGTCTTCGACACCCAGCCCACGGACGCGCCGCCGCGCTGGAGCAGGGCGCCGACGGCGCAGGTCCCGCAGGGCCCGCCGCCGACGACGAGCCAGTCCAGCTTCTTCGCGTCGGCGCTGCGCTGGAACGCCTGGGCGAGGTCCACGGGCTTCTCCACCAGCTTCTTCCACCACGGGCTCGCCATTATACGCGCGCCTCACGCGAGCAAAGCTGCGCCCATGCTGTGGTAATTTTACGGCGATCGTGACGGCTCCTTGATGCAAGCACTTGGTCGATGGGTGCTCCAATCCGCGTCCTGACAAGCGCACAATCCGCGTCATGACACGCGCACACTGCTAGCACTCAACACCCAATCATGGCCTGCATGGACTACATCAAAGACATCGTCGACGAGCGCCGCCACGAGCTGGCGTCGATGCCGCGCGAGACCAAAAGTTGCGGACACCAGTGCTACCCGTCGTCCGTCGCCAAGTGCTGCGCCTGCTCGGACCTGCGTCCCGTGCGCGAGGAGGGCACGTACCCGTCGTACGCCGACGGCGCCGGCGCGACGAACGACGGCAGACGGTCCGACCATTATTGCCCTGTTTGCTGCCCGAACAACTTCCTGCGGTGGCAGCGGCGGCGCGACGAGGAGGCCGCGCGCGTCGCGGCGCGGCACGAGCGCCTGGACGCGGAGCGCGCGCTGGCGACGTCGGCGCTGGCCGAGGACCGGGACCGCGCGCGCGCCGGAGAGCAGCGCGGGCCGTTCGAGTACCAGAACGGCGATGTGTACGACGGCCAGTGGCTCGACGGCGAGCGCCACGGCCGCGGGACGATGACCTACGCGGAGGACGGGTCGACCTACGACGGCATCTGGCGCCGCGGCAAGGAGCACGGCCGCGGCCGGAAGGAGTTCCTCGACGGGATCTCGTACGTCGGCGACTTCGAGCACGGCATGATGCACGGCCAGGGCCGCTTCACGATGGCCGACGGCGTCGTGCTCGACGGCGCGTTCCTCGAGGACGAGTGGCAGGGCGCGTAAGCAAGCGAGCTAGCGCGTCGTCGCGGGGTCCCCGTCGTCCGCGCGACTTCCCGCGCGGCTCCGGCCGCGCGCGCGGCGCGAAAAGGGGAAGCACCCGCGCTTCTTCGGCGGCGGCGGCGGCGACTCGGCGTCGGGGAGGAGCGACTGGTCGAGGTCGACGTTGATGGAGACCGTCGAGCCGAAGGACTCGGAGATGCGGAGCTGCGCGATGTCGTCCTCGGACGCGTCCGGCTGGTAGTCGTTGAGGAGGAACTTGAAGAGGTTCTCCGTCGGCGGCGCGTGGGACCAGCCCATCTGCCAGGCGAAGACGCCGAAGAGCCCGATGAAGACGATCTCCGCGAGGCCGTAGACGAGGGGCACGGCCGTCGCCGCGCCCGCGTCCGACCGGGGAAACGCGGAGAGCGCGATGGTCAGGGCCAGCGCCGTGTTCTGGTAGACGCACTCGATGGCCACCGTCGTCGCCTCCGGCGGCGGGAGCTTGAGCATGCGGGAGATGGTGACGGTCGCGCCGAGGCCCATGGGCACGGGCAGGCACACGCCCAGGAACCAGCGCAGCGGCTTCCGATAGATGGGGTCGTGGCTCATCGTGTTCCTCGCGCCGCTCAGGCCCATGAGCGCGATGCCCGCGAGCGTCCCGAACTTGTTCACGATGGAACGGCCCCGGCGCTCGAGGTGCGCCGACGCGACCAGCCCCGCGGCGACGGCCGCGACGACGACCGAGCAGGAAACGAGGATTTGGTACCAGTCGAGCCCCACGTCGCGGCCGCTCACGGTCTGCACGTAGAGATACAGATTCAGCGGCAGCGCCGCACAACTAAAAACCGTCGACGCCGACGTGATGGCCACGGACAGCGCGAGGTCCGCGTTGCAGACGCTGCACCAAAAGCCGGAGAAGCCGCCGGACGGGCTCGTCGTGATGACCAGGAGCGTCGTCGCCGTGACGACGGGCTGGGGCAGCAGCCAATATACGCAGACGTAGCCCAGGAAGGGCATGACGAGGAAGTGGCAGCAGAGGCCGCAGATGATGCCCTTGGCCTTGCGGAACTGGAGCAGGCACAGCCGGGCGTCGCAGCTGCCGGCCATGGAGGCCAGGAGCACGAAGAGCAGCAGCTGGCTGCAGAACTCGAAGAGGGACACGCGCATGGCGGGGGGCTGCGCGGAGGCGTCTCAGGAAGGGGGTGGGCGTCGCCCGGGCAGTTTCCATCAGCTCCAATCAGGATGCGCCGCGAGCCCGTTGACAGATCGTTGACGACAAGGTTGATCCGGCCAACGTTCTTGCCGCAGGATCTCCGAGCACTCGCAAGCTCTTCTCGTCGCGCGCGCTCGCGCCGCAGCGCTTGCAAGCGAGACGCAGCAGCGATGGTGCTCATCGGCGCGCCGTCGCCGGCGGTCGTGCAGTGCGCCAACGCCCTGTTCCTCGCCGCCGCGATCGTCCAGGACGTGCTCGTGATCCGGCTGCTGCTCAGCGGCGCCTTCATCTGCTTGATCGTCGACGCCTGCCGCCTCGCGCAGGAGACGGGCGTGCTCCAGCTCGACTTCCTGGCCTGGGGCGTGCTGACGGGCATGGTCCACTGGTTCTACGCCTACCGCCTCGCGGCGCGGCAACGGCGGCGCGGCGCGGAGCGCGCGCCGCTCGCGGCGCCGAAGCCCGACGGCGCGCCGCGGCCGCCGCGGCAGCAGAGCGCCGAGCGCGAGCCGCTCGCGGCGCCGAAACCCGACGACGGCGCGCCGGTCTAATTTAGACTCGCGACGTACGCGCGCTGGCGCGGCGTGAGCGCGGCGACGCGCGGCGCGCACCAGGCCGCGTCGCGGTAAGCGTCGCAGGCGCACCACGTGCCCAGGGACGCGTTCATGCACGCGGCGCAGGGCGGCAGCTGCTGCGGGTAGGGCCCGTCGCCGAGGCCGCAGGCGTAGTGCTCGATGGTCCCCGCGTTGCACCGCGCGAATTTGTGGCGCGCGAGGTAGCACGGCACCGTCGTCGCCCGCGCGTCGCGGAACGCGTCCGCCGGGTCCAGCGCGAGCCGCCGGAGGAAGTTGCCGCCCGTGTCCGCGACGGCCAGCGAGCCGGGCCGGTAGGACAGGCTCATAGCCTTCCAGAAGCCCGAGCCCGGGCCGTCGACGGCGCCCGCGCCGTCCTTCCAGCAGTCGCGCTCCTCGCCGCCGCCGAAGATCGCGCGCGATCGGTCTGCGTCGACGTCGACGGCGTAGACCGTGCCCGCCGCCTTGCGCTCCATGAGCAGGGCGACGGAGTCGTCGACCCACGCCGCGTCGCGGAACGCGAAGGACCCGTTCGTCGTCCAGGGCAGCGACCGGCAGGTCCCGCCGCGGAGGTCCGCGAGTTTGACGCCCGCGTCGTCGTCCGCGAGCAGGAGCCGGCCGTTGGCGCGGATCGCCACGCCGTGCGGCTTCGACAGCGTGCCGCAGCCCAGGTCCACGGTCGTAACTGTTGTATTCAGAAACGGCAGGGCCCAGGGCGGCGCGTCGACGCGCTTGTTCACTTTCTCGGCCGCGTCGAGATCCACGGCGACGACTGCTTTCCCGTACTTCAAACTCACGAAGGCGAGGCGCGTCGCAGCGTCGACGTCGACGGCGATGGGAAAGGGTGCGCCGTTCGAACCTACCAAGTGCGACGGGGTCGGATTTCTTCACATCTTCAGGCGAAATTCACGCGAAAAAACACTCCTGTCGCTCGACGCTGGTTCGAGCCCTGTTTGTTGCTGTCGACGGCGGACGCGTTGCCGAGCGCGGCGACAGTCTCGACGGAGCGCGCCTCGACGTCGAAGCGCTTCAGCTTCGAGTTGAACGTGTCGACGAAGTAGATGCTCTTGTTGCCGTCGAAGGCGAGGCCCTGGGGGCCGTGGAGCAGCGCGTCCGTCCCTGTCCCGTCGGCGTCGCCGGGCTGGCCGTCGGCGCTGCCCGCGACGATCTCGGTGCTGAAATTGTCGAATCTGATGAGGACGTTGCCGTCGTGGTGCGACGCGTAGTAGACGGCATCCTCCACGCGCGTCACGGCCTTGAGGCCCTCGGAGAAAGCACGAGCGAGAGGAAATACGCCCAGGAAGACGAAAGCAGCCCTCATTATGCATTGCTTCCGCTTCAAGGCAGCTTCAGTGACCTTCATATTGAACGGCGTTATGGGCGGCGCTTAATAAGAACCAAGATGGGCGCCGCGCCGTCGTGCCTTGCCGACGATGCCGAGGAGCCCGCCGTCTTCGCGCTGCTCGTGGCGCTCGCCGGGTCGACGAGCGGCGCGCGGCTCCTGCGCTGCGCGTCGCTCGAGCGCTGGGGCTGGGGCGACCGCGCCGCCTGCGGCGAGGTCGTGGCGCGGGCGCGGGCGCGGGAGCAGCGGCGGAAATGGTCGACGCTCCGCAAGGGCTGCGACGCCGTCGTGCCCGTGAAGGCGAGCCTCGAGGAGCTCTTCGCCGGCGCGTCGAAGCGGTTCACGATCGCGCGCGACCTCCTCGAGGCCGGGCGGCCCTGCGCCGCGTGCCGCGCGTGCGGCGTCGTCGCCGCGCCGGGCCACGTCGCCGGCGCGGCGCGGCGCTGGGCCGCCTGCGCCGCCTGCGGCGGCGCGGGCCACGCGCACCGGACGCACCGCGAGTTCCTCAAGCTCGACGTCGCGATCGCGCCCGGGCAGCCCGAGGGCGCGCTGCTGCGCTTCCCCTTCGCCGGCGACGAGGCGCCGGGCCGCGCGCCGGGCGACGTCGTCTTCAAGATCGTCGCGAAGCGCCACGACACCTTCGAGCGCCTCGGGGACGACCTGCTCGTCGTCTGCCGGAAGCTGTCGCCGAGTCCCGAGCCCTTCTCGCTGCGCCACGTCGACGGCGCGTACCGGACCCTCGTGCCGCCGGCGCCGCTGCCGTTTGCGGATCCTCTCGTGCTCTGCGCCGACGGCGAGGGCATGCCCCTCCGCGCGGGCGCGCGGGCGCCGCGCGGCCGCCTCTTCGTCCGCGTCCACGTCGCGAACCCGGCCGGCGGCAAAAAGGCCGCGGGCGACCTCCTGCGCCGCGCGGTGTCCGACGCCCTCGCGGGGGACCGCGTCGAGCTGCGCGTCGCGGACCCGGCGGACGTGGCGTCGCTGCTGGCGCCCAGGCCCGCGGCGAAGGCGCCGCCGTCGAGGACGAGCGCCGCCGCCCTCCCGTCGACGGCGAAGCGGCGGGCCGCGCCGCCGGCCGTAGTCCCATTGGTGGGCGTCGCCAAGGAGGACGACGTCCTCGCGAAGCTCGCGACATTCCCGTTTTAAAATGGACGGCCTAGTCGCCGCGGGCCGCGAGGAGGGCCCGGAGGGGCGCGTCCGCGAGGTCGTTCGCGAGGCGCGAGAGGTTCGCGAACTGGATGGGCGTGAGGAACTGGTTGCCGACGCCGAGGAAGGGGAACTGGCCGCAGGGCAGGCAGGCGCAGGCCGTGTGGCAGCTCTCCGCGCAGAGGCCGTTGATCTGGTCCAGCCGCAACTCCGGCGTGGGCTCGTCGAGGTCCAGCAGCTGCTTCGGGAGCACGGTGACGTCGCAGTCCTCGGCGGCGACCTCGCGCGGGTGGATCAGGGGCCGGCAGGGCCCCGCGCAGCCGTCCTGGGGCTTGCGCATCTTGACGACGAAGACGTCGACGGCCGCGCCGTCCGCGTACGTCGCGCTGAGGCGCGCGTAGTCCTTGTCCGCGATCTTCGGCGACAGCAGCTCCGCGACGGGCAGCCGCGGCTCCGGGCCCCGGTCCTCGAAGTCGTCGTTGACGAGCCCCGCGGCCGTCGCGACGCCGAGCGACTCCTTGAGGTAGTTGAGCGCCAAACCGGGATCCTCCGTCGTGTCCACCACGACGATCCAGCGGCAGCGGCGCCGGAAGAGCTCGACGATGCCGATGCACTCCACCAACCCCCCGTCCGTCAGCGTCAGGAACGGCGGCGGCCGCGTGCCGAAGGACGTCACCTGCATCAAAAGGTGCGCCTGCTGGATGATCGGCGACGCGAGCAAAAACCGCGCGGACTCGCCGTGCGTGAAGACGGAGAAGCAGATGGCCAGGAACATGATCAGGAAGCCGACGCCCGCGTAGATGGGCGACGCCGTCTCGTAGATGGACCGCTTGTCGTCGGACTTGCTGTAGGACGCGGCGCTGAGCATGAAGAGCACGTAGACGGACGCGAAGAGCACCATCTCCTTCGTCCGTAAGTTCAGCGTCGCCGCGAGCTCGTGGTCCGCGAGGGTCATGTCCGCCGTCGCCTTGCTCCCGGGCCGGTGCTTCTCCAGCACCTCGTCCGCGTCCGTGCCGCACGCCGCGTCCGTCGGGCACTCCGCGACGTTCGCGCAGAACGCGAGCCCCGGGGAGATCTTCTTCGCCGCGTCGTCGTCGTCGGACCGCACGGAGAAGCGGATCGTGTCGCCCATGGTCAGGTTCAGCACCTGGAGCGCCAGCCGCAGCGCCTTGGACTTGAACTGCGTGAGCACGAAGCCGTCGATCGCCGCGCCGGAGATCGCCATCGCGCGCGACAGCGACAGCCAGCGCGGCGGCCGCGCGTAGCCCGTGTGCTTGCCGCCCCAGGCCCGGGGCGTCAGCACGAAGGGCTGCCCCCGCTGGTGCGCCGTCTCCGGCCGGCGGAACTCGTTGACCGTCGCGCCTAAAATCAGATTCGGCGGCGGCACGCCGCCCGCGAGGTCGCAGGTCGTGGCGCAGAGCGGCGCGTCGGCGCCGAGCGCGAAGAAGGCGCGCCGCAGGCTCCGGGCGTAGAAGCGGTGGAGCGTGCGCGGCAGCTCGTGCTGCATCGGCAGGTGCCAGATCGCGGCACCGCAGCTCACGAAAAACACGACGGACCACCACGTCGCGTCGTACGGCAGGCCGTTTTCGACGAACTGCTGCTCCGTGACGGGCCCGAAGACGCGGTACTGGGCCACGTAAGAAATGGCAAAAATACCGAGCAGCGGGCCCACGACGCGCGCGACGACGCCGAGGAGCAGCGGCGACACGACCATCGCGAACAGCGCGGCCACCGCGAACAAGATGCCGAAGAAGACGAGGCACCCCACGGCGAAGGACCGCTTCGCGACGATGGGCGTCGACCGGTCGTCGCAGATGTCGAGGTAGGAGTCGTAGGTCCAGTCGTAGTCGCTCCAGTCGAAGAACTTGGCGCACGCGCACTTCACGTCGTTCGACTCCGTCGCGTAGCCAAAGTCGTAGACCTCCATGCCCATGGTCGCGATGATCAAAACACTATAGACCACGGCCGAGAGCGCCAGGCGGCTGCAGAGCGTGAGGCAGGCCCGCGTGCGGAGCCAGCCCAGGTGCTTCGGCGCGCGCTTGAGAGCGTAGGGCTGGGCCAGCTTCAGGAAGCACCAGAGACCCGTCGCCACGCAGGCGGTCACCAGGGAAAAGGTCGGGATCCAGGAGTAGTGGGACCCCTTGCTGCAGAGCTTCGCGCGCATCGAGTGGCCGTGGTTCAAATTGACCCAGACCGTCGCCGGGAGCGCCCAGAAGGCGACGAAGGTCAGCACGTTGGCCGCCGGCATGCCCAGCAACAAAGCCACGAAGGCCGGCACGTCGCAGCAGCGCGCGTAGGGCGAGCCGCGCTCCCTGCCCGGCGCCGCGTTGAACGAGTGCGCGCACGTGATCAAGTAGCCGATGTTGTCCTGCATGCGCGCGACGAGCTCCGCCGTGCGCAGGCGGAACCAGTCGTCGGCGGCCTTGCCGCCCTTGGGGCAGGGGGCCTCGCAGTACTGGAGGTGCGTGAGGTAGGCCGACGCCGTGTAGCCGCCGCCGCTCACGGCCGAGAGGTGGTCGACCTCCTTGAGGAGGCCGAGCTCGCCCATCTTCATGAGCACGCCGCAGTCGAAGGACGCCGCGCGGACGCCGCCGCCGCTGAAGCAGAGGCCCAGGCCGTGGGTCGAAGCCGGCTTCAGCCCGAGCGCGCCGCGGCGCTTCTCGACGCTCGCGTCCTCCTCGGCCAGAAGCGCCGCCTCACTGAGCGTGTCCTTGGGCGTCGGCGCGTCGACGCCGTCGTCCTCGCAACATCCAGCCTCGGCGTCGGGCTGCGCGTCCACGAGGGCGACGCCCGCGCCGTGCAAGGGCGACGGCTGCTCCATGTTTGCGGACGCGATTGGATGCGGACCCTTGCCTGCCACAACTCGCCAAACGTGCCGTGCCGGGCAAAAAAAATGGCGTTGCCGTGTAGCAATGTGCGCAGCTCGCCGCGAGTTTCGCCGGCTTTGCGGCAACACTCAACTGTTGTCGTTACGCGTGGTGCCTCGCGTAGTGGTCCTGGAGCTCGTCGGGCGAGTGGGCCTGGAACGCGCATTCGGGGCACAGGAAGCCCTCGCGGCTCCCCGGCGGCCTCGCGGCCCCGCCGCCCTTGCACGGCAGGAGCACCTGGTCCGCGAAGTCCGGATTTTTGTACGCGTCATCCAGGAACAGGACCTCGAACTTCGCCGACCGGTTCGCGGCCGCGTGGTCGTCGACGGGCTCGCCGACGAGGAGCCGCCCGTCCTTCGGGTGGACGCGGCAGAACGACCCGCCGCCCCAGTTCGCGCCCAGGCACACGAGCGGCGAGCCCTTGACGCCGCGCGGCGACAGGTCCAGGTCCCACTCGGCCCAGCCGCCGAAGCGCGACGACGCGCACTCGATGGCGCCGGAGAAGGTGATGGCCAAGTACTTGCCCGACACGGGCGACCGCAGGCCCAGAAGGTGCGCCCGCTTCTCGTAGAGCGCGAAGCGGCAGGTCGCCCGCAGCACGTCGACCTCCTCGCTCAGGCCGACGTCCTGCCCCCGCGCGCGCAGGTAGCGCTTCGTCGCGAGCTCGCGGAGCGCGACGTGGCCGAGGAGCTTCGGCGTGGATCCGGCGGACGCGTGCGTGAGCCGGCCCGCGGCGCGCGTGACCTGGCGCGTCGTCGACCAGAGCCGGTCCATCTTGTCCTGCAGCCGGGGCACGCGGTCGTCGTGGTCCGCGAGCTCGTCGCCCAGGGCCTCGCCGACGCCCCGGAGGTCCTCGAGGCCCTCGGACAGCGCGTTGACGTACGCGTCCTGCTCCGCGAGCGCCGCCTCGCCCTTGGACCGGGGCGCCGGCGCCGCGGCGCCGCGCGCGCCGGCGAACAGCGCGCTGCGCTCCGCCGCGTCCGCGCCGTGGCCCCGCCACGCGGCCGCGGCGGCGTCGCGCCGGTCGCCGGGCGCGGCGCCGGCCGGCGCCGGCGGCGGCGCCGCGGGCTTGGGCAGCGCCGTGAACTTGTTGCGCAGCCAGCCCGACCAGGTCATGTTCGCCACGACGCGCCGCGACTTGTCGATGACGTACTGGTTGCTGTCGGCCACGACCTCGGCGCGGTGCAGGGCCTCGCCCTGCTCGCCCAGGCGCGTCAGCGCCGAACGTCCGTGCTCGTAGGCCTCGTCGAGCGCCGCCGTGCCCGAGCGATCCTTGACGATGACGCCATGCGGCTGTTGTTGTTCCGCGGCGCGCGGCGGCGCGATGGACAGCACGACGCGGTCCTCCTCCGTCATGAGTCGAGAAACATGCTCCCCAGCTCGATCGATGCCTCTCGCGCCCTGCCCCGCGCGCATGAGTCGGAGAACATGCTCGAGTCCTCGATCGATGCTTCTCGCAAGCGAGCCTCAGCGGCGCTCACCGCGCCGCGCGCGCAGACGGCATGATCGGAGGGAGGGGGTCGTTTACTATTTTGTGCGTTTTGGTCGTGTGGAATGGGGGGAGGAGGAGGCTCGCGTGGCGAGGCCGCGGGCGCGGTCGACGGAGCGCGCGCGGCTCGCGCGGCGCTCGCGGAGCCGCGGCTCGCGGGCGGACCTCGGCGCGGCGAAGGGGAGAGACGCCGCGCGCGTCTGGCCGCCGGTCGGCGAGAAGGGCCGGTGGTGGTCCGGACGCGGCCGGTCGGGCCGAGCGTCGCGCGTTTGTTTTCGGTTCGTGGTTCGAGCTCCGGGCGCCGGTTCGCGGCGCCGCGGCCCGTGTCTCGGTGGTCGTCCGCCTCGCGGCGGGCGCGCGCCGACGACGACCCGGGGCGGTCGTCTTGGTTCGTCTCTCGGCGCGCGGCCCGGCGACTTCCGGGCGCGGCGCGACGGCCGCGGAGCCCGCGGGAACGGGCTCCCGGCGGCGCCGAGGCGGTGCGAGGGCCTCCGCGCGGGAGGCGCTCGGCGTTCTTCTTTGCGAAGCAGCCCGAGGACTTGGGGTGGCTGCGTCGCGACTTCAGTCCGCGCCCGGCGGCGCGACGTCCCAGAGGCGGATCGTGCCGTCCTCGGAGCCCGTCGCGAATCTTGTGCCGTCGGGGTGGTAGCGGAGGCAGCGCACGGGGCCGCAGTGGCCCTTGCGCTCGTGCGTGATCGCGCCGCTGTCGACGTCGACGGAGAAGACCGTGAGGTCCGAGCCGATGTCGCCGACCATGGTCGCGCCCTTCTCGACGCCTAAAGCGCCCTGGCGCGAGCCGCCGTGGCGGCCGCCCCCGAGCACGAGCTCGCGGCCGTCGGGGCGCAGGGACGCGCCGCCCTCCTCGCGGAAGTGGACGGGGCAGTCGATGGGCGCGCGCCTGACCCGGCCCCAGTCCGCGGCGTCGAAGAGGTGCACGCGGTCGCCCGCGGCGACGGTGAGCGTCGGCCCGAGCGTGCCGTCCGTGAGCTCGAGGTCCATGACGTTCTCCAGGACGCCCGCCTTGGACCGGCATTCTAAAGTGGCGACGGGCGCCGCGGACGCGTCGCGCGCGTCGAACGCGAGGACCCGGCCGTCCGCGGCGCCGCAGACGAGGAGCGGCGCCCCGCCGGGCGTCCAGCAGACCTTGTTGATGGCCGCGGGGCGGCCGCCGCCGTCGCCGGCCTTGGTGGAGAACGACGCGAGCGGCGCGGCCCCCAACCCGCGCTCGACGTCGTAGACGCGCGCCAGACCCTCGTGGCCGCCCGTCGCGAGGCACGCGCGGTCCCCGCGGAAGTCCACGCTCTTGACGATGTGCTTGTGCTCGAGCGTGGCGAGGCACGCGCCCGTGACCGCGTCCCAGACCTTCGCGCTGAAGTCGCCGCTGCCCGTCGCCGCGAGCCGCGCCTCGGAGCAGAGCTGCGCGGACCAGACCGCGCCCTTGTGGCCCGCGAAGGTCCCGATCCAGTCGCCCGACGACGCGTCGCGGAGCATGGGCGACCCGTCGAGGCAGCCGCTGATCAAAAAGTAGCCGTCGGGCGTATGCGGCGAGAAGGCGACCTCCGCCAGCGGGCGCGTGTGGCCGGGGCAGACGATGGGCGGCGGCGTGTTCCCCGCGCCGCCGCCCGCGGCGCTCAGCACCTCCCGCAGGGCGTCGGCGCCGGCGACGGCGGCCGCCATGGTCGCGACGGTCGGCCTGCGGCGAGCACCTCTCCTTGGCTCGCGAGGTCGACCTCGGCGTGCGCCGCCGGGGTCCCGACGCCGTCACAGAGGCCGTGCGCGCCCGACGTCGTCGCCGCGTTGGCGGACGTCCCGGACCCAGGAAATGACCCCCTCGGCCTACGTGGGTCGTTAAACTTCGCCTGATTTGATGTGCGCGAGAGCAGCTTTGGCTGGCTCGTGACCAGTGTCGGCCGCGCTTTTGAACCAGCGCATGGCTTCGTCGCGGTCGCGTTCGACGCCATGACCGTTGTACAAGCAGGCGCCGACGTCGTACTGCGCCGTCGTGTAGCCCTGATCAGCGCTTAGCTTGAAGTATTGGTAAGCTGCCTCAAAATTTGATGCTCCCCGATCATAAAGCGTATGCGCGACAATGGCCTGTGAAATCGCACATCCCCGATCCGCTGCCATCCGAGACAGCTGCTCCGCCTTCTTCCGATCCTGCTTAACACCGTTTGCTCCCTGCTCATATAAGGTAGCAAGAAGGCGCATCGCGTCTACATTCCCGAGTTCCACGCCACGCTTGAAAATCTTCGCGGCTTTCTTCTCATTCTTCACGAGGCCGTGCAAGCCATTCTCGTATGCGTGCCCCAACTGTGCGATCGCTTCTGGCACCTCGTTTTCAACGTGGCGACGAAGGGTTGCCAGGGCCTCCTTCGCCGTATGTAGGCACGGGGTCTGGCAGAGCGGGCACGGCTTGGAGCCGTGCTTGGGACCGAACTTGTTGTGGCACGAGGCACAGACCTTCCGGCAGCAGCAGAGAAAAAGCCCCCCTGGACTATTCACGTCCCATTCATCCAAACAGAGCGGGCATCGCGAGCCCCACCGTGCCGACATCGGCTCCCGCTCCGGGTTCGCCTCGCGCCGCAAACGCGCGGCCTCGTGTTCCGCCGCGATGCGTGCGCGGACCTCGTCGGCGTGCGACCGCGGCGCGGGGCCGTAGAAGACCTCCTTTGGGGGCGACGGCGGGGGCGTTGGCGCCTCCGCCCGCGCCGCCTCCGCCGCGCGCTCGCTCCGGATCTTCTTGCACGCCTTCCGGTGGCCGCGGTCGCGCCAGTCGATTCTTTGGCACTCAGTCGAGCAATACTGGGTGGTTCCACAGGGGCAATTAAGTTTCGCCGTCTCCCCGCAGATGGTGCAGGTTAGGCGGAGCTTCAGTGCTTTCGCCCGGGCCTTCTTGGCCTCGTACTCTCGCTGCTTGACCTGCCAGGTCATCTCAGGCTCCCCCGGCGTTTTGGGGGGGTCCATCGTGTGCCTCGCGCGTCTCCTGAGTTGTTCCGGGTCACCAGAGGTCCACTGTGTGCGTTTGTGTCGCGTGTCGCGCGGCGCGCCGCCCTCCCTGAGCGAGCAAAAGCCTGTGGCGAAAAAAAGACTCGATCGAGGAGACGAGCGGCCCCGCACGCCGCCCCGCCGCCACCATGCGTGAGATCCTAGACCAGGACAACGCGTACCTGTTCTGGAAAACCTTCGACTGTCTCCTGCGCGCCGCCGCGTCGAGACGCCCCCCCTCGCCTGGTGTTTCGACATCGTTTCTTTCAGATGGAAAACCCCAGGTATGTCGTCGTGCTCTTACTCCTCGCCGCGTCGTTCCGGCTCCTCATCAAGATGTCGCGCACGGAGCTGCTGCTCCCCCGGCCGAAGCGCGTCCCCCCGGCGCGAAGCGAATCGCGCGCGGCGCGGCTCGATCGAAGCGCCGACCGCAGGTACGTGCACCGCGACGCCAAGTTCACGAGCTACGACCTGGGCCAGAACTGGTCCTGGGACTGGTGCCTGTGCTTCCGCGTGCGGCCGGAGACGGAGGCCCTGGCCTACGACGCGCGGACGGCGCGGTTCACGCTCCGCTACGTCGTCGAGCGCCTGGAGCTCGCGGGTCTGGAGACGAAGCTCTTCCGGTCCGTGGACCGGGGCCTCATCTTCGTCAAGATCCGCGCGACGGCGCTCCGGCTCAAGGAGGAGGCGGCGCGCACGGAGTACGGGCTGAAGCTCGAGCCGCGCGAGGTGGTGAGGCGCGTCGAGCGCGGCTACCGCGACGCGCTCGGCCAGTACGTCTGGTACCCGCGGCGCGACGGCTGGACGCTGCCCGACGTGCCGGGCAGGGTCTTCAACACGGCCATCGTCGACAGCGAGGGCCAGTCGCCCTTCGCCTACGAGGCCTACGCGTTCGGCCGCTACGACCGCCGCGCGGACGTCCAGTCGGCGTACGCGACGTACCTGCCGTCGAACTCCATCTTCCGCGGCGTCGACCGGCTCAAGCTCATCAAGAGCATCATGGAGGCCGACGGCAAGAACCGCGGCGCCCAGATCAAGCTCGGCGAGCTGCTGGCGAAGGACGCGCTGCGGGCCGCGTACCCGCTCCACAACGCGGGCGAGGTCGCGGCGCTCACGGACCGCTGGCTCACCTACGCCACGCCGCCCTGGCGCATGCCCGTCGACGCCATCAAGGACTACTATGGCGAGAAGATCGGCACCTACTTCCACTTCCTCGGCCACTACACGACGTGGCTCGCCATCGCCGCGGGCCGCGCGGAACTCGACCGCCGGTTCGGGGGATCCCCCCCAAACTTCAGAACTCTCCATCTCGGTCACATCGACGTCGATTCGGCTGATTTTTGGACGCATCGAGTGCTCTCGTCGAGTTCTCGAAGCAGAGCAGAAAGCGTCGAACGGTCGCATACGCGCACATTGAAGTCGGGTTGGAGATTCGAGTTCCGCGCAGGCCGCGGGCGTCGGCATCGCGACGTACCTCGCGCTCCTCTTCGGGCGGGGCTCCGGAGGCGTGCTCCTGCCGCTCTACGCGCTCTTCGTGAACCTCTGGGTCACGGGCTTCCTCGAGTCGTGGAAGTCCGCGGAGGCGACGATGGCCATGCGGTGGGGCATGTCCGACTTCAAGACGTACGAGCAGAACCGGCCGCAGTTCGTCGGCCGCGAGATCCACTCGCCGGTGACGGGCATGCCCGAGGTCTACTTCCCGCGGCGCGAGCAGCTCGTCCTGCGCGCCAAGTCCTACCTCGTCGTCGCCGCGGCGCTCGTGGCGCTCGTCGGCGCCTTTGCGTGCGTCTTCGCGTTCCAGGGGTACATGACCGCGCGGCCCTGGTCCTTCCAGATGGACGCGGACCAGGAGCTCTACGAGGCGACGGGCCGCCAGCCCGGCGCCGTCATGTCGGAGGTCGTGCTCGCCGTCGTCGTCATCGCCGCGTGCGACGGCTTCATCCCCGTCGCGGAGCGGCTGACGGAGTACGAGAACCACCGGACGGACTCCCTCTTCGAGAACCACCTCATCGGCAAGGTCTTCGTCTTCCACTTCATCGCGTCCTACGCGCCCTTCTTCTACCTCGCGCTCGGCCGCGACTTCATGCCCGGCGCGACGCGCGACCGCAAGTGGGGCTGCTCGCCGGGCTCCGACGGCTGCTTCCGCGACGTGTCGAGCCAGCTCGCGTGCATCTACCTCGTGCGCGTCGTCGCCCACGCCTGGGCCGAGGTCTGGGCGCCCTGGTTCCGCAAGAAGCTGTCGTTGGAGGGGTTGGCGCGCGAGACCGGTGGCCGCGACGCGGACGAGTACGTCGACCCCACGGGCCCGCGGCCGCGGAAGCGGCAGCTGTCGCCGGTCGAGGAGCAGTTCCGCAAGGCGGAGTACCACCACCTCCTGGGCTCCTTCGGCGACTACGCGGAGCTCGTGATCCAGTTCGGCTACACGACGCTCTTCGTGACGGCGTTTCCCGTCTGCGTGGAACTCAAACAGTGCGCTGGGTGATCCCAACCAAACTTCAGAACTCTCTAGCTCGGCTGATTTTTGAACGAATCGATTGCTCTCGTCGAGTTCTCGAAGCACGACAGAAGATCTCGCGTCGAACCGTTCGATTACGCGCACATTGAAGTCGGGTTGAAGATTTGATTTCCACACAGGTTCCCGTTAGCGCCCTTGTTCGCGTTCGTGAACAACTTCATCGAGATCCGCACGGACGGCTTCACGCTGCTGCACCACACGCGGCGGCCCTGGCCGACGGGCGCGTCGGACATCGGCATCTGGATGAGCTTCCTCGAGTTCATGTCGAACGCGTCCGCGGTGGCGAACCGCGCGCGAATCGAAGACCGGTTCGGGAGCCGAACTTCACAATTCTCTCGCTCGACCAAAGTCGATGCGGCGGATGCTTGGGCGAATCGAGTGCTCTCATCAAATTCTCGAAATACGGTCGACGTGGTCGCGTCGATGACGCGCACATCGAAGTCGGGTCGAAGATGCGAGTCGCGCGCAGGTGACGAACGCGGTGCTCGTCGCGTACACGCACGACTCGTTCGAAAACCTGACGACCGTGACCCGGCTGCTCCTCTTCGCCTGCTACGAGTACGCTTTAATCGGCCTCAAGCTCACGTACCAGATCACCGTCGACGACGTGCCCGACCACGTCGTCCTCCAGGTCGCGCGGTCCGACTTCCTGTCGCGGAAGATCGTCTCCAACGAGCGCGACGAGCAGAAGGGCGCCGTCGACGTCGACGCCGTCGTCGAGACGACCGTCGTCCACCAGTCCGACCCGGAGATGGCCGGCGACGGCGCGAACCTCGCGTAGGCTTTACTTGCGAAAGCGCGGGAGCGCGTCACGCGCGAGCATGCGGAGGAGGTCCGCGCGGAGCCGCGCGAAGAGCGCCGCGGGGAGCGCCCCCCCGCCGTCGATGGCCCCGAGCGCCGCTCGGCGCGGCCGCGCGCCCACGTTGACGGGCGTCGGCGCGTCGTCGCGGAGGAAGTCCCGCGCGACGGCGGCCGCCGCGTCGCGGACCGCGGCGTCGTCGATGGCCGCCGCGTCGAAGAGCGCCGCGTAGGCCGACACGGCGTCGAAGAACGCGGCGCTCTCGCCGCAGAAGGACGTCTCGAGGTGCGCGCGGAAGGCGGGGTCCTCGCCCTCCAGAAGCTTTCGGACCTCCGTCGCGCCCGCGTCCGTCCGGAGCAGCTCCGCCTCGAGGTCGCGCCGTCTTTCCTCCACGAGGAACGGCCCCAAGTTCGTCCGCGAGAGCTCGTCGGCCGTGTGGTGGAGCAGCGCGTCAAAGAGGTCCGCGGGGAGCGGCGCCTCGCCGTCGAGCGCCGCGAGGCACGCCGCGACGTCCCTCGGCGGCAGCGACACGAGGTCCGGCGCGGCCTCGCCAACATAAAGAACGCGGATCTCCTCGGCGACGCGCCGCGCGTCCGCCGCCGGCGCGCCGCCCTCGACGAGGGCCTTGTAGTCGCGGCAGCGCAGCACGAAGGACAGGTTCTCGCGCGCGAAGGCCTTCTCGAGGTGCGACCCGAAGCGCTCGACGTCGAGGCCGCCGACCTCGACGAGCGAGAGCAGCCTCGACTTCTTCCGCCCGCGAAACGCGGCCGGCGCCGCGGTCTCCGGCGCGGGCGCGGTCTCCGGCGGCGTTTCCGACGCGGTCTCCGGGGCGGGCGCCGCCTTTGCCGCGGCGGTCTCCGGCGCGGGCGCGGTCTCCGGCGGCGTTTCCGACGCGGTCTCCGGGACCGGCGCCGCCTCCGCCGCCGCGGGCGCGGTCTCCGGCGGCGTTTCCGACGCGGTCTCCGGGACCGGCGCCGGCGCCGCCGCGATCTCCTCCGCCGCGCTCGCGGGAGCCGCGGTCGTTCCGGAGACGGCGCGCTCGAGGGCGCCGGCGACGAGCTCGTCGACGACGGCCGCGACGGGCAGCGGAGACGCGAACGTCGGCGCGGACTTGGACGTCGCCAGGATCGACGTCGGCGACGGCGCGTCCTTGGGCGCGATGTAGGCCGTCGGCAGCGCCGGCGCGCGCGCCGGGTCGCGCGCCGGGTCGCGCTCGGGCAGCTGGGCCTGCCACTTGTTCCAGCGCTCGGCCTTGGCCAGGACGCGCTGGGCGGCTTTCCGGTTCACGGTGCCCGTCTTCGCGTCGGCGCTGTACATGAACCGCGTCTCCATGGCCTCGTCCCACTCGCCGCCGAGTTTTGACATTGCGGACATGGCCTCGGTCTTCGACAGTGCGTCAGAGCTAGCGCCGGCGCCCATCGTGCTCAAACCGTATTATTCTTCAAGTTTGACTTGGCTGAAACTGTCGCGGCCCAAGAGCAAGAGCCTACCCTAGTGCTCCTGCTTAAACGCCGGATTTCGACACGTGTGTTGCACGCTGCCCTGCATCCTCGCGCCGTCGAGCTTGAACTTCGCCGGGTCGAGCGGGACCACCCTCCTCTCGAGCGGCGTGCCCGGCCAGCGCCGCGCGACGTCGGCGTAGAGGTCGGCGTCCTGCGTCAGCACGCCCAGCTGCCACTCGCCGAGGACGTACTTGAAGCCGTCGAGGGAGAGGAAGAGGCTCTTGCCGGGATTCGCGTCGACGTCGTGGAACAGCACGACCCCGGTCCTCCGCACGAGGCTCGACCACTCGTCGTAGTCGTAGCGCACCTGCGCGGGAGCACTCGGACATCGCACCCCATGAATCGCGGACGCCGCGCACGACGTCGGGCAGCCGGTGCGTGCCGTCGACGTGGAGGACGTCGACCGGCGCGTCGAAGGTCTCGCGCGCGACGTGGAAGAGCCGCGGGACCACCTCGACGGTGGCGTTGAGCCCGAGCCGCGCGGCCGCCCGGAGCACCGTCGCGTCCTGCGTGCACTGCTCCTTCAAGAAGATGTCGACGGCGAACACGGTGTGGCCGAGGTCGCGCGGCAGCGCGAACGCGAACGAGCTGTAGCCCCAGTCGACGCCGAGGTCGACGACGGTCTTCGCTTTCACGCGGGAGACGATCCACGCGCCGAACTCGCAGTTGCTCTTCCAGCTCGTGCGCAGCGGCGGGACCTTGAATGCCTGGTTGATCTGCACGCAGCCCACCGGCCCGGCGAAGCGCGTACCGTCCCTCGGCAAGATGGTCCCGCGCGTCATCGTGCTGTTCATGCGTTTCCGCGCCACGGGTCCGCGCGCCATGCGCGCGGCGACCGCGTGCAGGCACGCGCAGGCTACAGCTATCCTGGTACGAGGCATCGCATCAAAGCAGCGCCTTCATATCGCCTTCATCCATCGATGATGCACAAGACGATGCAGCCCATCATCTCAGCGGCCCATCTCAGCCCTTCCATCCGCTCCTCCTCCTCCTTCGGCGCGATGCTGGCCCTCGTCGCGGCCTGCTGGGTCGCGGCCGTGCAAGCCCAGCAGAGCGGGTCCTGCAACTCGGCCCCGAGCGACGCCTGCTCGACGACGGGCCAGTCGTCGACCTACGCCGAGACCATCAACGGGGACACGCGGGAGATCCGCGCCATGGGCTGCCCCAACTCCAACCCCCTGACGAACTGCCTCGGCGACAACCCGAGCATGGCCGCGGAGCAGGACTGGGAGTTCGACATCCCCGCGACGCCCCGGTTCAAGGCGTCGACCTACTCCGCGTCGCTCTCGTCCGCGACCTCGCTCGGCGCCGTCGGCGGCCTCATCGGCATGACGCTCAACGGCGTCGAGGTGCGGTCCTGCTACGGCGGCACGGCCTACGGCGAGTGCAGCGACTGGTCGTCGTCCGCCGTGCTCTTCGAGTCCGACACGTTCGAGTATTGCGGCGGACACGGGAACCCGCACCACTACCACAACGCGCCGGTGTGCCTATTGGAGCAGATGGGCCTGGAATCCGACGGGTCGTCGCCCCAGGTCGGCTGGGCCGCCGACGGCTTCCCCCTCATGGGCCCCCGGGGCCCCGGCGGCGTCTTCGTCAAGCGCTGCGGCGAGTCGGGCGCGGACGCGACGTACTGCGTCGACGAGTGCGGCGGCTACTACGGCGCCTGGAACGGCAACGACGACTTCCTCTATCGCTACTTCCTCATGGGCGACGACGCCGTCGTCATGGACAACCCGCTGTCGCCGACGCCGACGTCGGACTTCTTCCCCCACGCGCCGCTCTGCCTCGTGGGCTGCGGCGACGTCTACGCGGACGGCAACGACCGCAACCCGGGCATCGGGCGGGAGATCGACTCCTGCGGGAACTCCGCCTCCGACGGCACGGCCGCGGGCTACTCGCCCGTGGCCCTCGGCGGCGTCACGACGGCCTTCGCGACGTACGCGACGTCGTCGGACGACGCCTCGTCGTCGTCCTCGAACGACGACGGCCCGTCGTCGTCGTCGTCGTCCAACGACGACTTCGTCGGCCCCGTCGTCGACGACTACGCGGACGAGGAGGCGGACGGCGCGCCCCGCGCGGCGCCGCTCGCGTCCGCGCTCGCCGCCGCGGTGCTCTTCGCGTTCTATTAGCGCCCGCCTCTAACGTTACTTCGTGCCCGTCTTCAGCTCCGCGGTCCTGCGCTCGTAGAGCTCCGTCCTCGCATTCCCCTTCGCCTCGTCGTAGTAGCCCGTCTTCTGGAGCCGGTCGAGCGTCGCCTGCTTGTAGCCCACGGAGAGCGCGTCGACGCGCCTCGCGGTCTTCGTCTTCGCGTCCCACTCGCAGAGCGTGTCGAGGCTCGAGAACGCGCCGTGCGCGGGGCTCGCGGGGTCCACGGCCCAGCCGACGTCGCACCTATAGGAGCGCGTTTCTTCTCCACCGGGCTCCCAGAGACGCGGATCGCACCAGGTCCAGTTGAAGCTCGCGAGCCACAGCTGGAAGGCGGCGCCGAAGACGACGAACCAGTAGGGCCCGGACACCGCCGGCGGCGCGAGGAAGGGGTTGACGGCCTTGAGCTGGCGCGGCTCCGCGAACGCCGCGAGCACGTCGGCGCCGAAGTCGGACGCCGGCGGCGGCGCGCCGGCGGCCCGCTCCGGCGCGGGCGCCGCGGCGAGGCCCGCGCGCAGCTCCGCCTCCCCCGTCTCCTGCCCCGGCCCCGTCGTCGCGTCGGCGCAGAAGGACGACGGCGCGTCGAGCGCGAGGCTCGCGAGGCCCGCGAGGGGGACCCGCGACCCGCCGAAGCCCGGCTGCGACCGCTGCGCCGACGGCGCGCGCACCGCGACGGCCCGCTCGTCGTCGACGACGCGCGCCGTCTGCGCCCGCAGCGTGTCGACGTCCAGGGCGTAGTAGGGCCCGCCGAGCATGGCGCCCGTGCGCAGCACCTTGACGCTCGCGCCGCCGGACGCGGACACGACGGCCGCCTCGTAGCGCGCCCACGCCGCGGCGTCGCCGCCGAGCGCCTCGAGCGCCGCCGCCGCGCCGCCGGCCGCGGCGCCGAGGCGCGAGTAGGCCACGACCGTGCTCGCGCCGCGCGCCACGGCGTCGGCGACGAGCTGCGCCGCGGCCTTTGCGTCCGGCGGCTCGTCCGTCGCGACGACGAGCGCGTCGATCGCCGACGCGCAGTCGTAGCGGCTGCAGTCCGCGCCGAGCTGGCGGCCGTCGTCGTCCGCGGCCTGCAGGTAGCTCTCCGAGCCCACGAGCGCCTTGACGCGCAGGTCCGCCTTGCCGAGCTCCCGCGCGACGCTGCGGCCCGTGAGGCTCAGCACGCCGGCGACGAGCACGACGCGGTCCTCGACGGTCGCCTTGAGCGGCGCGCTGCGGCGCAGCGATGCAACGCGTTTCGGCGCTTGCAGCGCGCCGGCGAGGCCGAGCAGCGAGAGCAATGCAATCGACGCCATGCGCATGCGTCGATGCAGATCTTTGGCGCACATGCCTCGATCTCTGATTCCACGCGCCGCACCATCACTTCACCATCTCATCAACATGCTCCCTGACGGACGCAGTCGGGCGCGCATCCAAGTGCGCATCCCCTTCAATAACTTGGTCAACATGCGCTGGTGACGCGCCCGCGACCGACTTTCAAGTCGGCTCTCGCCGAGCCCTAGAGCCGAGCCCGACGCACACCACACCGACCCAGGGATAGCGGTGCTTACCGGCCTCGTCGGTACGTGGAGGGCGGCGCGGGGGGGCGTTTTCCGGCGGCGCGTCACATCTTCTTCTGCGCGAGCTGGATGAGGAACTTGAGGCCCTTGAGCCAGTCCTTGTGCTCGCCCCAGTGCGAATTGACGAGGGCGACCTGGACGTTGGACGCCGTCGCGTAGTCGCGCGCGAGCATGGAGCCGACGAGCGTGTGGACGGAGCCGACGACGTCGCCGTCGAGCGCGCCGTAGGTCATCTTCTCCTTGAGCTTCGACACAGATTTGTCGACCTCGGCGAGCTGCCGCTTCTCGGAGCCGTTGAGGGGCAGGCTCCCGAGGTGGGCGACGACGGCCGTGAGGTTCTCGGCGATGGCCACGGCCTCGGGCGACTGGGCCACGGGCTGCGGCTTGGGCGCGGGCGCGGGCGCGGGCGGCGGCGCGGGCGCGGCCGCCGGCTGCGGCGCGGGCTGCCGCTGCGCGAACTGCGCCGGCTGCTGCGGCTGCGCGAACTGCGCCGGCTGCGGCACCGCCGCGGGCTGGGGCGCGCGCGGCGCCGGCACGTTGGGCATGGGCACGGGCGCGGGCTGGGGCTGGGGCGCGCGCGCCGCGGGCGCGGCCGCGACGGGCGCCGCGGCGACGGGCTGCGTCCGCGCGGGCATGGGCACGGGCACCGGCGCGGGCGCGGGCGCGGGCTTCGGCTTGGGCGCCGGCGCCGGCGCCGCCGGCGGGTCCCACTGCGTCGCGCCCGTCGCCGTGTTCGCGTAGTAGGTCCGGCCCGAGGACGGATCCTGGATCGCCGTCCAGGGGTGCGGTAAAGCCGCGCCGTTCGCCGCCGGCGCCGCCGCCGCGGGCTGCGCGAAGGGCTGCTGGGCGGGCTGCTGCGCCGCGAAGCCCTGCTGGGGCTGCGCCGCGAAGCCCGGCTGCTGCTGCGCCGCGAAGGCCGACTGGGGCTGCGGTGGCGCGACGCCCGTGATCACCGAGCTCGGCTGGACCGCCGCGACGGCGAACGCGGGCGGGTGGCCGTCGTAGGCCGGCCCCGCGGACCGGTGGAGCCGGTCCAGCAGCAGGCTCGAGTCGTCGTCGCGGGACGCGCAGTACTTGGCCGCGACGAGCGCCTCGCCCTGGGAGGCGAGCAGCGCCGCGTAGTTCGTGAACAGCCCGACGACCTCGGGCCCGAGCGCCCCGAGCTGGGCCGCCGGGTCGCAGGCGCCGCTCTCGTCGCGCGCGAAGATCGTCACCTTCTCCACCAAATCCTGGAGCGCGAGCGTGTCGACCTTTCCGAGCGACCGGCTCGCCGCGTTGAAGTCGTCGATCCAGAACTTGACGGTCTTGGGCACGTTCACCGCGCACATGTAGCAGAGCGCCGCGGCCTTGTCGTCGCGCGCCTCGTGCTCGAGGCGGCCGCCCAAAGCCTCGCACAGCGCCGGGAACTCGTCGCTCTTGCCGTAGGTCGACAGGATCGCGAGCGTCTCCTCCCACTTGCGCAGGTCGGACGCCGCGACGAGCGCGCCGAGCTCGTTCGTGATGATGGCCCGCACGACGCCGAGGAAGGGCTTCGCCTTCGACGAGATGTCGAAGTAGCGCGCGCGCGTGCGCTCCCAGAGCTCCGCGCCGCCGCAGGACGCGAGCAGGAGCGCGTCCGCGAGCGCGCCCGTCGCGAAGCACGACTCGACGGCCGCGTCGAAGTTGCCCACGAGCAGCGCCTGCTTCACGTCCGCCTCGGCGGCGGCGTCGAGGGGCGCGCCGGGGTCCACGACCGTCGCCGCGTCGTCGGGCTCGTCCGCCGGCGGCGGCGCCGCGGACGCCGCCGCGAAGACGTCCTCGGCCGACGTCTCGTCCTTCGGCGGCGACGGCGGCGGCGCGGCGGGCGCGTCGGGCTGCGGCGGCGGCGGCAGCGTCGCGGCGACGGCGGCGGCGTCGTAGCCGAGGCACTCCAGCAGCTTCTCGCGCGCGTTCGGCTCGAAGATGAGCTGCATGAACGTCCAAACGCGCTTGTCGCCGTCGGACGCCGCGGCCCTGACCTTGTTCTCGCAGAAGTCCTTGAAGTCCGACGCGCCCAGCGCCGCCTCGAAGGTCCGCGACGCCGCCACCAGGCCGTCGTCCTCGACGAGCGTCGCGATCGTCGCCGTCGTCGGCGCCTGGGCAGGACAAGAGTGCGAAATTCCCAACTTCAAAGGCTCCTCTCTCGGCCGGTTTCCACTCGTTTCGGCTGACTTTTGGACGAGCGATCATCTCTCGGAACGGTCTCGAAGCGTGGATGCTTTTTCCAGAACGCGCGCGCGCGGAACACTCACGTTGAAGCGACGTTGAATCACCCTTGTCCTGCCCTGGTCGGCGCCTTCTTCGCGCCGAACATGGCCAGTTTCCCCCCGAAGCCGAACGCCGCGCCGCAGGACCGCTTGAGCCACTTGGGCGCCTTGCCGGACGTCGTCGCCGCGCCGCCCATGGCGTGGACCTGCACGGTCCGGTCGAAGGAGCACGTGCCGAGCACCGCGGGCCGCGTCGGGCACCAGCTACAATGGTAGCGGCGGCCCGCGGCCGCGCCGCCGAAGCCGCCGCCGCCCGGCGGGCCGCCGCCGAAGGCCGACGTCGCGTCGCCAAAGGCCGGCGCCGCGGCGCCGAAGCCGGCGGGCTGGGCGGCGGCCTGCGGGTCCGCGCCGCCCTCGAGCTCGTGGACGCATTGGGTGGTAAAGACGTCCCACAACAACGTCCGGTTGTCGCGGCCGCAGGACGCGAGGAGCGCCGTGTCGTCCGGGCACCACGACAGACTGAGGATGCCCTGCGTGTGGCCCTTGAGCGTGCCCAGGGGCATCGTCGTCGACGACCGCAGGTCCCAGAGCTTGATGACCGGGTTCGCGTCGTCTCCCGACGCCGTCGCCAGATGTAGACCCTCCGCCGGGTTCCAGGCCACGGCGGACACGGGGCTCCGGAAGGACGCGTCGCGCAGCTCGCACCAGGGCTTCTTCTGGCGCAGGTCCCAGACGATGGTCGACCCGTTCTGCGACGCCGTCGCGAGGATGTGCGACACCTGGCTGTTCCACGCGACCCTGGTGACCTCGGCCGCGTGCTTCGCCGCGTTCGGCGGCGGCGCGGGCACGAAGACCGACGGCGCCTCGGGCCGCTCCAGCGACGCGACGAAGACCTCGCAGTCCGCGCCGCCGGACGCGACCAAATGCGCGGACGTCGGGTGCGGGTTGAACTCGAGGCCGTTCACCGCGCCCGTGTGGCGCTGCACGCGGCTCACGTGGGCCTGCGGGTGGCCCGCGAGGAGCTTCGCCGGGTCCCAGACGTCGACGGCGCCGTCGGACATGCCGCCGGCGACGAGGCCGAGCTGGAGGCCGTCCGCGCCGCCCGCGCCGCCCTTCATGCCGCTCCACGCGAGGCTCACGAAGCGGCTGCTCGTCTTCGCGACGCCCGCGGGCTTCGACGACAGCGACCCGTCGCAGAGGTCCAGGGCGTGCAGCTGGAGCGACGCGCCGTAGTCGTCGAAGCCCGCGCCGCTCGCCTCCGTGGTGCCCAGCGCGACGTAGCACGCGTCGAGGCCCGTGCGCGGGCACCACGCGAGCGTCGCGCCGACGTCGTCGATGGATTTGATGAGCGACATGGTCTGCGCTCTTCGCGACGCGCGATGCGCGGCCGACGTGCGGGTCGCTGGCGCGCACGGCGGCGCGTCGCGTCGGCTGCGGCGGCGACGCGAGCGCGGCGGCAGATCTGCGCCGGGGTTGATTTTTGTGGCGCCGGGCCGACGCCTCTCGCAGAGCGCCGCCATGTGTCTCAGTCGCAGCAATCAGCAACTCCCGGTCGCCACACCCACGTCGCGCCTGGAAGGGACTGGCGTATCCGAGTCCCACAGAGGGCGATGTGCGCGAATCGGCTGCCATTCGCCCAAAACGGAGCCGAGCGCCTGCGTTCGTTACGTCTAGTTCCCGGACGTCTCTAGCCGCAAGTCGACCTAGAGCGCCGGTCGTCGCGCGCGCGTATTTGGCGGCGACGGCATTTTTGAAGGGCATCCTTGAAGTCATCTCGCCTTCATCTTGAAGGGCAAAAGGCAAAGCTCTGCGGCAAAAAGCTGCCAGTTTGCGTCGGCGCCGCGTTCACGCGCTCGCACGCCCCACCCATATGGCGCGCCAGTGGCCCGACAAGCGCTCCGGCCGGCCGCCGCAGCCCTGGCGGACGAAGCGCGACGAGCAGCAGTTCCGCAGTGCCCTCGCCCAGGAGCGGTGGCGCTCGGAGAACCCGGCGACGCTCAACGACGCCTGGGCGACGCTGGCGGCGACGAGCCGCAAGCTGCTGGCGGCGGCGTCGCGGGACCGGTCGCTGAGCGCCGAGCCCGCGCCGGCGGAGCGGCCCCGCGCGCCCTTCGGGTCCAGCGCCGCGCGCTTCGCGTCGCTCGTGCCCGACTGGTCGGCGGCGTCGAGCCGCTGCTCGTCGCGGAGCTCGTCGCTCGCGCCGTCGGAGCCGCTCTCCGAGGCGAACAGCCTGCCGGCGCCCGCGTCGCCGCGGAAGCGGCGGTCGCCGTCGCCCGCGCGGCAGCGGCGGGCCGCGGCGCTCCTGTCGTCCGGCGGCACCGCGGCGCGCCTGCCGCCCGAGCTGCCCGCGCCGCCGCCGCCGCCGCCGACGACGCCCGACGAGCCGCCGTCGCCCGTGAAAGCCATGCCGCCGCCGCCGCCGCCGCGCGCGCCGGCGACGACGCCGGCGACGACGCCGAGCCCGCAGCTCGTCCGCGCGGACCGCGGCGTCCTGAGCGTGTCGCTGCCGGCCGGCGCGACGTCCTACGGCGCGTCGAGCCCGGAGAAGCTCGCGGCGGCGGCCTACCCGCCCAAGGGCGGGCCCGACGACGCGTCGAGCGACCTCACGACGGAGACGCCGCTCCCGCGGCGCCGCGAGCCGGCGCCGTCCGCCGCCGTCGTCGTCCGCGGCGGCAGGCCCGGCGAGACCGTCGAGGTGAGCGTCAAGCTCCGCGTGCGCGACACGCCCAAGAAGCCGTCGCCGGAGTCCAAGAGGCCGTCGCCGGAGCAGTGGCGGCCCGCGGGCGTCGGGGGCACGTGCCGCGCGGGCGCGTCTTCCCGCGCGGGCCGCGCGGCGTGGGTCCGCGAGGAGCCCGCGCGGCCCGCGCGCCGGGCCGCGTCGGCCCTCGCGCCGCGGACGCCGCGCACGGGGGCCAAGGCGCCGGCGCCCGAGGACGCGAAGCGCGCGACCGCGCGCCGCGACGCGGCCGGGCTCGACGCGGCGGCCGGCCTCTTCGGCGACTGGTTCTGGCGCGCGCGCGCCGCCGGGGGCGCGGCGCCCACGGTCTTCGACGACGAGCCGGCGCGGCGGGGCTGGCGCGTTTTAGGCGAGGGCGCGGCCGACGACGGCGCGTGGCGCGCGGCGTGGCGGTGCGTCCGCGCCGCGCCCGCCACCGCGCGCGACCGGCGCCTCAAGCGCCGCGGCGACTGCGTCGACGTCGCCCTGCTCGCCGGCGCGTCGACGGCGCCGCGCGACGACGACGACGACGGCGGCCACTGGGCCCACGCGGCGGCCGACGCCGCGCGCGCGGCGGCCGACGCGGCCGAGCGCGTCAAGACGGACGAGCCGCGCGCGCTCGTCGCGGTGCGCGCCGCGGGCGCCGTAGAGCCGGGCGACGACGACGACGGCGTGCCCGCGGACGTCGGGCTCCACGTGCTCTTCCGGGGCCTCGACGACGGCGGCTACGTCGCGTGGCGCGTGACGGTCAGGGCAGCAAAAGAGAGCGAAATTCCCAACTTCAAAGGCTCCTTTCTCGGCCGTTTTCCACTCGTTTTGGCTGATTTTTGGACGAGCGATCATCTTTTGGAACGGCTTCGAAGCGTGGGCGCTTTTCCCGGAACGCGCGCGCGCGGAACACTCAAGTTGAAGTGACGTTGAATCACTCTTTTGCTGCCCAGGTGACGGTGCGCGCGCTCTCGCTCGTGGGCCTCGACCTCGGCCGCGGCGACGCGGCGGAGCAGGAGCTCGGCGCGGCCCTGCGCGAGCTCGCGAACCTGCGGAGCCTCGACCTCGCGCGCAACGGCCTCCGCCACGCGCCGCGGCGCCTGCCGCGCGCGCTCCGGACGCTCGGCCTCGCGGAGAACCGGCTCCGGTCCGCGTCCTACCTCGAGCACCTCGCGGAGCTCGAGGTGCTGGACGTCGCCGACAACGAGATCGCCTCGACGCGCGCCTTCCACCACCTCGTCCTCGCGCGGTCGTCGCTGCGCCAGATCGTCATCCGCGACCTCACGCGCCTCGAGCCCGCGTGGCGCCAGAAGCTCCGCGACCTCTTTCCCAACGCGGTGATTTCTTAAGCTTGCGTTTTGATCTAGTCATCCCGGCTCGTGCGCCAGTAGGAGAGCACGTGCCAGAAAACCTCCTTCGGGAGCGGGCGCGCGACGCGCGCGGCTTTGCTTTTCGTCGGTAAAGACGGGCAATCAAAGAGGCGGTCGAGCTCCGGCGGAGGCGATGCGCGGCCGCGCGCGCAAAGCGAGCGGAGTCGCACGAGCTCGATTCGCGGCGCGCGCGCGTAGGGCTTCCAGCCGCCCGCGGCCTTGACGTCGCGAAGGAAGGCTGCGACTTCGAGATTGCCCCTCCACCTATTGATTTCCTCCGCGTCTACACCATCAGCTCCTTTCGCAGACAAGTCGGCGCCCCGGCGCACGAGGACTTTGGCTAGAGCGAGTGGGTCGCTACGAAAGCCGACGTAATGAAGCAGTTGGTTCCCGTGTCCGTCACGAGCGTTGACGTTTGCGCCGCCATCGATCAGTACGTTCGTCTCGAGCGGGAACTCGCACTGAATTATGGGCAGGGAAGGTTGAGAGTTGCCGTCGTCTACCTCAAGGTTCGGATCGGCGCCGTAAGAAAGCAAAAGGCGTATCGCGTCCGACCGGTCACCTCGGTGCTGACCCTGTGAGCATAGTGTGCAAACCAAGAGGCTACCATGAAGGTGAACCTCTTGGCTAAAATGTTCGTCAGAAAATTCGGGTTGCCATGCCATATGAAAGCGAAACAACTCATTCGGATCGCCACCTTGGTCGAGCCAGCTCCGTAGTACGTCGATATTCCCGCCCAGAGCAGCTTTGATCACATCATCGGGTACTACCATCGCTCAGCCCCGAGGCCGGACTCGCCTCGCGCGGTGTGGGTCTGTTCACGCCCCGCGTCTAAAGCGCCTCTGGCCTCGGTTCTCCACAAAAGACTCGCTCAAAAGTTTACTCAAACCTGCCACAACACCCGCCGCCGCCCAGCGCCCACTCATCCAAACCCTACACAAGTCCGGAGCGAAAGAACCCTTCAAAACACCCCCACCACCACCATCATGCGCCGCGCCACGATCGCCATCCTCGCGATCGCCGCCCTCGTGCTCCTGCCGCTCCTCCACAAGCTCGTCGTCGTCGCGAACCTCGGGGGCTCGGTCGCGCGGGCGAACCTCGAGTCGCGCGTCGCGGCGACGGAGGCCTTCGTGAGCCGCCTCGCGGGCGAGGTCGAGGCGTCGGTACGCGACGACCGGGGATCGACGCGCGCGGGGGATCAGCAGATCTCGCGCGACGTCGCCGATCTCAAGGCCGCGGTCGCGGACGCGCGGCGCGAGGCGGCCGCGGCGCGCCGGGTCGCCGAGGCCGCCGAGGCCGCCGCGCGCGACGCCGCGACGCTCCGCGGGAGCGCGGCCCGCGCCGCCGCCGCAACTACGGCCTCGTCACCTCGTCACCTCGTCATGTCCTGCGCCGCGGGCAACTACGGCCTCGGCTCGTTCAGGAACTTCGTCCTGCCCCTGCGGAAGCTCGGCGCCTACGCGGGCGACGTCGCGCTCTTCGTGCTCAACGTCGACGCGAAGTCGCGCGCGTGGCTCGCGGGCGAGAAGGTCGACCTCGTCTACGTGGAGCTCGCCAAGTGCGTCAAGCTCCAGGGCAACTGCGCGACGGACGAGAAATGGGGCGACGGCATCCCCGTGGGGCTCCAGCGGTTCCGCTACTACCTCGACTACGTCCGGGCCCACCCGGGCTACGACCTCGTGCTCTGGAGCGACTTCCGCGACGCGTTCTTCCAGCGGAACCCCTTCGACGACTTCCGCGGCGACGCGCAGGGCAAGGACCTGCTGTTCTTCGGCGAGCACACCGTGCGCCCGCTGAGCGCGACGTCGGGCAAGGGGCTCTTCACGCGCGCGTGGGTCGAGGGCTGCTACGGCAAGGTCCTCACGCCCGACGTGACGCCCGAGGGCGCGCCCGTGCTCTGCAGCGGCAACGTCATGGGCACGGGCGCCGCGGTGCTCGCCTACCTCGAGGCCTACCTCGCGAACGTCGACGCGCAGGACGGCAACGCGAACTGGCACTGCTGGAGGGACTACGGCATCGACCAGGGGCACCACAACTACATGGCGTATGTCAAATACCCAAAGACCGAATTCGCGGTCGCGCCCTACGACGCGGGGCCGGCCTACACTGCGGGCCAGGTCATGCACGTTCCCGAGGACCTGAAGCGCGACGCGGCCGGCTACGTCCTCCGGGCCGACGGCCGCCGCGCGGCGCTCGTCCACCAGTACGACCGCCACCCCGTGCTCTCCCGCTTCTACGCCACCGTCGTCCGGGACCTCCAGAAGGCCTAAGCCCCTGTTAGGCACGAGGAGGAATCGAAGGGGGGGAGGACGGCGAGGCCTGACGGGGCGGACCGGCGCCGGCGGCGCGTGGCTCGAGGAGGAGGGGCCCCTAGGCAACGTTGCGTCTTGCAGACGCGGCCGAGACGCGGGAGACGCGAGTTCCGGGACGCGGCAGGACGCGGCCAAGACGCCCCGGGACGCGGCCGAGACGCGACGCGGGACGCGGCGACCACCCCAGGACCGAACCCACGACCACGAAAGACGACCCCGGGACCGAACCCAGACCCGCGGGACGCGAGAGACGCGCGAGAGACGCAGCCCAAACGCGTCTACGTCGTCCGCAAGCGCCGCGTCGGCGCCGCGACGCACCGCGAACAGAGCATGCCGAAGCTGGATGTCGAGGTCTCGCAGGCCTAAGCCAAGCCGCGCGCCGAGCGCGCCCCCTCGAGACTCCCCCGCCCCCGATCCCTCCCCGCGAGTCAAAGAAAAGAGGCCTGTATGTCCACATCTTACGCTCACTCGTCGTCCTCCCCCGTGAGGTCGACGGGCTCGAAGTCGTCGTCGCCGTCGTCGTCGTCGCCGCCGCGGCGCGCGGCCGTCGCCGCGGTGAGGAGGAGGGGCGCGTCCTTGTCGTCGTGGAGCTCGCTCTCGATCTCGTGGAGGACGCCGTCCTTCGTGTCGCTCTTGGGCGCGAAGCCGTGCGCCGCGCAGAGGCAGCGGAGCTCGTCGAGCGAGAGGCTCGCGTAGTTCGAGGGCAGGCTCTCCGCGGTGAGCCTGCGGCGCTTCGCGCCGCGCGCGCCGCCGCCGTCGCCGTCCGTGAGCAGGAGCACGCCGTCGCAGGTCGCCGCGGCGCGCGCGATGAGGTCCGCGCGCGAGAGGCCCTCGGCGACGCCGCCGCACATGTCCGCGAGCGCGGCGTCGGGCAGCATCCAGAGCTGCGACACCTGCTTGCCCGCGGCCTCCCAGACGGCCTTGGCCTGCGCGGCCTCGGCGGCCGCGTCCGCGTCGTCGCGCTTCGCGGCCGCGGCGTCGTCGTCGGCGTCGCGGCGCCGCTTCCGCGCGATGGCCGCCTTGTCCGCGCAGCACGCGAGGTGGTCGCGCTTGTCCTGTTTGGACGTGCCCTCGCCGAAGAACTCGCCGCAGCGCGGGCACTCGTCGAGCAGGCCCAGCAGGAAGGACCGCTCCTTGTCGAGCCCCCCGCCGCCCTTGGCGTCGCGGCGCGCGGCGCGGCGCTGCTTCGCCGCGCGCTGCTTCGCGTTGCGCTCGTGCTCCGCGCGCGCGTCGCGGATCGCGTCGTTCATGGCCCGGTCGGAGACGTGGAACGAGAAGAAGCCGAAGGTCTTGCCGCAGTCGCCGCAGGCGATCTTCCGGTGCCAGTCCGCGGGGCTGTAGTCGAAGTCGGCGCCGCAGGACTTGCACGCGTGCTTCGCGGACACGCAGCCGAAGGTACACAGGCACGTCGAGCACGTGTAGGATCGCAGCCCCGTCATGAGCAGGTTGTACGCGTAGTCCGGTAGACCCTCGTTCTTCGACGCGCCCCAGGCCTCGCCGCAGCGCGGGCAGGACACGGCCGTCCGCACGCAGCCGTCGTTGCTCCGCTCGATGCGCGTCGCCTTCTGCTTCTTGCCGCCCTCGTCGACGGCCGCCGTCGGCTCCGGATTCGTGAGCCGGTCCAGGGCCGTCACCAGGGCCTGGAACGCGCGCGTCGCGCCGTCGAAGCCCCGGAGCTTGTCCGGGTGGATGACGCGCGACAGCTTGCGGTAGGCCTTCTTGAGGTCGTTCAGCGGCGACAGCGCGCCGAGCTTCGAACCCGGCGCGCCGAGCGAGAGGATGGACTCCCAGTCGTCGCTCTCCGCGAGCTCGAGCACCCGCGTCGCCACCTCCCGCGCGTCCGCGCCGTCGCCCCCGCCGCCGCCGGCGGCGTCCGCGGGCGCCGCCGCCGCGGACGCGCCGGGGTTCGCTTTGAGCAGCGCGTCCACTAAACCCTCGAGCATCTCGTCGTTCGTGCCCATGGGGCTGACGCCGACCTTCGCGGCCTGCTTCTTGAGCTCGCCGACCTTGAGCGCGAAGGGCGACCGGCCGTCGGCGAGCGTCGCGGCGCCGCCTCGGTCCTGGAGCTTGAGCCGCCAGATGAGCGTGCCCTTCTCGCCGGTCTGCGACAGGCCCCGCTCCTTGAGCGCGGCCTTGAGCCTCGCGACGGACAGGCCCTCGTAGCCCTCCTTCTCGGCCTTGGCCTTGGCCTTCTTCTTGGGGGGCGCCTGCTTCTTCTTCTTGGGCGGCGGCGCCGGCGCCGCCGCCGCGTTGATCTCGGCGAGCTTCTCCTCGTACTCGTCCTCGTCCAGGATGCCGTCGTCGAACAAGGACTTGAGGTCGCGGAGCTCCTGGGTCGCCATGAATGCGGCGACGGCGCGCGGCCGTGAATGTGCGACGGCGCGCGGCCGTTTACGGGGGCGACTTTCGCGCGCGACACAGAGCAAGACAGGGCGCGCCACCTCGAGCTCGAACTCGAGTTAGCCGCAAGGTGGCGGCAACATGGCCAAGTTGCAGTCCCTGGAGGAGTCCCGGTGGTCACTCGAGAGCGCACCTACCCTTACTTGCGGGGCTTCCGGGCCGCCGGTTTCTTTTGGACCGTCGGCTTCTTCGCGGGCTTCTTCTTCGCGGCAGGCTTCTTCTTCTTCTTCTTCTCCTCGGCCGCGTTGCGTAGGAGCTCGGCCATTCGGCGGTCCCCCTCTGCCATGTACTCACGCGTCAAACGCTGGCACGCGGCGCAGAGGGCTTGAGAGAGCGCGCCATATTCGGCGTTGTGGATCAGCCAGAGGGCGTAGAGCACCGTCGTGCGCACGTGCGCCTTTTCCTCCTCGGTCTCGCACGCGGAGAGAAGAACGGCGAGGCCCCGCGTCGGGTGCGCGTCCGCCTCGAGCTCGCCGAGCGTCACCGAGGCGGCGGCGGACGTGCAGAACGACTCGCTCATCTCCCGGCGCGGCATGTTCCTGAAGAGGCGGGCCGGATTGTCGCGCGACGTATCAGCGAGCTCGAGAAGCGTGAGCGCGCGCGTCACGGTGGGCGCGCGATGGCGGAACATGCCCCAGATCGATTCTTCTTGAGGGTTCTCGCTACCGTCTCGTCCGCAGATGCGGCGCCGCACCTCTGCCTGGAACTCATGGGAGGTGCGGCTGGCCGCGGCGGCGGCGGCGGCCATGTCATGAATCGACAGCGACGCCAGGGCGACATGGCCGGGCGGCGCAGCGGTCTGCGCCGCTGCTTGCCGCGACAGTTCCGCCGCGACCGGAGGCGCTGGCGCGCGGCTCTGGCCGAGACCCATCGAGACCTACCCTCGGAGGCCGCCCTGAGATGCCGCCCTGCCGCCGGACTCGCCTCAATGTCGGCTGCACCATCCAAGTTGCAGTATGCGGACGGCCCGGAGAGGGTACTCGACGCGCGCCCGCCGCGGCTCTCCTAACCCAAAAGGCCAGGCGGCGGCGTGGATACGCCTTAGGCTTTCGTGGGCGCGCGCGCGGCGCGGGGTTCGGCGCTCGCGGCGTTTCGAAGCGCGTGTTCGCGCGGGGAAGGTTTCGGTGCTAACACGTGCCGGCCTGGTGGGCGTTTTGTGAACGACTGTCCCTGGATATTTCTCGGGAGCTGCCACAAGTTTCTTTCAGCGAACACAAAAGCGCCATTACGCCCGGGCGACCCAGCGCGAGACGTGCTCGAACTCCAGAACGCGCGCCGCGACGACGCCCGGCGAATCCGCCGGGTCCGAGGCGAAGAGGTCCTGGTGGTGCGCGGCGTCGGCGATGAGGACGTGGACGACGGAGCCGTCCCGCGAGAGCGCGCGCGCGTCGCCGGGGACGCCGCCGACGCGCCAGGGGTCCTTGTCGCCGTCCGTGAAGACGACGTTGCGGAGGCTCGCCGCGAGCTGGGCCCCGTCGCCGAAGGACTGGCGGAGCCAGTCGGGCCGGGGCGCGACGCCGAAGCGGTCGCGGCACGCGGCCTCGACCTCCGCGAGCGCCTTCGGGCTCTGGGGGACGAAGAAGCCGAAGCCGTCGGACGTCAGGGGCTCGAGCGGCAGCTCCGTGCAGGCCTGGTAGTTCCAGGGCCGGTCGATGGCGCCGAGCGCGCGGAGCGGCGGCGCGCCGGGCGCCGCGAGCAGCTCGCGGCGCGCGTCGTAGCACGCGGTTTCGCCCGTGTGGTTCAGGAAGACGTCGACGGCGCCTTTGAGCTTCGACGCCGCCGACGGCGCCGCGGCGACGCGGCCGCAGGCGACGCGCACGGGGTTCGCGGGCATCGGGGCCACGAACGCCGACGCGTAGGGGTAGTCGAGCATGGCCAGCGTGCTCAGCGCGCCGTTGACGTAGGACGCGAGCCGGTCGCCGTCGACGGGGTCCGGCAGCGGCTCGCAGGTGCGGAAGGAGCGCGCCAGCGCGTCGCGGCCCGCCGCGGTCTTCGCCGCGGCCGCCAGCGCGGCGAGCGCGGCGCGCAGGTCCGCTTCGCACGCCGCGGAGCCGTAGGTCCCGTAGACCTCGAGCCCGGCGTCGAAGAACGGTCGCTCCTTGCCCTCGCCGGGGTACAGGTCCACGGGCGCCGACGCGGCGACCGCGCCGGCGGCGAGGTGCGGGTACTTGAGCATGAACCACGCGGCGAGCATGCCGCCGTAGGAACCGCCGAAGAGCACCGCGGGCCCGTCCGCGGCGCCCAGGATCTCGGACGACGTCGCGAGCACCAGGGCCATGTCGGCCAGCGCCTGTTCGACGGTCAGGAACGCGAGCTCGTCGCTGCCGTAGCTCGCGTTGCCGAACGGAAGCGAGCTCCCGTAGTAGCGGTGCTCGAGGAAGGCGACGGACGCGTTGAGCTTCGGCGCGAGCTCGAACATGAGGCCACCGGAGTTGCCGTAAAAGTCCTCGATGGCGCCCTCGTTGCCAAAGTACATGAGCAGCGGGCCGCCGGGGCGGTGCCAGGCATCGTGGACCAGCAGCTTCTGGGAGAACGTGCGCGTCTCGTCGAAGCGGAAGTGGTCGAGTTGCTGCGTCACATAGGCGACCGTCGGCTCCGGCGGCGACTTCAGCGCCTGCGCCAGGGGTAGCAGAGCGGCGACCATGGGCAGCATCGCGGAGACCATAAGGCACTCAAAAGTTCAAGGTGCGGGCGTTTCTTCGCCTCTGTGAATAATGATGGCCATGGGGCTGCCATAAAAAAAGGATGGACGCGGCGCTCGCGGCGCTGGGCGACGACCTGCCCGCGCTGAGGGCCTTGCGCGAGACGCTGGACCGGCGCATCGCCGTGCTCGAGGCCCGGGCCGCGAAGCCGCCGGCGCGGCGCGCGTCGTCGCGCAAGTGCGCCCTGTCCGTGGCCTGCGCCGTCGAGTACTGCGCCGCCGACGAGGCGCCGGCCTTTGGCGCGCGCGACTTGATCACGGTCGCGGCGACGTGCCGCGCGCTGCGCGAGACCGTCGCGGCGGCGACGGCGCGGCTGCCCGATCGCCTCGAGGCCGCCGCGGTCCTCGAGACGGGCGGCGGCGCGAGCGTCGCGTCGACGTTCCCGCGGCTCCGCGAGCTCGAGGCCGAGGGCCTGCTGCCCTTCGGCTTCGAGGGCCTGCTGCGCGCGTTGCCGCGCTTCGCGAAGCTCGAGCTGCTGAGCCTCGACTTCTCCGCGACGGCCTACGAGCGCGCGCTGTGGACGGCGTCGAGCGCGCTCGAGACCGCGGACGCCGCGCCGGCCGACGAGCGGGGGCGGCTCATGCTTTCGCTCCGGCGGGCGGCGCGGCGCGCGACGGAGCCGCGCGTGGACGGGACCATCCGGCGCCTCGCGGACGCGTGCGGGAGCGGCGCGCTGCCGTCGCTCAGGGCGCTCCAGCTCTGGCACGAGGGGTCGACGAGCAGCGACGCGGCCTGGAACCGGCCGGGCGAGCTGCGCGACTACCTCGGCGCGCGGCTGCCCCCGACGGCGGCGCTCTGGCTCGTGCTGGAGCTCGAGGACCCGGACCCGGCGCGCGTCGAGCGGCTCCTCGACGGCGGCGCGGACGTGCACTGGCGCCACCCGGGCGTCTGCACGCACCACGGCCTCCCGGCGACGCCCCTCGAGTATCTGTGCGAGGGCGAGAACTTCGGGTGGCGGCTCGACGGCGACGGCTGGCGCCAGGACTGCCCGGAGAAGTGGGAGACGTGGGTCGGCGTCGCGAAGCTGCTGTTGGACCGCGGCGCGTCGACGGAGGGCTTCTCGCGGCTCGCGCGGGGCCGGCCCTTCGCCCTGCCGGCGCTCGACCTCGCGCCCCTGGCGCGCGTCGACGAGGTCGAGGTCGAGCACTGCCTCGACGAGGTCGAGCTTTCCCAGCCGGGCGAGTCGGACGCGGCGCGCGACGAGCATTTGCTGCGACTCGGGGCGACGCGCGAGGACATCCAGATCCTGCGCGTGTCGCGGGGCATCCCGCGGACGCCGTCGCACGAGCGCCGCGCGCCCCACGCGCCGTCGGAGGTCGAGGTCGTCCGGGCTTTGGACGGGCCCGTCGTCCGCGCGCGCGTGTCGCCGCGGCGGCGGCTCTCCGCGCACCTCGGGGCCCTCGCGGCCCGCGGCGCCGAGGCGACGCGCGCGGGGGTCGCGGGCGCGTCGCGGTACGTCGCGCCTAGTACCTCTTAATCGTCGTCGTCGTCGTGGTAGTACGAGTAGGACCACGACGTCGGCCGCACGGTGTGGTACGTCGGCCGCGGGCTCGGCAGCCCCGACGGCGCGGCCGTCGGGTCCTTTCGATGCGTCGGCCGCGGGCTCGGCACCTCCGTGGAGGGCGCGCTCGTGGGATGCGTCGGCCGCGGCGACGGCGCGATCGACGGCGCGTCCGTCGGATGCGTCGGCCGCGGGCTCGGGGGGGGCCCGGTCGGCGGCGGCGTCGGCTTATCCGTGTGGTGCGTGGGCCTCGGGCTCGGCATCGCGCTCGTTGGTCGAGTGCTCGGTTTCGGAGTCGTCGGTTGCGGCGACGGGCCGTACGAGGGCGCTCCGGACGGCGCCGCGGTCGTCGGCGTCGCGGAAGGCGCGTAGCTCGGCGTCGCCGTCGACGGGACCGCCGTGCTCGGGACGGGCGAGGGCAGACCCGTGGGCCCGGCCGTCGACGGAATCGGCGACGGCCCCGGCGACGGGATATACGAAGGCGCGGACGTCGTCGGCGCCGGACTCGGGCAACTCGTCGGCGCGTACGACGGCGCCGACGTCGTCGGCAGCGGCGACGGATACGGCGTCGGACACATCGTCGGCGCGTGCGTCGTGGGCACGTGCGTCGGTTCGACGCTCAACGTCGGGAAGAGCGACGGCGGGAAGGAGACGTTGTTGAACGAGATCGTCGGGCAGCTCTTGCCGCCCTTGAGATAGCTCGCGGACTTGATGGCCGCGTACATCTCCATGACCGACTTCCGCGACGAGTCCTCGCCGAAGGTGCCGACCTTGACGGTCCGCTGGATCGCGCAGTCGCCGACGCCCGTCTCGATCTCCGAGCAGTTCGCCGCCGTCGCGTCCGTGATGTGCTCGTGGAGCACGGACGTCGCGTTCGCGGACGCGTAGGGGCAGATGCACATGCTGTCGTAGTTGGCGTCGAACGCCGCGGTGCCGCCGGCCTGGGCGATGTCGCAGGGCGCGCCGTCGCAGTAGGCGAAGTTGTACTCGACGTCCGACGTCGGGCAGTCGAGGTCGACCATGGCCCAGTACCCGCCGTAGTCCGCGTCCGACCTGTGTGGAAATCAACCACTGGTTTGGGGGGTCCCCACCAAACTTCAGAACTCTCTATCTCGGTCAAATCGAAGTCGATTCGGCTGATTTTTGGACGGATCGATAGCTCTCGTCGAGTTCTCGAAGCACGGCAGAAAGCTTTGCGTCGAAACGGTCGCATACGCGCACATTGAAGTCGGGTTGAAGATTTGATTTCCACACAGCGTCCGACATGGAGCCGAAGTCGCTGTCGAAGCCCGCCTCGTGCCAGAACCGCTTGTTCTTGATCGCGCCGCAGACCGTGTTCACGAAATAACTAGTCTCGTTGAGCACGGTGATCTCGTAGAGCGCCCGCCGCACGAGCGCGGACCGGATGAGGTACGCGTTGCGGCTGTTGAAGCCGATGGAGCCCGCGCCGTTGACGATCTTCTTGCAGCCGCACGTCGACGACTCCTTCGCGCCGTCGATGTGGCACGTCGACCGGCCGCAGTACCCAAAGGTCACGTTCGCGCAGTGGGCCCGGAAGTCGGCCACGGACAAGGCCTCCCAGGCCTCGGCCTCCGTCAGCACCTCGTCGAAGACGGCGTCCGTCTCCGTCGCGACTTCCCGGTCGAGGAGCCGCCCCGTCATGGAGAAGTACTCCTCGCCGCCGGCGAGCGCGAACCGGTCGTCGAGGGGCGCGACGACCACCGTCGCGGGATCGGGCAGCGCGAAGCGCTCGGCGCCGGCCGCCGCGCCGACCGCCAGCGACAGCGTCGCGCCGCCGTCGCGGGCGCCGGCGCCGACGTAGGCCAGGGCGGCGCAGGCCGCGCCCAGCGCCAGGAGGCAGCCCGCGCGGGGCCGCGGCCGCGCGGCGTCGTCGAGGAGGGCCATCGGCATCTACGCTAGGGTTGGGGGGGGGCGCCATCGCATCCTCGACCCCATCGCGTCACCCATCGTAAAGCTCGCTGCCCAGATGCTGCCCTTCAATATAGACTCCGTGCTGGCAAAGCCCCTCGGCGAGCTGCCTCTCGCGCGCGCGCCGCAGCCGCCTCGCACGATGGCGGCGAACCTCGAGACCCGTGCCGCCACGGCCATCGACGCGCTCAACGCGGGCCGCTGGGGCGACGACGACGACGGCGCCGCGGCGCCGGCGCCCGCGGCCCCGACGACCGGCGACGTCGACGCCGTCGCGGCGTCGCTGGCGTCGCAGAAGGTCAGCGCCGTGGAGACGATGAAGACGGCGGAGGGCGAGACGATCCAGGTCGAGCGCGCGTCGGGCGACACGAGCGAGCTCGTCGCCGCGCGGTCCTGGGAGGATCTGCATTTGGACCCGAGCCTGCTCAAGGGCGTGTACCTCGCGAACTTTGCAAAGCCCTTCAAGATCCAGGAGGCGGCGCTGCCGCTCATCCTCAGCGGGTTCCGCAAGGCGCCCGTGCGCGAGAACCTGCTCGCCCAGGCGAAGAGCGGCAGTGGCAAGACGGCCGCGTTCGTGCTCGGCATGCTCGAGAACGTCGACCTCCGGTCGCCGGCGACGCAGGCGCTCTGCGTCTGCCCGACGCGCGAGCTCGCGCAGCAGAACGCCGCCGTGACGCGCAACATCGGCAAGGTCCTCATCGAGGAGAAGGGCCTCGTCGTGGCCCTGGCCCTGAGCGACAACGCGGGCAAGGGCGCCGGCGGCCGCGGCCGGGGCCGCGCGCCCAAGGAGCCCGTCGTCGGCCACATCGTCGTCGGCACGCCCGGCCGCACGCTCCAGCTCATCAAGACGCGCCAGCTCAAGACCCAGGGCATCACCATGCTCGTCCTCGACGAGGCCGACGAGATGGACATGCGCGGCCACCGCGACGACACGCGGTCGCTCCGCAAGGCGCTGCCCGACCCCTGCCAGGTGCTCTGCTTCTCGGCGACCTACACGGACGAGGTCTGCCGCGACATCGAGGCCTCCGTCTTCAAGCGCCACCCGTCCTCGAAAGTGCTCATCGCGAACGCCAAGGACGACGACCGGTCCGAGCTGATGGTGCGGGAGATCGCGCACGTCTGGTGCGACGCCAAGGAGCACCCGGGCGGCAAGCTGGGCATCGTCGAGGACATCTACGACCTGCTGAGCGCCCAGCAGTCCATCATCTTCGTGAACACGCGCAAGGACGTGCACCACATCGCGTCCGTGCTCACCGCGAAGAACTTCTCCGTCGAGGATCTGACGGGCGGCCGCGGCGCGGGCGGCATGGACAGCGCCGAGCGCGACCGCGTCATGGCCGCCTTCCGCGACGGCAAGGTCAAGGTGCTCATCACGACGAACGTCATCGCGCGCGGCATCGACGTGCCCGGCGTCAACATCGTCATCAACTACGACCTGCCGACGATCATCGACTACAGCGTGCCCCGCGGCGCGTCGTCCAAGCCGCCCGAGGCCGACTTCGACACCTACATCCACCGCGTCGGCCGCACGGGCCGCGCGGGCGCCAAGGGCGTCGCGATCAACCTCGTCGACCAGGACGCGTCCGGCGGCCTCGACCTGAAAATCCTCGCGTCCCTCGAGACGCTCTGCTTCGGCAAGCAGCCCGCGCCCTGGACCATGATCGCCAAGGTGCCCGACGCGTCCGACGTCGAGGAGATCAAGAACATCGCGAACCGCCACATGAACGGGAAAGCCTCGGTCTAGGGTCGTACGCGCGTCTAACCTCCCTCGAAGAGCTCGAGGATGATGCCGCCGGGGAGCTCGACGAGGACCGCGCCGGGGCCGCGGTCGAGGTAGGGCAGCGCCGCGGCGGCGAGCGCCGCGCGGTACGCGGCGACGTCCGCGACGCGGAAGCCCACGCGGTTGTTCATGAAGGCGTCGTAGGCCGCCATGTCGCCGTGCGCGGCCTCGAGGAGCGCCTCGACGTCCGCGACGGATCTGCCCGCGCCCTCGTACTTGCGGAACTGGTCGACGAAGTGGATCTGGAAGTCGGGCAGCTGCAGCCACTCGAGCAAAGCGCACGTGCCGTCGCCGTAGCGATGCGTCGACGCGAAGACGCCCGACGTGTTGTAGAGGTCCGCGCCGAGCGCGAGCAGCGCGTCCCTCCCGAGCGTCGGTGTCGTCGAGAAGAAGGAGTGGTGGCCCGGCCGGACCTCGGGCATCGGCGGCAGGGGATCCGGCGGCGGCATCAGCGCCATGTCCTGCGGCGCCGACGCGAGGGACGCGGCGCCCGTGGTCCGGCAGAAGTTGAAGGCCTCGGTCCAGACGTACTCGCCGCCCGCGCCGGACGAGAGAAATTGCACGGTGATCCCGTCGGGCACTTCGACGTAGAACGACGAGCTCCGCGTGACGATGGGCACGCCGTCGGCGACGAGGCGGTGCGACGCGAGGTCCATGTCGTCGACGTTGAAACAGAGATGCCAGTCCATGAACCAGTCCCAGTGCTCCTGGAGGTCGAAACGGTGCGTCTCGTGGAAATAGCGCAGGAGGGCCGCGGCGCCGTCGGTGTCGTCGACGAAGTAGACGTCGTGCGACGCGTTCGCGTTCGTCGTGAAGCGCACGCCCGTCGCGGTCACATTATTATTCTCGCCGCCGTGTCTCGTGATGAACTCGCTCGGTTTGAGCTGCGTGGCACCAAAGTAGTGCGCCATGAACTCGGCGGCGCGTTGCGGCGCCGGCGTCGCGAAGGACGTGTAGGCGTACTCCATCGATGGTAACGCGCCAGCTGCGACGCCAGCGACCACGAACGCGCACGCGACCCGCATCGTGCGGGACATCACCATCACTGAGGAGTTTCAAGCGCGCCAAAGGTGAAGCGGCACATCACGATGGAGAGCATGTGAATGAGCTGTAGCACACGGATCGACGCGCCGTAGTCTAAAACAAACCGCAGATGGGCGCCGGCGCCCAAAGCCGCGAGGCCGGCGCGGACGACGACGACCCCATGAGCTTGTGCCTGGACCCCATGGAGCCGCTGATGATCGCGCGGCTCGCCTGCGTCTGCCGCGGCCTCAACGAGGCGGCGAGCGGCTGCGCGGCGCTGGTCCCCGTGCGCGACGCCCTCCGGCGCGTCGACCCCGTCGCCAAGTACTGGAACCTCAGCCGGCCGCGCGAGCGCGCGCTGAAGCGGGCCGCCGGCCGCGCCGTGGGACTCGCGGCGGCCAGCGCGTACGCGCGCGAGCGCGACGAGCTCCTGTCCGTCGTCCAGTCGGCGGCGCGCATCGCGTCGCTGTTCCCCGATCGATTGGACGGCGTCGTCGCCTTCCGCGACGCCGCGGGCGCGCCCGCGTTCCGCCCCGGGCCGCTCGCGTTCTGCTTCCTCCAGCACCTCGGCCTGCTCCACGGCGCGACGGACGCGGGCTTCAGCTTCGCCTGCGCGGGCGGCGCGGTCGCCTGGGACGCGCTCGACTTCGAGGACCCGGAGGCCGGCCTCGAGGCGAAGACCCGCGACGCCGCGCGCCGCCTCTTCGCCATGCTCGGCGACCAAGGCGACAGCCGGACGCTCTTCGCGTGCGACGACGACGGCGTGCTCGTGCTCGCGTCGCCCATCGGCGGCTTCGCGCCCACGCGGCTGCCCCTCGGCGCGTGGCTCGAGCGCTTCGCGCAGCGGCTCGAGGCGGGCGGCTGCGCGGACTCCTTCCGCGACTGCGCGACGCGCGACTTCCCGAAGCGCGCCGCGGCCTACGCCCTCGCCCACGCCGCGGACTGGGACTTGGAGGGCGACGCGTATTTGTGAAAGCGTGAACTCAATGTCAGCTTCATCGGAAGCCATGTTGACATGCTCTCCAGATCGAAGCGCGCGGCTCTGGCTTCACGGTTCGGTGCGCGTCGCGTTGTCCACCCGCCTCGAGCCGTCCAAGAGTAAGCATCATGGAAGCCTCATCAGACAACGCCGAGAGCCGGCGCCGCGTCATGATCTCCCTGGCTGTGTCGGCGGTGGCGCTGGTCGCCGCCCTCATCGCCTGGGGCGTCTCGTCGGAGGCCTGGCACGGCATGTCCTGGGACCCCGACTACATCGACCAGGCCTTCAAGGAGAAGCACGTCGGCGACGGCCTCGGCTACTGCAGCGCGGACCGGCGGCCGCGGTACCGGGATGCCACGCTGAAGACGATCCACGACGCGCCCGTGGCGTCGTTGCTCACGTACGACGAGCTCAAGGGCGAGCGCAAGTTCGAGGCGAGCGACGTCATCCATCTGGGCGACTACTTCTACGCGATCTGCGACTCGTCCTGGGCCGTGCTGCGCATCCACGAGTCGCAGCCCCTGCGGTCGGAGCTGAACCAGCACGTGGGCTCGCCGACGATGGGCTACGCCGAGGGCGAGTCGGGCTTCGAGGGCATCCTCTACGACCCGACGGCGTCGGGGCTCTACGTCGTGCGCGAGTCCGTCGACATCTCCGGCGACCTCGTCGACGACGCCCGGCGGCTCCAGGGGCTGCCCGCGGTCACCGACGATCCGTCGTACCACGCCGTCGTCATGGAGATCGTGCTCCCGCCCCCCGACGAGGACGGCGCCGACTACGCCGTCGTCGAGGCCTGCCCCTCTGAGTTCCTCTTCGACGGCGACTCCAAGGGCTTCGAGGGCGCCGCGTCGCTCCGCGGCGCCGACGGCGTGTTCTACCTCCTCGCCCTCTGCGAGGGCAACGACTGCGTGAGCGGCGACCGCGGCAAGCAGCCGGGCCGGGGCAAGGTCGTGGTCATGCGGCACCGGTCGTCGGGCGGCCCGACGGGCGGCTGCGTGTGGCAGACGGTGCGCGTGTTGGAGCTGCCCATCGAGGGCTTCGTCGACTACTCGGCGCTCGCGCTCCACAAGGCGACGAAGACTGTCGCCATCACGTCCCAGGAAAATTCCCAGGTCTGGATTGGCACGCTGTCGGGCGGCGACGACGACGCCTTCGACCCGTTGACGGCGGAGTTCGCGGACCTGGACGACGGTCAAAAGGTCCTCGACTTCCCGCGCGACCCCACGTGCGGCGTCTCCTACTGCAACGTCGAAGGCCTGGCCTGGGTCGAGGGCGGCGGCGACAACGGCACGCTGCCCCAGGTCCTCGTCGCCGTGAGCGACAAGATGAAGAAGGCCCAGCCGTTCCGCTGCCTCGAGAAGGACCAGTCCTTCCACCTCTTCGGCATCCCGTGAGATCAGGATCCTGTGTGTAAGTATGTGTCACCGTCGGAGCGGCGGAGGGTTCTCGAGGGCCGCGCGGCAGGCGTCGGCGGCGGCGGCGGGCTTCGCGGCGACGAGCGGCCAGCGCTTGCGGTCCGCGAGGTCTCGGGCCGCCGCGGCGTCCGCCGCCGGCGTCAGGAACAGCACCGCGTGGTCGTCGGCACAGGCCTCGGCCTCCTCGAGGGTCGGCGACGCCACGACGTCGCCCTCGAGGCGGCCCGCCTTCAGCGCCGCCGCGACCTTCGCCGCCGCCGCGGGCGGCCGACGACGAACACGCGGACGTGCGGCGCCACAAACACGTGCGGCGCGTTCGGGTGCGCGGCCACGGACGGCGGCGCCCAGTGGCCCCGGGGCGCCGTGACGCCGTCCTCGAAGAGCCCGCAGGCCGCCACGCGCAGGGGCACCGTCGGCGTCTCGCCCGTCGGCGGCGCCGTCGCCTCGACGGCGTCGAGCACGTCGAAGCCGGCGATCACCCGCCCGAAGACGACGTGCTTGCCGTCGAGCTGCGGGCACGGCGCGAACGTGAAAAAGAACTGGGACGAGTTCGCGTTTTTGCCCGAGTTGCCCATGGACAGCGCGCCGCGGCCGTGCTTCAGCTTGAGGCCCTTCGCCTCGTCCTTGAACTTCTTCCCGAAGACGGACGCGCCGCCGGAGCCATTACCCTTGACGATGTCGCCGCCCTGGACGACGAAGCCCTTGATGTTGCGGTGGAAGGGGCATCCCTCGTAGGACAGCGGCACGCCGGAGCCCTTGTCGGCGCCGCGGTCGCCGCGGACGAGCGCGAGAAAGTTCTCGGCGGCCAGCGGCGCGACGTCGTCGAAGATTTCGACGACGACGCGGCAGTTGGGCTGCGGCTTCGCGCGGCAGCGGCCCTTCGACGACCACTCGTAGTCGTTGGCGTAGTGCTCGGGCACGGCCAAGATCTCCCGGCCACCCAGTTCGCTGAGCTTCTTGGATGTGAGCGCGTACTTCAGGTCGTTGCACTCGACGAATTGGCACGCGCGCGCGTAGTCCGCGCGCGCGTCGTCGATGTCGACGTCGACGTAGGCCAGCGGACGCGACGATGATGTTGTCTGGGCGGCCATAATAATAGCTCTTTTTAGCGAAGAGCTTCATTAACCTTACGTTGAACTTGTGGACGATGATGATGGCAGCCCTCGTCCGGCTGCTGATCCACCGTGATTGACGCCCGCGGACGATGCGATGCACCCTCTGGATCGCGCTGCTGATCCACCGTGCGCTCGCGGACGATGCGGCCTACTCCGATGCGACGGTGGCGCGGTTCCGGAGCGACGCGGCCTGCGCCGTCGTCGCCGGCGACCCGTCGCCGTCGCGCTGCTGCCCGTCCTACGCGCTGGCGGCGTCGGACGTGCGCGGCGGCGTCGCGAACTTCGACGCGCTGTGGATCGAGGCGATCCCCAAGGCGGCCTGGACGACGGTGCGCGAGGGCCTCGTTCCCGCGCTGGCGCCGGTCGCGAAGGTCGCGACGCCGCGGGCCGAGGACCGCCTCGCGGGCTCGGAGGTCTGCCCGGCGCGCAACGCGACGGCCGCGGCGCGCTTCGTGCTCGTGCGCGACCCGCTCGCGCGCGCGATGTCCGCGTTCCACGAGCTCCGGCGGACGCGCCTCGGCCACTGGGACCGGTCCCGGGGGCGGCGGCACCTGCCGTCGCTCACGGCGAGCCGCGACGACTTTTCCAACGAGTCGCAGGTCCTGGCCGCGTTCTTCGCGGACCTCGGCAACGGCGTCCTCGACTTCGACGCGCACACGTGGCCCCAGTCGCGCTGCGTCGCGCCGTCGGCGGCGTCCGCGGCCGCGTCCGTCGTCGGCCGCCTCCACCGCGCCGACGCGGCCTGGCGCGTTTTTCGGAGCATCGCGGGCGTCGCCGTCGATTTCCCGGAGGCGCGGCGCAACGAGCGCCACCGCGGCACCGCGGACCACCGGCGGCGCCGCGCGCCGACGGCCTCGCTCCTCGACGGCGCCATGTGGGACGCGTTCTGCCGCCACTACCGGCGCGACTACCGCTGCCTCGGCTTCGACCCGCCGCCGGCCTGCGCGTCGCGCTGGGGCGGCCCCGCGTGAGTCGCCGGCAACTTAATTCGCAGCTCGTTGCACTTCTCCTTGAACATCTCGTTGACTCTTGGCCGCGGCGTATCATCGGTGGGCTGCCACAGCGGCATTCGCATGGTGGTCGCGTCCTAACGGCCCTCGCCATGTGGACGCGCCCGCAGGACGACGAGCTCGACGCCGAGGGCGTGCCCAAGTCCTTCCGGGAGACGATGAAGCAGGTCGCCCTCATGCTTGACGACGACGAGCTCTTGAACAACGCCAAGTCGAGCATCCACGACGGCCAGCACTCGACGAGCTTCTCCGACATCCACGCCAAGTTCTTCGCGCACCCGGCCGCGCGGCAGAGCCTCGCCCACCAGCCCCTGCGCGCCCCGCAGAGCCGGCGGCTCGCGCCCCCGGAGCCGCGCGACGACTTCTTCGCCCGGCCCGCGACGGGCCACGTCGGCCGCCACCGGCCGCCGCCGCCGTCGGCCTTCGACCCGCCGAGCGGCGGCTACTTCCCCAAGGCGCGGGCCTGGCACCGGCAGCAGGAGGAGGCGCGCACCAACGGCTGGCTCCGGCCGCGGCCGACGACGGCGCAGCAGCTCAATTCGGCGCCGCCCTTCCAGTCGCAGCTCGCGCCCGCGGCGTCGCGCGACTACTTCCGCTCCCAGTTCGACGCCAACTTCGAGCCGCGCTTCGAGGCCGCGCCCGCGCGCCGCCACTCCGACGAGGTCGGCCGGCCGCGCGGCCCGCCGCCGCAGTCGGACCGCGACCGCGAGTTCCTGCGCGCGGCGCGCGAGCGGAGCCGGATGCGCCGATAGGGCGGGACGACCGTAAGCAAGAGCCGAGGTGATATCGTGTCTGGAAATCCGCTTCAACGCTGCAACTTTACCTGAAGTTACCCTTTTGCGCAAAGCATGGGTTACACATTTTGATCAAAGATGAGTGCCTGACAACGCGCTAGGCGGTCACATGCGTGGGACGAAGCCGCGCGCAAGATTAAACTTGCGATCGATCGTTGTCACGGTGCTGCTGTACGCGGTCTGCGCCGCCTTGGTAGTGTTCCACTATGGCGCTGCGCCCGCTGCCGCGCCAGCTCCAGAACGATGCCAGCACTCGCCGCGAAGCCGCCAGAGCCACCAGCAGTCGCCGCGAAGCCGCCGCCGCCGCCACTCGCCGCGAAGCCGCCAGAGCCACCAGCAGTCGCCGCGAAGCCGCCGCCGCCGCCACTCGCCGCGAAGCCGCCAGAGCCACCAGCAGTCGCCGCGAAGCCGGCGGCCGCGGACAACGACCGGGCCGTGCACGTCGTCTTCAGCACGGACTGCAGCGGCTACCAGCATTGGCAGGGCATCGCGCTCTGGTACGCGTCGCGCGCCGCGGGCCACGTCGGCCCGATCACGCGCATCGCGTCGGGCTGCGACGAGGCGCAACAAGATGGCCGTATCGCGCGAGTGGCGCGCCGTCGACGCCACGGGCGACTTCCGCGCGCACTTCGCGCCGACGGGCGCGCTCAAGGGCGGCTACAAGTATTCGAACAAGCCGAGCGGCCTGTACCACTGGCTCACGCACGCGACGTTCGGCGAAACGTACGTCATCTTGATCGACCCGGACATGCTCATGCTCAAGCCGCTCACCGTCGACGTCGCGGCGGGCCTGACGCGCGGACCGCGAAACGCCAAGAAGCAGTACGAGTTCGTCGACGGGAACGGCGTCGCCCAGCTCCTGAGCGTCTTCGACAGGCCCGCGGACCGCGTCCGCAAAGGGCGGCCCGCGGGGCAGCACTTCGGCATCGGCGGCGTCTGGGCGCGCGCCGGCACGCCCGCGGCGCGGCCCTCCTGGGTCTCCTTCTCCAAGGCGAAGGTCTGCGGCGAGCGTGGCCCCTGCGTGACGACGAGCGCGAAGGACGCCGACGACAAGTACGGCGTCGGACCCGTCTACGCGGCGCACGTCGACGACTGGCGCGTGATCGCGTCGCGATGGGTCGACGCGATGCCGCGCGTCCACGCGCAGTACCCCCAGCTCCTCGCAGAGATGTACGCGCTGACCATGGCCGCGGCGAACACGACGATTCCCTGGAGTCTGGTGTCGAGCTACATGGTCAGCGACCCGAAGACGCAATCGCCGACGGAGGCCTGGACCTGGGTCGACGACCTCGCGAAGGGCGACCCGGGCGCCGTGTGCCGCGGCGCGACGGCGACGGAGTTCCCCGCCGCGACGCGCGACCGGAAGGCCGTCGCGCTGCCGAAAACGCTCCACTACTGCCAGCGCTACGAGCTCGCGGGCGTCTTCTGGGCGAAGCGAAAGACGCCCCACGACCTCTTCCGCTGCGACCGCGCCCACCTCGACTTCGACGTCGGCGCGCTCATGGCCGCTTTGACGGCGACGGCGCCGCCGCCGTCGCGCGTCGACGCGCGGACCGCGTTCATGCTCTGCCACCTCATCCCCCTCGCCAACTCGTTCATCGACGCCTACAAGCGGGACGCGTGTCCTCCGCCGATCACCTAAAACTTACTTCGCGTCGTAGTCGCCGGCGGCGAGGTCCGCGGCGAGCTTGCGGTCCGCCTCGAGCATGCGCTGCGTCCGCGCGCGGTCCGCGTCCGCGTCGTCGGCCCTCAACTTCGCGGCGACCTCGCGGTCGCAGCGCTCGCGCTCGGCGGCCGTCGCCTTGGCGCCGGCGAGCTCGCCGTCGCGCAGCGCGCGCGCGAGCGCCGCGTCGCCGGCTTCCAAAGTTTCCCGCTTCTCCTTCTCGAGCCGCGACACCTCGGCCTCGTGCGCTTCTCGAACCGCGCGGCTCCGCAGGCTCTCGAACATGGGGTCGACGTCGTTGCCCTTCGTCGCGCGGCCGAGGCGCGACGCGTATTTGAGCAGCGCGACGGCGCCGGCCGCCTCCGGGTCGGACGGGACGAAGACGCAGAAGCACGGGTCGGAGAGTCGGCCCTTGAAGAGCCGGGTTAATTTCGAGTCCTGGTACGGCTTCCGCTCGTCGTCGGTCTCCGTCGAGGTGAGCACGTTTAACAGAGCCGCCAGGCCCTGCTGCGTCCGCGTGTCGTCCGCGTGGGAGAGCGCGGCGACGCAGAGCGCGGGGCGTTCCAGCAGCAGGACGCGGTGCGCGTCGTCGATCGGGTCGCACTTGTCGCGCGCGTCCCGCGCGGGCGCCGTCGACCGGGCGCCGAAGGTCTTCGCGCGGCCGTCGAAGGGCACGTCCTTGCCCGTCAAGGCGTCGCTCACTTCCTCGCGGCGGACGTCGACGAGCTCGCAGCGCCGCGCGTCCGCGGCCTCGGCGAAGGCCCGCAGCGTGCCGCCCGTGGACCCGCTGCACAAAAAGGCGCCGCCGGCCGCGAGGAGCGGCGCGCAGGCCTCGGCGAAGAAGGCCGCGTCGCTGACGGCCGGGCCGTAGACGGCGTCGAACTTGAACTTCTTGACGCCGGTCCCCCAGCAGTCGACCTCCAGATGCTTGTCGCCGAAGCTCACGGCGGGCGACGGCGGCCCCACGAGCCGCGCGATGACGCGCACCATTGCGAAATGGGTGTGGTCGCGCGCGTCGCGGACGTCGCGGCGAGGCTGCCCAGTGGGCTTCCAATCGCGATGCAAGTTTGCGTCAATGGTGAATCCAATGGATGTTGAGATCTTGTTGAGGCCGATAGATCACCAATTGCCACAAGCCGGCGCCCTCCCTCTCTCCGTCTTCGTCGCAGCGGTTGACGCCGAGAGCGACGCGCGCGCGCGGTTGGCGCGGGAGCGGTCGTCGTACGCACGAGTCCCACGAAGGCCGTCGCACCTCAGAGTCAGACGGCGGATCCGATGGCGTCCGCACTAGAAATGCCCATCCACGAGGAGGACGAGTCGGACGCGCGCTACGCGCGCCTCTCCGACCCCGGCGAGCCGAGCGGCCTCGCGGCGCTGCTCTGCCCCTGCCTGCGGCGCGCGCCCGCGTACGAGCGCGTCGAGGAGGAGACGCCGAACCCGCTCGCCGCCCAAGCCGGCGACGCGGCGCGCGACGACGACCCCCACCGCGGGTCCTGGCTCGACGAGGCCGACGAGCTCGCGGCGAGCTGCTTCGCGTGCTCCTCCGCGTTCCACCCGGTGAAGAACCGGCGCCACCACTGCCGCCGCTGCGGCGACACGTACTGCATCGGCTGTTCCTCCCGCTACCAGCCGTTGCTGCTGAGTGGATTGGAGACGCCCCAACGCGTCTGCGACGCCTGCTACGACGCCGCGGCGCGCGACAACGACTTTGCGCGCGTGCACGCGCCCGTGCTCGAGCGGGGCGCGATCCTGACGCTGAAAGGCGGCTTGTTCTCCGCGAAGCGCGCCGTGGTCCTGCGAGTCACCGGCGACACGCTCCTCTTCCTCGACCAGGCGTCCGTCGAGGCCGCGCCGCGGCTCGGTATCGAGCTAGCGTCCGTCACGGCGGTGGAGGACAAGCCCGACGGCTTCGCGATCAAATACGACGCCGCGGCCGCGCACCTGACGTCGCCCGCGCCGCGGCCGGACCTCACGGCGGCGCTGCGCGCCGCAGCGAAGCGGGCGAGCACGAAGTCCGTCCGCGACTGCGTCGACGAGCGGCGGTGGAAAAAGCGGCAGGCCGCGCGCGACGCCGAGGCGCGGACCGCGTCGCGGCAGCAGCGAGACAGTCGCGCCGCGGACCGCCAGAGCATCCGCGACAAGTACGGGCTCCGGTAATTTTCTGTATGTTCCTACCCGTCGGAGGCCCAGAACTCGGACGCGCCGTGCATGAAGGGCGCCTCCTCGTAGACGGCGGCGACGCGGGCGACGTCGACGGCGACGGGCGCCTCCCAGTTCGCGGCGGCGCGCGCGAACGCGGCCCGCGCGGCGGCGCGGTCCTGAGGCTCGGCGGACCAGCGCAAGATCGTCGAGTGGCAGATGTCGGGGATGTGCGGCGCGGGGTCCGTCGTCGGAGCTCCTCGGGGCGGCCGGCCGATGTCGCGGGCCTCGCCGCCGACGACGGCGCGGCCGCCGCGGTCGGCGACGGCCGCGCCGAGCGCTTCGCGCATCGCCGCGATCGCGCCGGACGCATCGGACACCCGCAGCGTCGCGCAGTTGCCGCGGAACGTCGGGGCGTCGAAGCCGAGGCGGAAGGGCCCGCGCGGCCACGCCGGGTGCGCCCGCGCGCGGTCCAGGACCGCGACCCAGGCCGCCGTCGCCGACGCGCGTTCCGGCGAGCCCGCGGGCAGGTCCGCCGCGGTGTAGTTGCGGAGCGTCGCCACGGTCACGTGCAGGTGCGCCGCCGGCATGGCGTACGCGGCGGGGTCGACGCCGTCGAACGCCCGCGGCAAGCCCAGCGGCCAGCAGACGAGCAAGACACCGCAGCACGGGTTCGTCGGGTCGCCGGCCGCGAGGCGGGCGACGTCGGCGTTCGCCCAGGGGTCCGTCGCTGCTAGGATCCGCCGCGCCGCGTCCGCGCGCTCGCCGCCGCCGGCGACGACGGCCTCGAGGCGGGACGCCGGCGAAAGCGCCGGTCCGTCCTCCGTGTTCGCGAGGGGCAGCGCCAGCGCGCGCCTCAGCCGGGGCCCCGCGACCGCCGCGAGGCCCGCGAGCGCCTCGCCGGCCAGCGCGTCGGAGAAGAGGCAGAAGGCGGCGACGCGGACCGCGACGAAGTCGGCGCCGGCGCCGGTCGCGAGCGCCGCGCACGCCGAGCGCGACGCCTCGACGCGCACAAAGGGGTGGAGCTTCTCGTCGAACTTGTCCGCGTCGGCGTCGTAGACGACGGCCGCGAGGGCCGCCGCCGCGGCGACGCCGCCGCCGAGCCGCAGGGCCGCCGCGCAGGCCTGGGCAGGAAAAGGGTGCGAAATTCCCAACTTCAAAGGCTCCGATCTCGGCCGTTTTCCGCTCGTTTCGGCTGATTTTTGGACGAGCGATCATCTCTCGGAGCGCTCTCGAAGCGTGGGTGCTGTTTCCGAAACGCGCGCGCGCGGAACACTCACGTTGAAGCGACGTTGAATCACCCTTTTCCTGCCCTGGCGCACGCGACGGCCGCGTCCGCCGGGCCGGAAGCGACGGCGTCGAGGAGCGCGCCGACGTGCGGCGCGACGGCGTCGGGCTTCGCGAGCGCGACGTTCCGCACGGCGGCGGCGGCGCGCGGCGCCTCGGCCGTGTGCAGGCCCGCGACGACGGCGTCGAGCGCGCCGGCGAGCGCCGCGGCGCCGTCGCGCGACGCCGACAGCGCCGCGAGGAACCCGTAGTAGGGCGCGCGGTCCGGCGCCGCCGCGCGCGCCGCGCGCCGCGCGATGGCCGTCGCGAGCGGCGCGTCGCGCGCCGCGGCCTCGAGGGCCGGCTCCCGCGCCGCGCAGGCGACCCAGAGCAGCTTCGCGCACGGCACGAGGAGGCGTCGCGGGCTCGAGTCCGGGGACGAGTCCGAATCCGAGGAGTCGTCCGTCTCGTCTTCGCCCGCTTCATCCTCGTCGCCGGCGTCGGCGGCGACGAAGGCGCGCCGGAGCGCGGCGACGGCGCCGTCGTCGACGGCGTCCGCGACGGCGTCGCCGCGGCCCGCCGCTATCTCCCGGAGCGCCCAGCGGCACGCGGCCGCCGCGAGCGGTCGGAGATTGGCATCGTCTGCGGCGGCGAGCGCGGCGACGGCCGCGCGCGCGTCGTCATCGACGCCGTCGCTGGCCTCGAGGAGCGCGTCGAGGAGCGCCCGCGCGACGGGCGGGCCCAGCGCTCGTCTCGCGGCGCCGGCGCGCTTCGCCGCGAGGACGTACCGCGCGTCGTCGCCAGACGCGAAGTTGCGCAGCGCGACCGTCGCGAGCGGGCTCGCGCAGGCGACGACGGCGTCGAGGATCGCTTCGGCGCGGCGCCGGTTGTCGTCGCTGTCGTGCACGAGGTTGGTGACGGCGCGGCAGGCTTGGGTTTGTATGTCGGCGTCGCTGCTGCGCAGGGCGCTGGCGAGCGATTCCCAGAGGCCGACGCGAGCGCCGAGTTGTGCGCGCGCTGTTTCGTCGCGCGCGTCGTCCGCTATGAGTTTTAGAGCTGCTGCGGAGGCGTCAAAATGCGCGGCCATTGCGACCTGTGGCAAAATGAGTTCAGCGAGCAGTAGATGAGCAGTTCATGAATTCACGGTCGGCTTGCGTGTCGGGGCATGCTGGCTCGCATGGTGAGCCAGCGCTGCAGGTCAAACGCGGTGCGGCGCTAGGACGAGGTCGCGCCGCTAAACAATGGCCTGCCGCGTCGCCGCACGACGCCTCCTCGGCGTCGCCGACAACGCCACAGCGCAGGAGATCCGCGGCGCCTTCCGCCGGAAGGCGCTCCAGTGCCACCCCGACCGCAACCGCGCGCCCAACGCCGCCACGGAGTTCCTCGAGGCGCGCGCCGCGCTGGACCTGCTCCTCGCGCCGGCGCCGGCCGTCGACGCGACCGCCGCCATGCACTCGGCGGCCTACGACGCGCGGCCGTCGGAGCACGCGGTCGTCTTCCGCGAGGTGAGGAGCCTCGACGAGGAGCTCGCCGCCGCGTTATCGCGCACGGTCACGGGCCCGGAGCTCGTCGTCGACCCCGTGACGCTGCGCGTCAGGGGAGCCGACGACTTCCCCGGCGCCTTCGAGATGGACGAGCGCAACGCGGACGCGGGCGGCCTCCCCGTGCTCCGGCTCCGCCACGGCGACGCGACCATCGGGTCCGCGGACGCCAGCGACGACGACGCGGTCGTCGTCGCGCTCTTCGGGCGCGTCGTCGCCGAGGCGACGCGCGACGCGTCCGCGCTGCGGGTGCGGCGCGGCGGCCGCGAGGTCGCCGTCGCGAACCGCGACGGCGAGTCCTGGGCCACGGAGTGCGGCTTCGCCTGCGCCACCGCGCGCACGCCGGGCGTCGAGACGACGACGTGGCGCCGCGTGCGCCGCGGCTACCGCACGGAGTGCCGCGTGACGCGCGCCTACGTGCCGCCGCTCGCGCTCTGGCGGCCCTTCTTCTTCTGGGGCGACGCGGACCTCTACGCGGACTACGCGTCCGACGGATCCTCGGCGTCGCACTACGTCGAGCGCCGCGTCGCCGACGAGCGAGCGTTGGACGACGCGTCCCGCGGCCGCCTCGACCCGGCGCTCGTCGTCGCCGCGGCGGCCTTCTCGGCGCTCGACCGCGAGCGCAGGCGGCTTAGCTAACAGCATCTTGTTTGAGTATGCGGCGGGGCTAGCATGTCCTCCAAGCGCACCGTGACTGGCAAACCTAGTCCTTCTTACCGACGACCTCCGCGGTCTTCGCGCGGTAGGCGCGGAGCTGGACGAGGAGCGCGACGTTGAGCGCCGTCGACGCGCCGAAGCCGAAGAGGAGCACGGGGTCGGCGGTCTCGAGCGCCGTCGTGAGGAAGCGCACGAAGGCGCCGAGCGCGTTCAGCTTCACCGTCGCGCCCGAGAGCTGGCCCGTGTGGCCCTGGCGCCGGTTCGCCAGGATCTGGGGCACGCGCGACCCCATGTTCGCCGCGATGGAGCCCGACGACAGGAGCCAGAGCAGGCGGTCGGGCACGGCAGCGCAGGCGGCGACGGCCGCGGCGCCCGCGGCGACGCCCGCGGCCGCGCGCCGCGCGCCGACGCCCGCGGAGAACGCGTAGGCGAGCGCCACGAGCACGACGTTCTGCGCGAGGACGATGACCTGCTCGCCGTAGGTGCTAAAGGCGTAGCCGAGCTTGGAGCTGTAGGCGACGGACGCGACGAAGACGAGCGCGTCGAGCTCGAAGGACAGCGTCGACAGGCCCGCCGCGGACCGCGACGCCAGGATCGCGGCGATCTGCGGCAGCTTGAGCATGGCCGACCCGGCGATGATGCCGTGGGACGCGACCTTGGAGACGATCTCGAGGGCGCAGGGCAGGTAGTAGTCGACCTTTTTCACGCAGCCCACGGGGTCGAGCTCGACGAAGAGCTGGTGCAAGCCCTCGACCATCGTGGCCCAGCACGTCTCGCTGAAGATGCCCAGCCATAAGGTTTCGGCCATGGCTGCGGATTGGTGCGCCTGTGGCAGCGTGCAGCGGCTGCGGCGGCTCGAGAGCGGCTGTGGCAGCGGCGACGGCGGCGGCGGATTGGTGCGGCTGCGATAGCTGCGGCGACGACGTCGGCCGACGTCGAGCGCTTCGGTGCGCATCTGGAGAGCGGATCTTTTGGTAGATTTTTGGTCGGGAGAGCTTTTCCCGGCGCCCACCACTCAGCCATCTACGCCGTCGACGCCGCGCCGGACCCGCGCGCGACACCGCCAGACGCAACCACCACCGCCGCAACAGCACACCACCCCGCCGATAACCACCCAAGCACCGCCGCCACAGCACACCACCCCGCCGATAACCACCCAAGCACCAACCCCAAGCACCAACAATGGACGGCAAGGGCCAGCCGCCCATCGCCCAGGCGACGGTGGTCAGTTCCGCGCCGCCGCCGGCCTACGCCCCGGCGCCGGGCGGCGCGGCGGGCTACGATCCTACCGGCATCGTCACGGGCATCGTCGCGCCGGACCAGGTCTACGTCAACCCGCAGCTGTCCATCTCCGAGCGCGTCGCGATCATGCAGCGCGAGCTCGATTTGGAAAAGGACATCGTCGAGGACCTGCTGAGCGTCGCCGGCGCGGACATCGTCGTCGTCGCCGACGACTCCGGGTCCATGAGCTGCGTGGCGAACCCGGGCAACTACCAGAACCCGATGACGCGGTGGGACGAGCTCCGCGAGACGCTCGTCAAGCTCGCGCACATGCTCCTCGTCGTGGACCACGCCGACGGCTTCAACGTCCAGTTCCTCAACGACCCGACGTGGCACGAGGTCCACTCCAAGGATCAGGTCGAGTCGCTCTTCGTCGGGCGGTCGCCGCGGGGCACGACGCCGCTCGGCGCGCGGCTCGCTCCGCTCCTCGACGGCTCGTGGCACCCCAAGGGCCACGGCGCGGAGACGGACCTGATTCTCATCGTCATGACGGACGGCTCGCCGAGCGACGTCGACTTCGGGGGCCTGACGCGCCTCGTCGCGGGCAAGAAGGCCAACGTCTACGTGACGTTCATGATGTGCACGGAGGACGACGACGTCGTCGGCGCCTACAACCGCCACCTCGACCGCATCCCCGGCGTCGACATCACCGACGACTACGCGTCGGAGAAGAAGGAGGTCGAGGCCCACGGCCGCAAGCTCTCCTACTACAAGTGGCTCGCGAAGGCGACGCTCGGCGGCAAGCTCGTCAAGTACGACAAGATGGACGAGAGTCACGCCGGCGGCTGCTGCGTCGTCGCGTAGTACCGGAGTAAAAAGCATGTGAAGGACGGTGGGTGTTTCAGAAGCGCGCCTCGCACGCCGGCGGCTGCCGCAAGAAGAACAGCGGCTGTTTCGCGGCGGGCGCCGCGTCGTCGCGTATAAGAAGGAACAGCGAATTTTTAGTGGTAGGCCTCGCAGCCCCAGGGGACGAGCGTGTTGCCGTAGGCCTCGAAGGCGACCTCGATGTCGCCGTGGACGTAGTCCATCAGCGGCGGGGAGAACGGCGGGCTCGGGTGGTTCGCCTCGTCCGCGTAGACCTCGGCGGCCGTCTTCAACACGACCTCGTGGAGCGCCGGCGAGTCCGTGAACGTGTTGTTCTCCTCGTAGGGGTCCCGCTTCAGGTTGAAGTACTGCTTCTCGATCTCCGCGACGTTGTGGAACGCGTCGCACGAGTCCGCGTCGACGCCGTCGGGCGCGACCGCCGCGGACTTGCGCGCGCGGTAGAGCACCTTGTAGCCGTCGTCGACGACGACCGTCGGGTTCGCCCGCAGCGTCAGGTAGAGGGGCCGGTAGCGGTCCGCGCGCTCGCCGGTGAGGAGCGCGGCGTACTGGTCGACGGAGTCGTAGTCCGCGTCGATGAAGTCGTGGTCCGCGCGGCCCGCGACGGACGACAGCGTCGCGACCCAGTCGACGTGGTGCATGAGCCCGGCGAACGACGACCCGCGGACGCCCTGGAGCGTCTTTGTCCGCGCGCCGGGCGCCGCCATCAAGCCCGACGCGTCGTTCGCCCACACGAAGGCCGGCAGGTGGACGCCGCCCTCGTAGAACGTCTTCTTGCCGCCCATGTAGGGGTAGTTGGACCCGGAGAACTGGGCCGCGCAGGGGTCCGCGCCGTTGTCGGACGACACGGCTACGAAGAGCGGGCCGTCGGCGCTCAGCGCGTCGACGATGGCGCCGATCGAGCCGTCCGTCGCCGAGAGCGCGAGGGCGAAGCCGAGCCGCTCGCGGCTCAGCGATTTTTTCAGGTCGCCGAGCAGCGACCACGTGTCGTCGTCGACGAGCTCCCTCGGCGGCCACGACGCCTTGTCGCTGTGGGGCCCGTGGGGCGCGTACCAGAGGAACATGGGCGTGTCCGGCTGCGTCCGCCGGTGCTCCGCGCGCGCGCGCAGCGCCTCGTCCCGAAAGAGCAGATCCGTGTAGTAGTTGGGCAGGCCGTCGCGCGTCTCCGGCGGCGTCGCGGCCTCGTACGTCGACGCGCCGTCGCCTGCGGCCGTCATGTTGAGCATGTCGACGGCCGCGACGCCGCCCATGTCCTGGCTGTAGGCGCCGATCCAGAGCGCGGGCACGGTCCACGCGTAGTAGTCGACGCCGCTTGAGTGGTACCCGAGAAACCGGTCGAAGCCGCGCGACGTCGGCAGGTAGGCGTCGTTGCAGAAGCCCACGTTCCACTTGCCGACGCCGTAGGTCGCGTAGCCCGCGTCCTTGAGGTGCGCGGGCAGCAGCTTGTGCCGCAGCGGCACGGAGAAGTTCGAGTTGAACGCGAGCTCGAACGCGAGCGCGTCCTCGACGCCCGTCCGGTGGCCGAACTTGCCCGACATGAGCGCCGTGCGCGCCGGCGTGCAGAGCGACTGGCCGTAGTAGTTCGTGAGCCGGATGCCCTGCGACGCCATCGCGTCCATGCGCGGCGTCACGCCCTTCAGGTCGGTCGACATGAAGCCGAGGTCGTTGAGGCCGACGTCGTCGAGCGTGATGAGCACGATGTTCGGCGGCCGGCTCTCCGCGCTCGCGTCCATCGTCAGGTCGACCTCGGCGTCGAGGGCGACGGCGGCCGTCGCGGCCGCCGGCGCCTTGAGCCGTCCCTCGACGAGGAACATGCTGAGCACGCCGGCGACGCTCAGGCCGAAGAAGCCCAGCATGCGCAGGAGCGGCCGGTGCGCCGCGCCGCGCGGCGCCTCCACGGCGCCGTACGCCATGGTCGGCTGTGCGACCGCGCGCGACCGGCCGCGGACGACAAAGGGCTGCCTCGACTGTCTCGACGGGAGGAATACAATCGAAGCTACGGAAACCGGATACCGATGCCGGCACGGAGCACGGCAAGAGCAGGGCAGCCCGAGCACGATGGACGACGAGTCGGGCTGCCCGCCGCCGCCCGACTGGGTCGCGCTGGACTGGAGCCAGCACCGGCTCAAGGAGACGCCCGTCGCCGAGGACCGGCCCGAGCCGCCGGACCTCGACGATGACGAGCTCGACGCCGACATGGACGCCTTGGATCTCGAACCGGACCTCACGGGGTCCTGGACGGCGGCGCCGCGGCAGCCGGTGGCGCCGCCGCCGCTGCCGCCGCAGTCCGACGAGCCGCGCGTCCGGGTCGGCTCGGCCGCCGCGGCCCGCGCCTTCCTCGCGCGCGTCGAGGGCCGGTCGAGGCCGGCCGAGGAAGGCCCGCCGGCGCCGGCGCCGCGCGACGCCTCCTGGGCCGAATCGACGACGCCGTCGCCGCGGCTCACGCCGCGCGACAAGGACGTCATCGCGACCATCGAGGCGCGGCTCCGCGCCGCCGACGAGGGCATGCTCCGGAGCTGCGCCGTCGACGACGACGTCGGCGACGAGGGCGAGTGGGCGCCCCTCAGCGCTTCGGACCTTCCGAGCGAGCCCCCGGCGGCACCCGCGCCGACCGAAACCCCACCCGCCCCGCCGCGAGCGGCGTCGTAGAAGCTCGTCTTTAGTCGTCGGCGG